CAAAATCAAACATGTAGTTTTTTTGTATTTCAAATTTAACCGTCTGAAATCAGAATAAAAAGTAAAAAAAATAAAATTCAAATAACTCAAAAACGATTAACTTCTGGATAGGATATTATAGGACAAAATTGGTTGCTTTTGACCTAATCTATCACCTCTTAACAGGAATACGTGACATTACAAGTCACCCTGTATTTCAGTACTAGATGGTCGAACAATCAATCATTATTAATGACCTCAAAATAAAATTATAAAAAAATTTAAGCTATTAACAGAATAATTCCATTCAGACTAAAAAGCACAGGGTGCATTCTACTACATTTCCATAACTCACCTCTCATAGATAGTTGCCAATAGAATGATTGTAACATTTAATATATCAAGCACCCTACGCTTTTTACTCTGGATTGAATTATTCTGTTAAACATTTTATGATAATTTTATTTTGAGGTCATTAATTATGATTGATTGTTCCACCACCTACTACTGTAATATAGACTATAATTAAACATTGTTTTATACTTTTTAGTTCAATTAGCTATAAAAGCGTGTTTTCTTAGTCTTTTTAAAGTATTGTTTATTTAGTGATTGTATTCCATCAACATATGTTGTACAACATGAGTTCGGCTTAAAAGGGAAACAACAGTCTAGGCCTGTACATTAGATTTTTCTACATTTCTATTGTAGCCAACTTGAACTGGTCTGGAGAGTCTAATTCATTGCGTTTGCATATTAAATGCCGTTTCACTCTATAGTAGGACTCATGTTGTGCGAGAAGGTACAATTGGTAGAATTAAATCAATGAAAAAATCATGAAAGAACTAAATAATAATATCAATTCTCCCTTTTAATATAAAAACACAGAGCGTTGCACTTAGTAGAATACAAGAAAATAAAAAGAGCTGAATACAGCTCTGGAATTTTGAGCTCCAAATACATCAATAGTTTAATTTTAAGCATCATTTTGTCAAATGTTGATGAAATCAAATTGATAACCTTTGAAATTTTGAGTTTTAGCTGCCAAAAATGTTTAACTAAAAAAAAGGCGCAATCAACCTGTTTTGGACATACTCAAACACTTCAAGCTTAAAAGGTGATGATTTTGATAAAAAAAGGAGGTGAAAAATCGGACCCGACTCTGGATCTTTAACCGTCCGTCTAGTTTTACGTTACTCCTAGGTCCTATCGTACAAATTTTAAACAAAATCGGTTTGGTAGTGCTTGAGACATGTGACATTGAAGATTAAACGTGTTTAGATAGATCATCCTGTATATCCGCAAAATCCGGATTTTGATGGATTTCAAATGGAAAAAAGTATTTCTATCATGTCGTCTATACCGCAAACAGGCGTAACTGATTTTTTATAAATTTTCAGTAGAAGCAAAATGAATATTGACAGTTATTTGATTCCGTATATCTTTTCTACTTTATCATGATTTCTGATATATCTGTGAGCAAACTACTTAGAATTACGCCACTGTCCGGGATTGAAGATATGTTGATTTGAACTCGTTAACTTGAATTTGATTTTTTGTCAGATACGCCTGTCTGCGGTATGGACGACGATGTGACAATTTGTCCTAGGCAACCTGCTAATAAAAACACCATTTTTACCCATATTCTAATATGTCGTATCTAAATCAGCTGTTATTTTCGGTTCCAATAAGCTGTATCCCTCAGCATCCACTTGCTCACTGATTGTGTTGGTTGCTAGACAGTGTTCTGTTTATTTTATCAAATAATGCTATCTATGTTTTTTTTACAATAATGCGTTACGCCTGAGTACGTGTCTAAGAAATCTTATTAGAAATGTATACCTCGAGTCGAAACCGTCATTTGTTTATTGCTTGGAAGTTTGATTAAAAAGTAAAGATTGGTTACAGCCTATTTGATCTTGTAACTATTATGTTGGTAATTAGAATTGATGTAGAATAATCCCTATGCTAGTGGGTCTTCTAGATGTTCATTTATGATGTTCTTTAATACTTAAGTTAGATTTTTGTCACCCATACTACCATACAGGGTACTCATGGCTTCACTCTGTCCTCCACTGACACATAGGCTGCGTTTATTACACTGAGCTGCTGGACTTTAGCGCTATCTTGAATGCGCTTCAGCAGGTTGTATGCATTGTCAGTGATTATCAGTTTATGGAAGTGGCGTTCTAAAATATACTCAAGGGTTGTGTTTGGGTCGCAGGATCGAACGTTACCGAACTATTCCAAAGAGGTTGGCTTCATCACTAAAAACGTCTGTAAGTTAGCTCCGAGGGAGCGGTTTGGTACTGCGACATGAAAACAATTCAGATAGATCCACTTGGCGCATTCAATAAAGTGACATCTAGCAAATGAGCTACATCATTACTCCAAATAAACGGAGCGAGTATGAAGGAGAGTCTGCTTTGAATACTCTAGCCAAACCGATTGTGTTGTGGTCAGATAGTTGCGGGTAGCAAAACAAAAACAGCATATTGTCTAACGCCTTGTCTCTATTGGCCACATGGTAAAATATAGTGACTGAGCAGAAGTATCTGGAGTAGGGTCACATTTAAGTGGGGTATGACTCGACTCGTTGTCTCATTGAAAGGTGCCTTAGAGGGAAAGACATACATTTGCTTACCGATTATATAAACCTAGTTAGAGATGCGATCATTTCCGTCCAGGAGACGCAGGCAATCTTCATTCAACGAAGAAGGATTGCAAGACCTCTCGAAGCATCCATCTTCGATGAAGATATCCAGAGGAGCGACAGAATCAAATATCTGGGGATCGTATTTGACAAGTCTCTCACCTGGAAAGCCCACATAGAAGCTGTCATCGCAAAGACCAGAGCAGCCATGGCTCAACTCTACCCATTACTGGGTAGACACAGCCGGATGCCGCTAGCGACCAAGCTACGGCTGATCAAGGCCATCGCCAGACCTCAGCTCGCTTACGCCTCCGCGGTCTGGGGGTACGCTGCCCCCAGCTACCGCAAGCGACTTGCTGCTCTAGAGATGAAGCTACTCCGGATCGCCACCAGTGCACCATCCTACGTGAGAAACTCAACCTTGCGTAGAGACCTGCATTGGGACACCATCCACGATTACATGAGGAAAAAAGCGGAGAAGACCTTCGAGAAAGCTCAGGACCACCCGAACGAGCAGCTACGATTCCTCATGGACTACGATCCGGACGAGGGGCCTCGCAACCGCAGAACCAGGTACCCTAGACCAAGGTTCCAGTTGGCACCCGCTAACTGGAACCTTGACTAGGAGACTAGGAGAACCCGCGGTTGCTCCCCCCCCCACGGCGTGGATACAGAGGACCAGGAACCACCGGGACCAGGACCCACCGGGACCAGGTCCAACCAGGACCAGGACTCGACAAGACCAGGACCCGCCAGGACCCTTCAGGACCAGGACCAGGAACAACATATTGGTAAGAGGACTTGAAACTCTTGATTTTTCGAAAACAAGGGTTTCAAGAGAACCTAGCAGACCCTCTATCGATGATCGCTTAACGACATCGATAGAATGTGCGAGGTCAAGGGAACCAACCCGGCGTTCCCAGAGACTGAAACACATGAGGAGACGTTGTAGCAGACCGCAGGTCACGCACAACACATGGCCTACCGAGACGCTGATGAGTCGGGCCACGCGGAGGTTTAGGGTTTAGTGGGTATTAGGTGGTCTCCTCAAGACAACCTGGAGTCCCACACACGCCGTAGCTCGGACTAAGGTATGGTGCGTAAACGCATTCCCCCCTCACTAAAAAAAAAAAAAAAATAACAAAAAAAAAATCATTTCCTTTTGACGTAGAGTACCCAAGCCATTCATATCTTCTGAATTTCGAAGTACACCTGTAAACGGTACAATTCCAGAAAATAAGAAAAAATATTCAAAGGTGAATGATCTGAGATGCCTAAGATATGATAGCACTGGCCAAATCTACTACAAATCTGAAATCAACGATCCCTATGAAGTCTTACCTCAACGACAAAAGCAAATTGATATAGCCTATGAGCCCAAACAGCTCTACGAGACAAGGCTTAAGATGACAAAAAAGAAATGGGATCATTTGCAACGATTTAAAAAAGTAATCTCTGAAGATGTAGGCTTTTACAAGGCACTCCAATATGAAGGAAGTATGGAAGAGATAAGATAAACTAGGGAGTCAAACAACGTCGAAGAATAACCAGAAAAGTCGTCGGCGGGCAATGATAAACTAAAAATTGAAGGTATAGTAGCTAAGAGGTAGGAAAAAATTGTTACTTGACTCACTAATAGTTCTACAAACTCGGGAAAAGTAGATAAAGTGAGTGTATCCATAATTGATAAAAAGTCAGGGAAACCTGGTAAGGATTTGTTTTTATTTTTTATTACAAGATAACAATTGAAGTTGTATGATCTCATATTTTTATGTTTTCCTTTGTTGTTAGCAAATAATAAACGATTATATAACGTTAAAATGCTGTTTCAATCAAAATTATATTCACACAATATGCTGTATCCCAATTAGTTACCCAATTTTTATATAGAATAAAAAAGACCCACTGTGGAAGACAAACAGGTCGTATCAAACCTAATGATCTAATGCTAATACTTCTTAAGCCACATACAAGACTGGAGTGGTCTCTACTTGTCGATATTTTGTCTAAAACAGATAAAGCTAATCTCAAATTTGATAGTAAAAACATCTAACAACTTTAAATGACAAAGTAATCTTGAATAAATCTTTTTTTCTTCTTACTGCGAAACTCGCTTTTTGGGGATACACCGTATTAGAACTAAGCCATCGATATAGAAAAGTCTCGGTCTATGCTACCCACCCTTTCACTATGTCCATGTAACTACGGAACATCCTGTAGAAGCAAAATTGTCTGACAGAATTTGGCGAAAATGTTGACGGCTTAGTAAATACTATTATTCATTATGGAATGGAATAATAAGAATTATGCATGGACTGATACAAAGCTGAGGCTTTAATATTTAATTAGCAAATACGCAGATTATAAGTAGCGCAAATTATACAATTGCATTTTTAGTTTGACCTAGCTAGTTTTAGGTGTGTGTGAGTGTATGTGATATATTGTGCATGTTAGTTGGATAGTAGAATAAGCAGGTAAGCAGGTGAAATGTGTATGTTGTGGATAAAACTTGTGCAAAGACAATTGAAAGAAGTTTGCTCTATCAAAGCCAAGTGAATGGTATTAATGATCGTGCATGCTAAGCTGTATATAACTTCTGTCTAATATGATTCAAGCTTAATCTTATATGATGTATTAAAGAAGGAGCAGGAAATAAGTTTTGGAACATGTACAGACTAAGCTAGAAATTGCCATCAGACGTTTAGGGTATGGCAAAATTTTAAAAGGACTTTAGAAATAAAGAAGAATTGTTCCTAATAATAGAACCTAGAGAGCTAGATCATAGAAAAGTAGTAGCACTACAAAAAACTTTCATATATTGAAGATAACATATTTAAGAGACAGGAAGATCAATTTGGAAGAATTTATTTTGAGGATAAGCTATGTATTTGTAAGGCAGAGAACCTCGATTAATTTTTGCATAGGCCACGTAATTCATAATTAATTTTGAAGAACTATTTATTGTTAAATAATAATAATAAAGTTATAAACTGATTATCTACAATTATTAATGATGAATAATTTCTACAATAACTAATTACTAACAATTAATATACAGTAATTTTAAAAAATATCTCATTCATACTTAGTAACTAAATATTGTTAGCTAATAATAAAAATTTAATATATAATTATAAATATTGTCTAATATTGAATAACTGGCGATAGAGAAAATTGGTAGTTGATGGTTGGCATATGACAAAGTGTAATTATTAACTGATAGTTGAAATTATTAAGTGATACTTTACATATACTAATGAATGATCAATATGTATATAAAGGATGTTTCAGAAAAAAGTGTCAATCTTTCTAGGGTAGGTAGTACAACCCAAAATAACCAAAAATGTCTTCTGATCATAGGTCCCTAGTGGTACCTTTAGCAAGATATAGGTTGCTGTACATTTCTACGCCACTGATGAAAGTGAATAAGGTCAAACCATGAACCTTATCCAAATAACGGTATGGTGAGGTAGGATTACTTTCCTAGTACGCTACATACAAGTTTCAATGTCAAGCATCACCAACCTTAGCTTATTTTGAACGGGTGTTTTCTATGGACTTGACCACAAATATTCCAAACGCTTTTTTGTCCAAAGCGAAAATTTCTCACGAGAGGAAATTTGTTTACTTACTTTATTCAAAAATGCAATAGATGTAAAATGTAAAAAAGACCAATGGCATCTATGCATTTCCAAAACGATGTTCTTATTTTTCTGTACGAGTCAACCTTTCCTTATTTCTATGGCACTGGTATAGATTTAGGCATGAATATGTATTGGCTGCGATGTCAGTACCACCTGTACAAAATGCTAAGGTAATATCTAAATCCACTCCTATTATATAATTTTCTCGATGTCGAACTCATAATTTATGAACTTTCCGTGTTATTTTGGTTCTACTTTATGCCCTAGGTCCTAAGAATTTTACCACGTTTTGCTGAGCACCCTGCATATACATACATACATACAGTGCTTTCCATAAAAGTCGCCCTGCTTATTTCTTGAATGGGTTGAGTCAAAAAGCTGAAATTTGAGGTAATGAAATTATTGCATGCATACCATATCTTAACATAAAAGGGGCAGCTGAAAATACTAAGATGCCTTAGAGTATTGTTTTAAATGAAATGACTACTTTATAATTCTATAACATTGAATTGCTTATAACTAGACAACCAAACATCAAACCGCTGTAGTATGTTATATTAATCTTCTTTTCTTGGAAGGACTTATAAAATATATCATAATATAATATGCAAAACATATGTTCTGTAAATTTTTCTGAACGGAATATTCCATAATTTAGTACTCATAAGGACCTCCAAAATGAGGTGTCACATAACTCCATTCTATTAAAAACAGATGTCCAAGATGGTGCCCAACCGCCATCTTGAAATATTCAACTATCAATTCAACGCTAAAGTATAGTGTATGCATCAATTTCATCATTGCCAATTTCCGCTCGGTAACTTGTCCCGTTTAAAGAATAAGGTGGTGAAGGGGATCTTCTTGAAGTGCACTCACTGTATAATAATATTCACAGTTGGTGGTAAGACGAATACTGATAATATATGGGTATCTACTTGAATAGCAATATTGCAGATAATTTTTAACGGCGTATGAAACTGAAGCCTTGCTTTTAACTTTGAGTTTCACTTCAAAAGTTACTTCACCGTCGAAGCTTTATCAAATATATAATAAGTGACATAGAAAAGAAGGACACGCAACAATACTGCATTAACCACAATTTTTTTTGTATACATTGGCTCTCAGGGTTAGGTAAGTAATTGATCAAAATTTAAAAAAAATCCAATCGTTGGAGAAATGTAAAGACTAATAATGTACTGGGCTCCCACAATATCTCACTCAGAAATACGTTTAGGCATACTCCTACTCAAATGATAGATTGCCAATTGAAGTATCCTAACGCAGCCTACTTGTACCTCGTGCGATTAGAGTTTATGGAGGATGAGTTAAACAGAGTAATCTCCATCCCATGTCCCAGACGTCCTCAATGGAAGAAAGGTCGGAAGATCTATAGTGCCAAGGTAACACAACGGACTTGGTTGTCTTCAAAATGGGCCAGCATAGCTCTGACTATAAATGGCCGCGCATTATTTTGTTGGGAAGGTGGGCTGGTGAGCATCCGTATTTAAAGCAAAACAAGTACTTCCCTCCTTCCTGTATGTAACGCACGGTGATCATGTAGCCTCTGATGAACATCAAAGTGACTTGCTTCCACAAGCATTAGCCCCTGAATCTATAATGCCAACAGTGTGGTGCTTATGTCCTTCCATAGAAAATTGAGGATCTCGCCTTTCCCCACGTTGCCTTCTTACCCTTACACGGCTATCAGGCATGTCCAAGCAGAACCTGCATTCATCACTGAAGACAGTAGTTTTACATTCGAGGTCCCAACTCAGCCGTTCTGTGCACCAAGCCAGTTGATCGCTTTGGTGCCTAGCAGTAAGTGGTAGAACTGTGGACGGTATGAAGTAGTGCCAAAACTTCTGATTCGACAATAATCAGTTCTCATGTTAATTGGTGTTCCATGCTCTCCAAACTTCAACTATTGCTTACTTACTTTTTTGTAAGAACAGCCGATATTACAAAAACTACGGTATCGATGTGGTTGAGAAGCTGATCGTTTTTTGTCCTCAGATAGACAAAGCTATACCTATAAATTATTTGTAATAAATTAATTACTACTGAGCATTCTTTTTTCTTTGTTACTTAGTATACCTATGTATTAAAGTCCAGGGTCGCAGTTGGGGTGACTTCTGAGGTGAAGTGGCCATTACGTTAGACTTGTTCGTATTATTACTAATAGCATTTATTAACGTATTCCGTTATAGAAAGCTGTATGCTCATACTAACGTTTTCAAAGTGAATTTCTAATTATTGTGGAGAGGAGAAATATAGGTGTGACAAATTGTCATAGATGATGCTACGATATCTCATTTCATCTCGCATACCTTTTTGGCCGCCGTATTACAATTAGGGTTACCAACTGTAGTGTTAAAAGCAGTATTATACTGTTTTCCACTTAATATACTCTTTACTGTTGAACAAAGATAAAGTACACAAAATACTGTTTTCAGCATCACAGGCAAATATCCATAAAACTATCTAATATGAAAACGAGAATGTGTGAGTGCATGCATTAAAATGCCCCCCTATGTGTTGGGCGTGGAAAACATTTTGAAATTTGGAGTACTGAGTTTTGTATAAAAATAGCTTACATATCTCAGCGTTTATCTTATTTGTTACTTTTTTGAATTTTAGTTTTTGCTCATACAAAAATTTCAAATGCATTACCCTGTTTATTTGTGCAAGTTTGGATTCAGTTTTTCATAAGTTTTTTTTACACTAGACACGTAAGGGTTTTTACAGCTATTTTCTCGGTTATTTTATGGAACGGCTTATTTTACTAAAATATCGCATCATCCTTGGAAACAAATAAATTGTTGATTAGTTACTAACTGTCATAATTAGCTTTGTGAGCATTATAATAAAAACGTGTTTGAATTTGATTTTTTCTAAAGAAGAAATAGTTTCCTAGCATCTCGCATTTATAAGCAACGGTACCCTAATATGGGACATCCAAGGCCGGAAACATTTTCCTCACTACGAGAGCGTTTTGAATCAAGTGGAGTAGTGGAATATAGTAAAAAATGTATAAATAATCCAAGTGTCACCAATGAGGCGTAATTAGTTGGAGGTTCTATTAAAGCTGCAGGAAAATCCCCATTTAAGTTACCGTCAAATTGGAGCAGAAACTGATATATACAGAACTTCTGTCCAAAGGATTATTCACAAGCATATGTACCATCCGTATCACCTCTGCTTGCATCAAGGCCTTCGTCCTCAGGATTTCGCAGCTCGAATGGAGTTTAGTAGAATATTGCTAAATAAAGTGAGTTGCTGGGTTTGGCAAATAGATTTGCAAAACAAATGGAGCTTGAACGTTTTTGGAGGAGTTATTGGCAGACAAGTTATCGGGCCTTTCTTTTTCGACAACAGATTAACAGGTACAGAATACTTGAATTTTTTGAACGAGCATTTGCCAGTGTGTCAACCTGCAAACTCGGATGCATATTTATGTACTTCCAACATGACGGTGCACCTGTGCATTATCATAATCGTGTGCGTAACTATTTGGACACCTGGAGTAACAATCGTTGGATCAGTCGTGATGGGCCTATATCTTGGCCTCCTAGATCACCAGATATGACACCGATGGACTTCTTTCTATGGGGCTACGTTAAGCAGGAGGTTTATAGATATCCACCATCCTACCCCGGAGAATATGAAGAAAAGGATTAAGGATGCTTTTCTGGACATAAGGGAACACATGCTGAGGGATGAGCAACGGTCATTTGTCCAAAGACTACGGCTGTGTATTCAACATGGTGGAGATATTTTCGAGCAGTTTTTCTAGCTTAGGTCTTGAGTAGTCATAGTTGTTTGTTTATGTTGTTATAGTTGTTTCTCTCTAACACGCTTGAAGCTGATTTATACTGATCTAATTGTTATTAGTTTTTACGTCAAATCTGAACTCTTAGTGGCAATATGCAACTAGCCCACTGTTTGTCTTTTGTTTCCATGGATGATGTGATTTTTTTCCTTAATTTTGGTGTGTTGTTCTATTAAAATATTAATAACCCAAAATCTAGTGATTTTATCTGAATCAAACCTCATACCAAAAAAAGTTTATAAAAAATTGAAGCCAAACTTGCACAAATATATAGGGTGATGTATTTGAAATTTTTGAGAAAAGGTACAATTCGCGTTTTTGACCACCCTGTATGAGAAAACATGAAAATTCGAAAAAGTAACAAGCAAGATAAAAGCTGAGGTGTGTACGTTTTTTGATATAAAATTCAGCACTCCAAATTTCAAAATGGCGGATTGAGGGGTTGCCGAAGTGGACAGTTTTTCTGGACAAAACACCTTATATCTCAGTAGCTAATTACCAAAACTCCATAATAGTATGTTATATCAATCTTCTTCTTTTGAATTGGCTTATCCAAATATGCAATAAAATTTGAGGCATTCTACTTAAAAAATCACAACTTTGATAATTAGGTCAAAATTGGGACACCCTGTATAATTGCCAATGTTTTAGAAACGTGCCCTCAAATGTCATGTATAACATTCCATAAATAGATTTTCCCAAAATGTTTTTGTTTATGAGTAATATTCCGTTCACACATGGATGGATATTTAGTACTAATAGCAAAAAAGTATCAATAAATAAGTAAAACTGTTCATTTTTCAAAAATACTGGTCATTTTCCCCCTCAGACCGAAATAAACTTTGTTTTTTGTAAAAAAAGTTGACAACCCTAATTACATTACATCTACCAATGTTTAGGTAGGATACGTTAATCGATGCTAATAGTCGTCAGGATTACTGCTAGATCCATTGCAAAGCCTAGATACGTCAAGGTAATCTCATATGCATGTGAGTGTGACATTGAATTTGACCTTGAATGTCAAGTTTAGCGTTATTTCAGTTTCTCAAGCTGAAACGTCAGCAGTCGGACACGCAACATTCAAACAATAAAGCATCCAAGTACTTCGTTAAGATGATTGCTAGGTATTAAGAAACCGACACTTATCATGATGAATGTTTGAAAATGGCATTCAAGGTGAAATCCAAGGTCGCAATGAAATGTTAGCCAGACCATAGCTGGTCAAGGCCCGTGAAACCTCTCTGATGGCAATTCATATTCTCATGATTATGTGCAATGATTTCGATGCTACTTGATACCCTAGATGTGACCTTAGATCAAGGAAAGGTGACTATTTGATAACCCTAATTATATCCCTATAATTATCCACACTAGTGCCAGTTAAAGAAAAAATAATAATAAATGGTAAATAACGTAGCATCGAAAATGACATTCAATTCAAAAGTAAAGGTCACATTTTTCATCACACTGAATAATTACTAACTCAGACGGTCAAGTAAGCTAACGCATTTTCGATAAAATCCCTGCACTTGCCTAAGTAGGATAATTTTTGCAGGTCTTATCATGTCGCTGTCAGGAAAGGCTAACAATCCTCCTCTTCCTGGAGAAGAGATTGTAATGTCAGGTAAGTCAACAAAAACACTAAACGCTGTGGCATCGATAGCCACTCTTTCAGATATTTTTTTAGTCAGGGGAAAGTTTTTATAATCACTGCCAGGCAGAGAAGCTCGCCAGTATTGTCCTGTGGGCCTTTCCTACCCGAAGGGAGGGATTCGCCAGAAACCCGTCAGTTATTCGCGTACTCTCTGTTTCGTACCCTCCTCAGGTACAAGTAGCTGTCAAAACAACCATATACTGTAAGGTCCTGGCTAGTATAGTCTATCCGCACTGCTCATTTGTCAATCCAGGTTTTAATATCTGGAATCAGCCTACTAGTGCATGTATTATGACCAGTTGCATCCCATCTCTCCTGACATCTAACAAAAAGCGCCTCTCTTTCGTCGCCCTTTTAATGAGCGCGCATATCTTATCAGCCAGCAAATCAGTTAGCGGGATACCAGCCATCATCAGCAGTGTATCCATACCCATGGCATTCTAACTCTTTCAGACGTTATTTCAGTTGACGGCGTTTAACTTTGTTTGTTCAAATTCAGTTCTCATCAGAGGATTTTCAGTATTACACACGTCACATGATAACGACTGAAGATGATGAATCAATTAAAAAACTAAAGCTGCATTTCTAACCAGCACCGTGCTGGAGTGAATCACAGATAGGAAATGTATTAATGGAGTACCGTAAGGTGTAAAAACCGGATCATTTAGGAAACGTTTCTAGAGTCCAAGGGTCTATAGGACAAACTCAGACAAAAAAGCGCATAACCCTTTTAATAAATAGTATTTGATCGCATTTCCTTGAAAATCTTTATTGAATACAGTTGCTAAATACAGCTTCTCCAAGTTCGGAGGTATTAAACGTTATGAACTCCACTTATGCTCGCTGTATTCATTATGAATCATAAACAGCGTGCCGTCACAGGCTTAAAAGCTTGTAGACGTCATTTATTTGTTTGTCCACTATTCTCACTAGTCATTGTCTAATGTACGTTAGTCGAATCTGTCAGTCCTGGTTGCCCAGAAACCAGACAATGTCAAGAAGAAAGAGAAAGGGAAAGAGAAGAAAAAGAGAAAGAAGAACAAAGAAAAATAGAAGTGTATCAGTTTAAGAGGAAACACCTAGGCTTTTTGACTTTATACACGGATTAGTTTTGAGGTGAACTACAAACAAATTTTGATTCAGGTTTTTTTTTTGACTGTAATTTTTTTCATAACTGGGTAGTCCACAGAGTCATGCAACAGAGGGTTATTGTGCGATTCCGCTTGACTATAACGTCGTTGTGCCTGAAGCCTGGCATAATCCCTCCGGTAAGTAATGTCAAGGTCTGTGTGTAGTGTCTCATTTGAGACATACGATGGACTGTCGCAAACTGTTCGTAAAGTCCTGCTTTGCAGTACATGAAGAATTTGCATGTGTGTGTCTGGCCAAGAAAACACAAAGCCGCATATGCGTACGTAATGGCTGGACTACTAATAATTTTATAAAGTCGAACTTTGTTTATCATACTCAATTTGGAGGATCTATATAACAAAGGATACGAAACGGCAATTTGGAATTTTGTTTCCAACGCTGCTGTATATTTCTGCCGGGTTATGCCTTTGTCAAGTGTGACACCGAGATACTTGGCATCAATTTTAATTAGCCACTGTTCCGCACACTCTAGTGCTTCCTCCATCGTACTCTGCAACCCGTCGTGAACCAGATCGCCAGTACCCGACTGGGCAGTGTCGCCATCTTAGAGGTAGACTTCACAGTTTCTGGGGAAAGAGACGTCGTGGATAAAAAGCGAGTAAAGGATTGGTCCTAAGATCGAGCCCTGAGGAACACCGGCCTGTACTGGCCGTGTAGTTGAAAAAACATTGTTAATTTTACTAGTTTTAGAAGCCAAAAAGGAAAACCCTTTTGGATTAGTTTATAAAGGAGGCCCGCGTGCCACACCTTTTCAAAGGCTTTTGAGACATCCAAAAGCAAGATGCCAGTACTCATGCTGAGGGTGAACCCTCTGGTTACATGTTCCACCAGCCTGATTACCTATAGCTCAGTGCTATGCTCGGACCGAAAACCGAATTGAACGTCAGGAATCACATGGTGATTTGACGAAAAATTCTCAAGGTGACGATAAGTCACCTTTTCGTCGAGCTTAGAAGGAGTTGACAGCAGATTACTGGGATGGCAATCCTGAAGAAATATCGATCTCATCTTCTTTGGAATCATGATGACCTCAGCAGTCTTCACCCCCCAGGGAAGTACTGGATTTTGACAATCGCATTTATTATTGTCACCAAATATGTCAGAGCTTTCGGCGAGAGCAGCTTTAATATGGCTTAGGAGCTACGCTGGTGCGTAATGTGGAACCTCGGTAATATGCTATGTAAAGCCTCAGACGAATCTTCTGAAGAAGAGTTATCTGAACAGGATTCAGTGCCTCCGCTAACGATGTTGGCCCTAAAATATCTCCTGATGTATTGTTCGTCGTCGAGGTCGCTATCAAAATCATTGTTGGGAGAGAACTGTTTTTCCATGGCGTCAGCCGTCAAACCTCGACCTTATCCTTCGTTCTGAAGACTATACCTTCAGGACTGTGGATGTGGGGGAGTTGTTCTCGCTTTTAGTCTTTAAGTGACTTTGCAACCCTCCAGAGAGAAATACTTAAATCAAGCAATCCCGCCAGAAAGCCGCTCCATTGCTCATTGCGGAACGTGTTTCTCACTTCATGGACAAGATTTGTAGCCCTAAGAGTGCCATCAGGATGACAAGACCTTTATGCCAGCTTACTAGCGGTACTTATGTCACATATTTTTTGACGAATGTCCACAAGCAAAAAAGGTATGCTGTGTCGTTGTACCGGACGCACAGCTGCATGCAGTAGAGCTGTTTGAATGGAACTTGCTCACTCCGCTAGAGCGGCATCTATTCCCGTCTCATCATCTGTGATCGGGATATCGGGAAATTCTCTAAGGAACAACTTGTATAGTTACCAATCAATACGTTTCCTTGAAGGAGCTTCCTCCTCGGAAGTTTACTCATTGCCCACATCCAAGACAACAGGAAGATGATTACCAGAGACATCATACAAGATTCGAGAAGAGATATTGTATGTACAGTTCCTAGATAACGCGAAGTCAATGACATCTTGTGCCTGGAGATGGGTGAATAGATGGTGTGTCGGCTCTTCAGTAATATGTATAAGGTAACTTGGTTACCTATTGTCATTTTATTCACGTTCCTAAAATGTCACGAGGAAAAAATAATTTAAAAAATCAAGTTTCTAATCTAAAATTAGCTAAAAATATATATATCTCCTTGTAGCAAGAGAGGATTGACATGCTAATGTTGGAAATATACTTATATATTGCAAAATAACAAAATCGGAACAAAGACGTAAGATAAGCACTGAGTCCACTGAGAATACACTCAGTTCGCTGAGCTCAGTGTATAATCACTGTATTCATACCATCCGTAGAAGTTTGAATTGAATATCTGTATGGGCCTGCTCTAATAGGTCTATGTCATTCTTCTTACCGTAGGTCAAACGTTATCAAGGCTAGTAAATTACCTTATTGAAACAACTCTTGGTCATGTATAACTTCTGCTAAACGTATCACAGTCACTGTTCGGTGTTTATAGACGAAGAAAATTAGTCTTTGAGCTGCATCTTAGCATTTGTCCCCGTATGCCACTTCAGCACGGTGAACTTTAGAAATGCAGCACGTAGCAGTGAAATTCTGAAGAATAACAATTGAAACATCTAAGCAATCATCAAATTTCAATTAGTGTGATTGACTATTACTCATATATTCTATTCTCTCCAGGGTTTGCAGGAGAATTTCCAGGCTCAAAAAATACATATGAGCTTCTGGAACATTTGCACAACAAGGTTAACCTGATGAAAGCCCCCCAAAGATGGGACTATTATAATCCCGACATTCCACCATCAGGGGGACACCTGGATAACGAACTGGGCAATTTTGATGCAGGATTTTTTGGTAGGTTTTCCAAAAAATAATGTAAGTATGTTAAATAAGCCGACGATCCCTTCCAATGTGTACAGTTCACTTGTACTTATACTTATAATCAAGATAGGCGTTTAAACAAATACAGTATGTTACCGCGAATATCATACAGTCGCAAGGATCGCTAGTCTCCACAAACTAGATTTCTGGAAAAGACTGGAAACAAAAATAAAATCATTTCTTATTATTCTTTATTTGTTTATAATGACATTTCACAGCAAAAGATCGTACCTGGCTTGGCGGGTTATGTCTCAGATCGAGCTAAACTTTTTTTTTTCTATAGAGTACCTATAGGGGCATCCAGTTTTGTAAAGTTTCAGGGTCGAACGGCAAGGTTGTCTTAAAAAACCTGTATAATGTCGAAAAAATGACAAAAATGCCAACTTGATGACTAGATAGCTGCTAGTTTACAAATAAACCCTATTTCACGAGTATCCATCACGCTTTAACGTCTACTGAGGTGAACAGCTGATCAGCAAGTGACATTTTTGTGTTGGTCTGCGACGTTGGAAATAGAGAATCGCGTGTAAATATAGTAAAACTTATTTGTATCGTTTTATTTTATAGATGAAAATGAACTTTTCTCAATAAAAGAGCTGTTAGCAAGTACAAAATAAATCTGTAGAGTACAAAAAACCAAAACAAAATACAGCTCTGACTACCTGACGTTGACGGATCCATCAGAATTATCCTGTGCCGATATGGGGAATTTCGAAATATTACTAGATAACCAGCTGTCATTGTTCCGTGATGGATACTCGTGAAATGAGGTGTAGTTCATTCCGCTTTTTGTCGCTGCGAGCGTTGTGACCGTCACCTATCAGGGAATGACTCAACGATATGCTCACTACCATGCTGCAAGTCAGGGCGCCAGCATGCTTTGTTCGTTGCAAAGATCGCATCTAGACGATTGTGTGGCGAGCGCAACTAATTTCTAGCTTTGCCTACATCTCAAATAATTTCACTCAAATATTTTGAGAGAAGAAATCAATGGATCAACAACATAGATTATTGGCACACAAATCCTGACTATGCTTCTATGCACTGCCGTTTCCTTTCACCTATAGTATAGAACTTCCCGCCTAGACATCCAATGTTGCCATCTCTGAAGAAAATGCTACATCACATCAGAGCCAAACAGATACACAACGAGTGCACATCAAGTGAACAGCAGCTAGTTGATTCCTCTAGGAAAATCCACATGATGTCATAAAAAACCTGTATAATGTCGAAAAACCGACACAATGTCACTTTTCAAGATACGAAATACGCTTGCGGGTTGGCCCAGAGACTTGATGAAAGTGTGGAGGTACGAAAAAAAGTGAATTTTGGCCATTCCCATTTTCTTGCTACTGCTATGCCTGGAACGTATCACGTTTCGTAACATACCAATGACTATTTTTGAAGGAATTCACTAATGCTCTAGCACACTGCTCTAGCATTATAAAGATGGTAATTTCTGAGCTAAAATATATATAATAGAATTTAGAGGCTGGACTATAACATCCATCTCATATAGATCGATGGGTTGACTCCTGTTACTCAAGAAAAAAAAATAATTTTGTGGATGTTTTGTTTCTGAATGCATTCGAATTGTCAACCCGATAAAACAATGAAGCGTATCTAAAAAATCGCTATTGAATGCAATATCTACTGAACGAATTGTCGTATTTTGAAGGTCATTGTTTAATTTCTTTAACCAGTTTACTTTGAAATAAGTATATATCTCGAGGGCTAATACTTTATTTTTCAGAAAAAAAAGTTGAATCTGAGACATGAGCTTCCCTCGAGTTATAATGAAAATGGCGAATGTGGGTCCAAAATATCGCAAATCGGGTCCAAATGCATTTTCGACTAATTTAAAAGCTTAAGTAGGTACAGAATTCAATTTATATAAGAGGATGGTTTACCAGCTTTGAAAAAAATATTCATTAGCTTGAAGTTGAAAAAACGTCAGTATTTACATTGTTTCTGTACCTTCAAAGTTGAAGCGGATATCCAGACCGAACTGTTCCACCTAGGTCCTTGGAACCACCAGGCACATAACATTTGGAAGATCTGACCCAGTCGATGTCTAAAAATGTCTAAAAATATATTTATTGCATTTCCGAACAAAAGTCCATGGGGCAGTTTCTGAGAAATAGCCGTATGGTCTGTCCGATTTGCAAAAATGGCGAATGTACCGATTGTAGATCCGAAACCAGAAACTCGGATAATCAGTAAACAAAACGAAATTTTTAGTTAAAACACCTCGTAGGAAGGTGTTGCGGAGGTATCATATTGATGGTGATCAAGATCCTTACAGGGCAGGTTGATTTTTATATATTTATGCTGAAATAGCAGATCTGGCACGAGTTGTCCGAGAATTCATTAAACTTAAAGAACAGGTAGATTTTCATTCGGAAACCGACAAGGTCAATTGAATGCAAAACTTACATTTTCCTCAAACAAAATATTTGCATACCTATATTGCAAAGGATTCCTTTTGAACGGTTTTCCAATAATCCAGACGACTTTTGTTACAAAGTTTTTCTAGAAAGTGTTCAGATTCGCTGATGTAAACGACATTATAAATTATGAATTCTAAGACTTTCAAGTGGAAGATGTAGTTGTATTAAATAGAGGATACCTTGCTGTATTGTTTAACTAGTTAGGTACACTTTGAAAAATGCCTCCACCGCTGGGAGGAAACTATTGGCAGCGGTCCTCGGAATTGGTCAATGAATCTCGTTTAGTTACCAAGACAAAACTGGTGGTTCGAGAGTTATTCAAATGCTGTATGTACCAAATCTAGGAACCTTTATGAAATGGCTCATTCTGCGATTATTATGGAAGGTAGATTAGCGCATTAGCTCTCAGCAACTGCGCAAGAGGCGACCGCCGGTCTAGCATTACAATAATAATAATAATAATTTATTGATGCTATTACACAGAAATGTGTTTGCACAAGTCAGCTAAGGTATAAACATAAAAGAGTATGTAAAAATAACAAACAAATCGTAAATGAGACAAACATAAAACATAAAGTGGCAATAGAAGCTAAATAAAGAGTTAATAAAATTAAAGTTAACATTTGGATTTATAATAGAGTTGGCTAAACAATTATAAAAGGAAGTAATTACAAGAAAAATTTGTGCTATTACAATTAGACAAAGTACAATATCTTATATGAAAGTTTATGAAAGCAATGGGAATTTACCTGATAATCTTGCAACGATTAATCGGCATTACTGTAGATTTAAATCTGCTGTCCGAACCATAAGCATATATACTGGAAGTTGTTTTTCTTAAATTGACTCAAACTATCCGATATGTGGGAAGCAAACCAAAACAAGAAAACTCAAATTAATAGTCCATAAAATACAATACCCTGAAGCTATGTTCACATTAGCGCGCTTTTTCTTTCTCTTCCAGCGTCTCGCGCGCTGCAGAAGTAACCCATGTCTACGCTGATGGAGATTTTTGTATTCTCAAAAACAGCCAACTAAAAATTTACTCTATGTCCTACGCTTCTATCCCTGTTGTACAGAACTGTTTTTTATCAGCGGAAGGATGCAATTGTTGTTTTTGACATCAAACTGATTTATTTTATATCGTAGGGTGGCACGAGAAATTAGCCGACAACAGTGACAGTTTAGTGAGACATCCTGTAGAGAAAGCGATAGAGGCCATCATGGACGCGGGATTGAATCCGAGTGATCTACAAAATCAAAGATGTGGAATCTATGTTGGAGCCTGTTTCAGTGAGAGTGAGAGGAATGCGTTCCTTGTCAACGTACAACCAGAGTTCCCATTGATTGGGTACGCATTATTTCTTCTTCATTACTATGCTCAGTTAATGACAGAGTAACGGATATGCATTAGACGTAATAACATGAAAACCTCTGAACCCAGGAAAGCTGGAGTTTTTTTATTTTTTTGCAGAATGCATTTAAAATAATTTTTAATATATACGGTTAGGTTATTAAGATACTGGTCAATTTTTCTGAACCGACCCGACGACTTCGACTGATTAGAACGAACCAAGCTTATAAGTGTTCATTAGATCGTTTGTCGCCAAAATTGTTTAGATTTAGTGCATACTTTTTGCTAATTTGCCTGCCAATGCTTACCAAACCAATACATCGGCGTACAATCTTATCTCTGGAAATTTTGTTCAAATTGAATTTAAAATAACTTTTTAATCTTTGCATCAATTTCGATAATTTTTTCGTCAAGTTGTGGATAATTTCATTGCCATCATTATCGACTGCCAATCTTGCAAAAAAATTAAAATGTCTGTTGTTATACAGGATGTAACTAAAACGTGCATTTTGCCCTAAATTTCGGTACTTCCTCTGGAAACGTTGGATCACTGAATAATGTATCTTTGTACGAGAATTTTAAGACTCAACCTTTCTCAACAGTTCTTTTATTGGTTCATGTCAATATCTCAATTATTGAAGAATATGTGCTGTTTTGAAGAAAATCATGCGCATCAGAGCCATAAAAAATTTATTTAAAAAATTACAGTGACAACATTGGTAAGAAAACTATGCGAATCATAACCGTAAACAATTTAACTTAAAAAACTACAGTGACATCATTGAAAACTAGGAATTGTTATCAAAAACGATTTCCTCCCCGTGCTTGAATAACAGCTCTCATCCTCTGTGGCATAGACTCATTTAAAGCAGCTATTGTGTACTGCTTCTGCCTAAGCATTCTTCCTAATGTATCCCACATGTGCTCAATGGGGTTGAGCTCCGGAATCCTTGGCGCCCAGTCTAGTACTTGAATTTCAACTCGTTGAGGTATAGTCACTCTGGCTATATGCGGCTGAGCATTATCTTGCATCAGGAGAAAATTTTCTTCTATAAAGGGCATATGAGGAGCCACATGTTTTTCCAAACACTTTCTAATGTACCTGTCGGCAGTAAGGTGTCCTCCTCGTAACGAAACAAGACCGATCTCCAACTACGTTGTTGCTTTCCGTCATTCTTGCCCAGGTCTTCCTGAGTAAGAACCAGTTTCTCTAAATCTTTGTATCGCATCGAATACTGTACTGCGTGGAACGACCAGCCTTTCTGCGATATACCGAATAGGACGACTATAATCTTTTTGAGCTACAGCTTGCGCTACTTGTTTCGGTGTCATTTTTGTTGAGTGCTGCTTGACAAGAATCTTTTTGACATGCCATAAAAATGCTAACAGATACAGCCTGCATGATTTTGTGTGTCTGTAATTTTTTAAACAAATTTTTTATGGCTCTGATGCGCATGATTTTCTTGAAAACAGCATATATTCTTCAATAATTGAGATATTGACATGAATAAAAAAAAAACCTGTTGACAAAAGTTGAGGCTTTGAATTTCCATACGAAAACATATTATTCAGTGATCCAATATTTCCACAGGGTGTTCAGAAATTTAGTGCAGAATGCACCTTTTAGTTACACCCTGTATAACAACAAACATTTTCAATATTTTTGCAAGGTCGACAGTCGATAATGATGACAATAAAACTACCTACGACTTGACAAGAAAATTAACGAAATTGATGCAAAGGTTAAAAAGTTATTTAAAATTTAATTTGAACAAAATTTTGTTTGTCCGGTTAATTTTGCGTAGTAGAAATACTATCTACATTGGGATGTGGATCGCTCATTTTTAACAAACAGCAATAAATCAAAATGGGCAAGAAAACGGAATGATTCAGCATATATATGAACAATTCTGCTTGATTCGTGATTTTGGAAGATGAACAGTACGATACATTCTCTCTATCAAATAGCAACAATGGCGGGATACGTGATCTTGAAAATAGTGTATCACTTTGTATACATTCTACTCGGATTTTCTGAATACTTGTCGTCATCAGAACATATTCTTGGCTGAAAGCAAATACCTACTTGAACATAAAAAGATTTGAAAGCGTTTTGAGTATAGTTTTTCAGCCATAGAATACCGTGGCACAGAAATGAGACCATAAAGTTACCTCTTATAATGCAAAGCTACCTCCCCTAAGAATTTTTAGATTCAAAATTAAAGTAGATTATGTTAAATTTTAGTTTGGTTTAGTTACATTAAAGTCTCGGTTGGCCCTTTTCAGTATCCATATAAAAAATCGACTCCAATATTTTATATTTTTCAATGTTGTTGTTAGGTATACAATTCCGTTAACAAACTTTAGACTGGGACTGAGAGAAAACAAGAAGTGAAATAGAATAATTCAAAATTATCTCAAAAAGTAATGAAGTACTTGCCCTTTCGCAACATCGATGACTGTAACACTTGTTGAAAAAGGTGTTTGCTCTTATTCAGTTTAACTGCTTTCAGCAATCCAATTAATCATATTTTCTGTAATTATCTGTATCACTAGGATTGTATGGAACGTACTTTTATATATATTCGCAGAAAAATATGAAATTTAATGTGGAATGTCAACAACGTCAAACTGGGGGTTTAAGCCTGATCCCACCACTTAAAATAAACTAGCGAAAACACTGGTAGCAACGCTAACCTGGAAACACTGCAATACCTAAATAGTAACGATATCAGCTTAAAGAGCTTAAATGCTTGTCATACAACAAATAAAATATACTTCTCTTTCGAGGGTACGACAATAAGACCTCATTGAAAAAAAATGACTGGTAAAGTGTTTAAGGAACTAGTTCTACTTGTCTCAATTAAAGTCTTTTTTTGTCATATTTCTGCTGTCAACGAGTAAATATCTTATGTAATAAAATAAACTTGATAAAATGTCATTTTGCTACAAACGTATTTTATATTCAAAAAGTATTTAAAGGATATGTTCAAATATTTTGTATCTAGTAGTTCAGATACTATTCCAGAAAGTATTCTGTATGTGGTACTTGAGATACTTATTTTAAAAGTATCTTATGTTTTGTATCTCAGATACTTTGTATCCAGTATCTCTTACATCACTGCTCATATAACTTATATCTACGAGTTCTTACAGTATACTTACGCTAACCTTAGCAAATGTGGAACTTCCAGCAGTACCCACAACTATTGTTCAAGATGAAAGAATATAAGTAGAGGGCATGACACATTCAAAATCTTTGTAGTTTTGTGTCATAGTGCTGAGTATCTCACGTGTGCGATTGTATATAAACTTGTCAATAAACGATAAATGCTATCATAAATAGAAACCTTACATCTCAGCTACTCCACCTCCAATAGTAATCCGCCTAGTCTGCACACCATATACTGAATGCCGGTGTTCAAAGAAATATATAGCGCTATCTGTGAGATAGTAGCAGAACATAAAATGTATTTAGAAATCTACTTTGAAAAGAGTTAGGGTTAAGCTCTGCTACTGTCTCGTAAGTGGCGCTGAAGTCTTCAATCCCTTTTTGGCTTCTCTAATGCATATTTTAATTGGGTATCTTGAGGCCTGATCAACGCATTCAATCCGAACATATCCATTTAAAATGGATAATAGAGAGACCAAAAGGAGATTGAAGATTCTAGCGATCTTCATAAGACAGTAGAAGAAACAAACACCCTAACTTTTGTCAAAGTAGATTTATGAATTCATTTTTATGTTCTGCTGCAGTTTCATAGATGGCGTTGATACCTTTCAGAGCTCTTTTTCGTCACTGGAGCTCAGTATATCGTTTAGCTGCCTTCATGTAAAATAATCAGTGCTTTTACTAAAGAAAAGCAAGAACTGGGCTGACTATACCCAAACAATGCCAGATAAATTAGCGATACAAAAGAAATAAGATCTTATCCTAGTGTCCGATATGTACTTTTAATTACTTCGAATTCTTGAGTTTTAGATAAACGTGCCCTTTTCAGGTTGCTTGCGTTTCGGATTTGTTTTCTCGCCTTGTTCAGGGCTAGAAAATGTGAATGATACTACACTAGCAGAATTTCAAAATCATAAATTAGGTATTGAATGAGAAAGTATAGTTAAAACTATTGACCAAGAAAATACATCACAAAGTAATAAAAATCACAGAACATAAGCAAACAAAAGTAATTACAATAAACGTGTGTACATATACATTTAGTGTACAAAATAGTTCTATTCTACCGCTAAGCCAATGGGGTTTGCTGCTCAGAGCTTTCTTCCACGATGCTGCCGTGCGATGTTCCTGCCTTCCATCCTAACCGTGTCGAACTTCGTACATCTAGAAAAGGCTGATTCGCCTTTATCTCTAGGGTGTCAATATTGCGGAACAATCTACAAGAGGAGGCTTTGCCCAATTCAATAAACCTCAGGCAATTCAAAAATCGGATTAACGAAGTTTCTTTGGGATCCTCATAGCAGCCGCGGTGCCCTGGCACTTAGGCTTCTGCCTGAGCGGCTGCTTCGGTGTAGAAAACCTTGTGTTGAGTGTCAAATGATGTTTATTGCTCAAACTAAACAAAATTAAAAAAATAGACTGTCATCACATAAATCATCTCGCAGAGAAGTACAAGGACATGATAGGCAGCACACAGCTTTGACAACTCATCGTTTTCAGAGCAACCTTAGGTTCAAGTTTGACTCAGTTTGCCTTTTAGATAATGAAACCAAAAATACGCTTAACTAGCGAGACCGAAGAAATTAAAAGTACAGAAAAATTAGTCGCGTTATATAAATATAAAAACGAAATAAGCATTGACTAGACTAATGAATCTCTATACTTATTTTCAGATATACTCGAAATCAAATCGCACATAAGATAGCATACTACCTAAAAACGAAAGGTCCAGCAGTAGTAACGGATACAGCGTGTAGTAGCGCAATGATTGCACTGGAAAATGCGTACTTTGCTATTAGGATTGGATTAATTGACTGTGCTATTGTATCCGGGGTGAATTTTTGTATAAACCCTATGGTTACATTACAGTTTTCATGGTACGTATATTCAGTGAACTTCAAATGTCCTTGTTGTCAGAATAACCTTGGTGAACAATGAACAAAACCGACAGTATAGATGGGACTTGGTTGTTGGGCGTCTTAATATGGCCTCGGGATGGACTCGTAGAGATAAATTGACCTTAGACTTGGGCAAAACGAGCTCAACAATTTTTAGACATGTAAGACAGATAATTCGAATTGGTTGCTAGACTTGCTAAGATTTGACCTTCGGATTAAGTGGTTGTTCGACGTCTTGATATGGCATTGAAATGACTTTCATCTGGCCTTATAAGGATCGCTGACCTGAGATTTGAATATACAAATTTAAAAGCCTTCAGATCTGTGTTTCAGATGATTCGACATGATTGCCAGGCTTGTTAGTACTTAATCAGGATACGACCTTGACATTCATTGGTCTCATCTTGGAGTTCTCTTAAAACCTGCTACATCCCGACAAACTTGGTTGTTCGTCGTCTGTATATGACCTTCGAATGGCCTCATGGGAACTCGCTGACTTTAGATTTGGACACTTCGAGCTCACCAACCTTTACACCTGTGTGACAGATGATTCGACTTAGTTGCTAGGCTTGTTGAGATTTGAGTTTGATACGACCTCCACCTTCATTGGTCTAACTTTGGTGAGCATCCCATAAAACAGGCACTACAGATGGACAGACTTGGCTGTTCGACATCTTGATACGATCTTGTAACGGCCTCATAGGGATGAGCTGACCTTAGCTTTGTATCTAACGAACTCGACAACCTGTATGATAGATGGTTTGTTTTGGTTGATAGGCTCGTTGAGATGTGACCTTGACACGACATTGACCTTCAATGACATAATACAGATTAACTGTTTTCGGATTTGGACTCGACAAACCCAAAAACCTCTCTGGCAGGTTGGACTTTATTGCTTAGCTTTTAGAGAATTTGTGTCCGAAGCGACCTTCAAATATCTTACCAGAGACAAACTGACCTTCGCTGTCAGAAATCCTAAAATGTGAACGATAGACGATTCAACTTGATTGTTCCACCTTAGACTTGAAATCAAAAAGACAAATAATTTTTGGAAGTTGAAATGCCCTTATATCGCAATTAACTTTATTTAACGCATGACATCTCAAAAAATTGACGTTAGAGTGCCCCCGTGATAGTCTCAAGGACACACAGTAACTTCAGGTTCTAGCTCAGTAGCCTCAAAAAGTTATAAAGACATTAAACCTAAGCTGATCAACCAGCGTAATTGTCTTGAAATCCATTAATCGCGTATTTACCTAAACTTGACCTTGAAATTACTGTCAATTCGACCTCAAGTCGACTTTTTAATTTATTTATTGGGGACGAACTGACATTAGTTTGAGCACTTACGATAGAGATCTTAACAACAGACTGAGGGTGCTGGTTACCGGCTATTTAAGTATCTGACCTTGGACTGACCTTTAAAACTAAATACGGATCAATGGAGTCAAAAATCTGTTATAACAGTGGTCAGACTTTTTCATTTCCGCTGATCTACACAATATATTCAATTTAGATAATGATTTTGAATTTGACAGGATGGCTTTGCTGAGTAAGAATGCTACATGTAGTCCATTCAGCAAGAACCGCAACGGATACGTCAGAGCGGAAACTGTGGGTGCTGTGTTTCTACAGAAAGCGAAAGATGCAAACAGAATTTATGCTGAAGTTGTCCATGCAAAAACTAATTCAGATGGTCACAAAGAACAAGGAATTACATATCCTTCTATGGTTGGTATTTTGATATCTATTTTTACCTTTACGGATAAGTCGCGAAAACGAATTAAACCAGGTGTTTCAAATTCTCTCACTCTCATCATTAGGATCTTGGAAACGGTTAAAGATATATAAAAAAGGCAAAGTAGTGCATTTAGGTAGCTAAGACAATTGCACTTACAATGTTTCACAATTCAGAGCATTGTCGGAGAGCGATGGAAGAAACTGAATTTTCTTGTTCGTCGTTTCCATTTTTTCCTGACTTTATTTGAGATGAAGTTTCAAAATAAATTGCACATTAACATTGTTTCTTTTTCTCCTCCCCAAGGTGGCATAACTAGATTTTCAATTTGACGTTTCGTCTCTTGCCCTCAAAAATCAGTTTTTCTTTTTATTATACACACGAGATTTGATTTTTGCACAGGTGATTACATTTTTTATTCTAATCTCATAATTGTCATATATTGACATTGAAAAACTTAACTTAACTTATATTATTTTAAAAATGACATGACATGTTTATCCAATTGAATAACCAACGCTACAGTTCTTGAGAAGCGTGGTTAAAGGACATTCAGATAATTTGCCCCATGGAGGCGCGCTCTACATGACACTTCAGCACTAGGCTTATAATATTTGTGCATCGGTTTAGATATGGTGGATATGAAATGAGTTTAGAAAGAGGGAACGCCGTAGAGACCTTCATTTACTCTAAAATGTTTCTATCAGCTGATAAATATTTTCAATACCACTCATAAATATGTAATATGAACAAAATTAAGCATTAAGTTGTTCTTTATTGGATGAGTTAAGACCATCTATAGGAAGATTGCTTTTTAGACATTTGAATAAGAATATCAATCTATGTCTATGCCAAAAATAGGGACTTGACACCTATGACTACTTTATAAAAGCTGAAGGAAAGCGTGGCTTATGATATAAAACAAATAATAATAAGATACTTTCAAGGCCTGCTTAACTAAGGTTTGACATTGAATACATTCTGGGATCATAATTCAAAAAACTCTATTCACTAAATAAATAAAAACAATTTTCGGAAATTCGGTTGCTTTCGTCTATTTCCGAAACTTTCTGAGTGCCATTTTTTAGTAACCTAAATGCACAGGGTTGCCTCCATTTAACTGACATCGTATCTTTTTTCGTTCACAATGTTCCAATGATGAGAGTGGAATTCAAAAGACTTGGAATACAGGGCATTTCGTATTGTAGTAAAGTCCATGTGTCAATAGCTGTAAAACGAATGTTATTCTTTTGGCATTTATTTTTTCGTCATCGACAAAATCTACACACATGGAAACCTGTCAAACAATAAACGTTGACTCAAGGCTAGTTTATGGGGCGGCTGGGCGTAAGAAAATTTTGCTGTCCGTGGGAAGAAGCGATATCCTCTGATGTGTGCTGCTGGTGTTGCTGTTGGTGATGCTGTTGATGATGCTGCTATTCACTTTGCTGCTCTTGGTATAGCTGCTGGTGTTGTTGCTGGTGTTGTTGCTGGTGTTGTTGCTGGTGTTGCTAATAGTGTTGCTGCTGGTGGTGCTGTTGGTGTTGCTGCTGGTGTTGCTGTTGATGTTGCTGTTAGTGACTTTGCTGCTGTTGGTATTGCTTCGGTGTTGATGCTGGTATTGCTGCTGGTGTTGCTGCTCGTGTTGCTGCTGGTTTTGCTGCTGGTACAATCAGCGACACCACCAGCATACATCAAACGATACCGATTTTCCCCACGGCCAACAAAATTTTCCCACATTCAACCGTCTCATACTCTACTTCGAAGTAACCATAATAATATGGTAGATTAATACGTAGACGTAATTTATTATCAGTTCTTGTTGAACTATTTCAGGTGTCTCAAAAATCATTAATGGAAGATGTTTACAGAGAAAGCGGGATCTCCGTTGATAAGTTAGGGTACATAGAAGCTCACGGAACAGGTAAGTTTTTTGTGCGCATATAAAAATTTAACTAGTAATGACGTCTTGTTGTCGAGGTATACATCCGTATTCCAATTTCAGTCGACACCCTTACGTCTATTTTAGTGAATATATTATAAGCAAAATTCATTTACTTCAGGTTAGTGTTGTTATTTTTTTTTCATGATAAGTACTGCAAAAGGTAGTTGAAATGAATACTGGATTTAGCCACATGGCAACGATTTTCGGTGGAAGTTCTGTGCTGACCCAAAATTAATTGCTATGTTACTTGGTTTTCAAGGTTGATTCAGTAAATATTGTTATATTTTTTAGCATGTGGGACCCCAGAACTGCCAAACAAACGGACATTGTGTTTGGGAAAGCAAATGTAAAATACTTGCCTTTAATTGACCCCGAAGACCCAATACATGAAACCCCAGCCTTTCTTGGCCATCATAGTGTTTCCACTTGCTCTATGCAGAATGAGCTTGTGGTCTTTTCTGCTAGAATCAGCCTTACTATCAAGTAAAAGCAGGTTTTCTGTGCACGTAGCTGTCCTTTCTCTGACGAACTCTTTTGCCATTACCCTAACTGACTGTTCCACCATTCTAAGGACTTTTCCTTGGTCCAATTTCTTATGGACTGCTTAGGGCGTGCTCTCGTCTCGCCACAGAAAGGCTCTTTTTTTTATACTCCAACTACCACGAAGGCCTAAGGCCTAAACACCCATTGGGTACCGTAGGGCTATAGGGGGATACAGGGGAACGGGGGAACGCTACACGGACTCTGGCGAGGGAACACGTGTGCATGCAACATGCACACATTCTGGTTCCGCCTTCGAGATCCGCCGGGTGGTACCTCCGCGTTCGACAGTCAGAGACCATCTACCACCTACGGATAATCACAACATCCATAGCCAAGAGAAAAATTTCTCTTGGAACTGGATTCGAACCCGCACAGCGCACGGCATCTGATCAGGAGACCGAAGAGTCTACCACTGCGGCCACCGCTGGACCTATAAGGCAATTGATCGAACCTTGTCGGCCTAGGTCATCCACCTTCCCATTTCCTTTGTAACCAGAGCAATGTTACCTTGTTTTGGTTTCTTAGCTCTCTCAGAATATTCTCGCAATACTCTTTTAGCTCTGACGATATTAGCGACGAACTTGATGCCCTAATGGCTGCCTGCATGACCGCATCCTTCTTTATTAGCTCTTTAATTTGTATGGCGGTTACTTCAGGCTGAATCCTCATCAGTATTACATTACTTTGGCGACGTTTTTGTGTGTTAACTAACTTATCATTTCCATGATTTCAATGAGCCTCGATAAAATCTATCATTAGCTCTATTTTCTTTTTGGATCACTCGAAAGCACAGTCCTTCTGTTTCGTGTACTTATTTATTTTTTCTCGTTTTTTTTTTTGACATCAGGTACCGTTGTCGGAGATCCGGTTGAATGTGGTGCAATCGATGAAGCTATAATGAAACACAGAAAAGAACCACTGCTAATAGGTTCCGTCAAGTCAAATGTCGGACACGCTGAGCCAGCCTCGGGACTACCTTCCATCGCAAAAGTAAGATTTATAGCTAAATATCAATCACTGATTTTCTTAGGTGACGCCAAAATATGATGCCTTCAGTTTCCGTGAGAACGGACGCTACGAGTAATAGCAAAAGGTCCCAGCATAAAAACACAAAATAGATGATGCGTCGAGTCATTGATTAACGTACTCTACCTGAAGTCAGCCAAACCGATATTGTATTTCGGCGTCCAAAAAATTATCCGAGATGTGATATCATTTCGTCATCTATGAGAATATATAAAATATGAGCATACTTGTGCGCGGATTTCATCGTATTAAAAGACACACCTCGTTAACGGTAGGGTAGGATGCTTTACGTTACTCTCTTCCATTTTGATATTTGACAATAGAATATTTTCTTTATTGTATTTTAGATAATTGGTGCAATGGAAACGGGGATAATTGCTCCAAATATACACTTCGGTGAGCCAAATCCTAGCATTCCAGCTCTTATAGAAGGTAGACTTAAAGTTGTTTTAAAGCCTGAACCATTGAAATCAGACTATGTAGGTAAGTTGATCACTACACGGTACGATTGGTTTAGTATTTTCGTATTGACGACTTTTTGAAATCTTCCTCTAACAATAACTATACTTATTTGCTCCATAAGAATAATAAATTCTTATTACAAAAAAATGCCTTTTTATAATTGCTTCAGATCAAATATACTATATAAGTATACCTCTGAATATTCTAAGTCTTGGTCAGGGTAGTAGGATTGAAACTAAAATGTGTAGTAAGTTTACTATTTTTACAAGTGTGTAAGTGTAGTTTGGGATTTCTTTTTTTAAACACGTAATAGCTAAAAAACTGTTTCAATAATTTGGTGTGTTTCAATCCTTATAATAGCATTTGTCGCAGCAGATTATATCACGTAGGTCCCAGAAAACTGTACTTTTATTTTTCTGAGTTTTGGGACCTTTAAAATGTTTTTGTTCCCTGTATCATGAGCATAATTCACTTACTTGCCAACCTAATTTTGTCACCACGAGTTCTTGTTACTACTGTATCCAAGTATAATTAACGAATATCAAAATGTTGACCCTGATACCATAGCTTGCTATCATGATGCATTTTTTGATAATCTCCAAATTTCAGGTATATGTAACATTTGCTGCTCGCCAAGCGATAATGCCATAGCTAAAGTTACTTAGTGCTAGGACATGTTATACAGGACAGCGCTGTATAATACTCAAGACCCTATTCAGATATCAGACGTCATGCTTACAATGTTGGCCAAATTTATTTTCCGTTTCAGATTTCCATGTGTCCGAGAGAGAGAAGCGTGTTAGAAAGAGTGTGCCATATAAGTGTCGTCACCACATTGGCTTGTTAGCAGGGCGCATTAAAAATAAGTGGATACAGGCTTTAACTTACTTAAGTTTATTTGAAAAAGAACTTACTACGTGACAAGACTGATTCGCAGGCAACTTGTGACAGCACATTGTTGTCATACTGCTTGACATTTCATTAATACCAACATAGTTTGCCATTGCCAACTTAACACGGCTGTAACTCCTCCACGCTTATAGTGCACAGTCTGTCTAACATTCATGTTGCACGCTTCTCTTTCTCATACACATTGGAAATCTGAAAGGAAAAACGACTTTAACCAGCACTATATGGTAGTGAACGTAACTTTTTTTATTGTATCTTCAATTTGCTCATAATCATCTTAGATGGGCGTATTTAGGGAGTTGAAAATAAGGATCCTGTGCATGGGGATCTCAATACCTGTGGGAGATACAGCTTATGTTAAATTAGGAGAAAGCTGTGGTCTTTGGGGCGTTGAGAAACTTGTGAAAAATTTATCGTTCCTTGAAGTATTTGGGAAAAACTAACCTTTGGCCAAATCATGTTTTCAGACTTTATTTTAAACTAAGGCAACTTTTTCATTGGGACTTTTTAGGCACTGCATGATGGTGTTATTGAGAAACCATCATCAACTTTATTTGTTAATATGGTCGGAAAAAAGTACAGCCTGTATCTGATAGCACCTTTTTCTATTCATTCAATGATGTTACATGTTACATTTATTTCCTTAGTTATAAAGGAAAATGTGTTATACTTTTACCCCTTAGATTTTCTTGAGCCCAGTAATGAGGGTTGCGGCGATTAAAGATGCCATTATTAGTGACCAACCATACTCTAAGCATATTATCTTTGACGAGAAATTTAAATCGTCTTCACACGTTTGTGTATACCACTTACAAAAATGCTGTCGCTTTTAGCTATCCCCTGGTAGTCCTTGGCAAATCCTTAATTTATAGGGGTGATATCTATTTTTACGCAACATAAATTGGGCTGTGGATTTGGCTACTCCTACATTTTTCCCAATTTGCCTGGTTGATATCGCGGAGTTCTCAGCAACTTCTTGTAAAACACTATTCTGAGCTTCCTCTAAAGATTCCTTTTTTCGAGACGTAACAGACTTTTTGAATGAATCATGTTCATTTGAATTTCGAGCCAACTCTAAATGGACCTACTTAACCGCCTCCTTTCGAGAAATTTATCGAGATACATTTCTGCAGTATTCATAGTATTTTTGTAGAAGACAATGTAGCACGTCTGCAAGACCGCCAGGCATCTTTGACGTTAATATAGCAATATTAACAATGCACAATAATAACAATACTAGGTGTATTTACGCGTATTTACGCCCCAAAGGACGCAACTTTTTCTTAATTTGACCTAAGATGTAGGTCCTACAGGTATTCAGATCCCCATGTATAGGCTCCTTATCTTGTATACGTTTACATCCCCAGGTACTAGATACATTTCGAATTGACAAAATCTCAAGTTTAGTGTTATCCACTGTCATATTAAGTGGTCTGTAATTGGATAAGTTGATAGCGTAAGAGCAGAAAAGCTAAAGTTATCGTTAAGTTTCACACCTCAGGCCACAAAAGCCTACTTTCACGCTCTTGATACATAAATTACTATTTATATTTGCAGGTGTCAGCAGTTTTGGATTTGGTGGTGTTAACTGTCACGCTCTATTGAAAAGACACGCTAAAAGTAAAATCGGTGGAGGTCTACCTGCCGACAATACTCCAAGATTGGTCTGCGTCAGTGGCAGACTTAGGGAAGGTGTGATTGAAATGCTCAAGCCCTTCAAAGAGAACAAACTGGATGTGGAGTTCGTGCGACTTCTTCATAATGTATTCAGGTATATGATGTAAAAGCTATAATATCACTTTCTATCTAAACAGTATGTTCTGTGAGGAAATGGACATCGGCTTGAAGAAACTTTGCTTGCTGATTTGCTTTATAATTTTAGGAAGAACATACCCAGTTACGTCTACAGAGGATACAGCATTGTAACAAAGACAGGAGAAGTTCACAGGCAAATTGGATACCTAAGGAAACATACTCCTTTATGCTTCGCATTTGGCGAGCTTACCAACTGGATGGAGGTCAGCAAGAAGCTAATGCAGCTCTTACCATTCGCCGACTCTATGCAAAGGTATATTTCTCAGCTTCAGCATCATATTGTTTGTTTGTTTGTTTAAGATATATTTAGCATGATTGCTGCAATTACACTCTTCTAAAAAACTAAACAATTACATAACATACAGACTTTCAGAAAAAAACAAAATTTGCATCTCTAAGAATTTTCATTGTCCATGAAATATTCGTTTAATTTTCTTTTAAATATCTTTAAATTACAAGTAGACTTTATATCATTATTTAGTTTATTGAATTCAAATAATCTTTTCTGAAATATTGATTTGATAGTTATATTACTATTGCAATTTTGTAAATGAAAATCTATATTTCCTATAATAATTGTGGTAATGATTATTCAATTCTATATAGTGTTCTAAATGTTCTGGCAAAAGATGGTCTTTTATTTTAAATATAAAAGTAAGAACCAAATATGATATGAAATTTTTTATATTCAACCACTGCAATTCTTGTAACATACATTTTATTTTGGTGTACTTTTTATTCAATATTATTCTCATAGCTTTATTTTGCATGACTTGTAATTTTAAGAATACAGCTTCATTGGCAGTGAACAAGATAGTTGAACAATATAGTAAATGTGGTAGAATAATTGTATTATAGACTATTTTCTTGGAATAGGTACCAAGACTATGAGAAGCCCTATAAAAGTAATTTGTTTTTTTGGCAATTTTTGAAATAATGTATTCATAGTGATCTTCAAACTTTAGTTTACTATTAATATATATATATATATACCTAAATAATAATTGATTCAACATTTTCAATTATTCCTCCATTTATCCTAACTGTGATAGTATTTTCACTTAAGTATTTCCCTATTAGCATACATTTTGTTTTAGTATTCAATTTTAGTTTATTTACATTTAACCAATTTACGATTTTTGCCAAGTCAGAATTTAGCATGTTTAAAGCAGTGTCTATATTTTCATCTGATATGCATCATCTGCAAATATCTGAAGCTTACAATAATCTAAAATATTACAAATGTCATTAATGTATAAAATAAATAGTAGTGGACCTAGTTTACTACCTTGTGGTATACCAACAGAAATATTTTTTGATATTGATAATGTAGATCCAATTTTGTGTAACCTGTAGTGTATCCAAGGGATAAAGATAGATCAAGTACTAACCCATTAAATTGGTGTGATCGAATTTATATAGTGCATATAACAGAATCGCAATTGAAGTGCTCTATCTGGATTCAATATCTGCCCGACCTACAGATTAACAATAGGGAAGGCGTAAAAAAAACGGTTAGAAAAATTTGGGCTTATAGTGCTGGGGACCAATACGGCAAAAGCATTTTCAAAACGGTGGTACTTTTGGTAGCACCGGAAGTAGATACCAAGTTGCTTATTTTAAATAGAGCACACCATATATTACTTCATTTTTGATTCGTAGGCGAAATTCTAAATACAATTCACGTATTTCATCTTATATCTAAGTCTGACCGATTTTGATATTTTAGTTTTGCGTAAAAGATAAGAAACGTGAGCCAATGAATTACAACCATTTTTTCTCGTAACTTTACGTTAGCCATACGATTTTTAACTGGTTTCTTGTAGTAGGGAACTTTTTTTAGTAGATTTTATTCCAATTTTGGCTAACAAATGGCACAGAACGGTCAAACAAGAGAATAAATATTTGATTTAAGAAAACCCAAAACACCATTTTTTATTAAATGGAAACCACATATTTAGGATCAGATGCATTATTTGGCTCTTGAGCAAAAACTTGAGAGGTCAGGATTTGTGGAACAAATACGGCTGAGATGGGTGCAGCACGTCAGGCTATCAAATTACCAGTAATATACTCAGTAAAATTAGTAGTAGAAAGATTTTTTTTTTAGTAGTAGAAACATTGGCTACATAAACAGAATAATTGTAAACAGCTTAGAACTACTTAATTCAAGCCATATGGTGTATGATGTAAATGCTGGGTAACCTATAAGTATAGATTTAACAAGTGATTTCTCAATTTTACTTTAAATTTTGTCAAAGTTTTCTGGTCTTTTATCTCTGGGTATAATTTATTAATATCAATCAACCCTTGATGGAATACATATTTGTAGCATATGTTATACTTTTTGGTCATTAAATGGAAGTCATCTTTATTTCTGGTATTATGTAAATGATGGTCGACATTTGATGATGTTAAATTAGTTAGACTTCATGGAAATATATTATTTTTTACTTTATAAATGAATATCAGTACAAGATATTTGATAAATTTTTTTACATTGAGCCATTTTAATTTGCTACGCATTTGCCTAATTGTAGTATATTTATCTTTATTTAGTATTATTCTCATGCATTTATTTTGTAAAATTTGCAGTCTTTCAAAAATGGAATTATTTGCTAAATATAGAATAGTCGAACAGTACAAGAAATTTGGAAGAATGATGGTATTATGGATAATTTTTCTGTTATATGAACTCAGACATCCAGAAACTCTCGATAAATATCCCACTTTACTACTAATCTTATTGATAACTTTTTCATAATGAATTTAAAAAATTAATCGAGAGTCAACAAAAACCCCCAGGTATTTAAAATTGTCTACGAATTCAATATCTTCACCATCAATATTCAGTCGAACATTTGTACATTGTTTTTTTCCGACTAAGAAGGCTTTCGTTTTACTTTTAGTCTGTTAGATGCCAACCATTTTGAGACAAGTTTCAAGTCTTCATTTATATAAGAGATACCAGACTGAATATTTTTAGTACTTATATAAATCATAGTGTCATCGGCGAAAATCTGTATTTTGCATTTTTTGACTATGGCAGGTAAATCATTTATGTATAAAATAAAAAGAAGTGGTCCCAGGATACTGCCCTGTGGAACACCCAACGTATTTTCAATTTTTGATGAAATAGTGTCATTAACTTTTGTAACTTGCATCCTTTTAGACAAATAATTTCTAAACCAATCTAAAACCATATGCCTTCAATTTACCTAACAAAATATCTCTATCAATCGTTTCAAATGCCCTCCTCAAATCCAAAAATACTGCTATGATAACTTCTTCTCCAATTCTCAGTTACCAACTGGAAAGCCGTTTCTGTGGAATATTTTTTTCGAAAGCCTGCTTGCGCCTTGTGTTACAACCAGAAAAAATTATTTCTTCAACTTGACTTATTGGCAATCAGGTAGTCTTACATCACATACTAAGATATCCACAGTAACTAATTTAACAATCTTCACTCAGTTCGCTATTGAATGTGTCGATCGGCAAGGTCAACTAGATGTACTCGTAGTATATACCGATTTTGCTAAAGCGTTCGATAGGGTGGACCATGGAATACTTTTGAATAAACTTTTTTTATTATGGATTCCATTCATCAGCTTTAGCAGTCATTCAAAGTTATCTTCATGAAAGGAAGCAATATGTTACTTTTAATGGGTTCAAGTCGTACCAGTATATAACTAAATCGGGAGTACCTCAGGGTTCAAATCTTGGTCCTTTATTGTTTACCTTATTTGTTGATGATGTTGTGCATTATTTAAGTTTTAAAAAGCTGCTCTTTGCGGATGATCTAAAATTATTCAGGATTATTGAGTCTGAGACTGATTGTATTGCACTTCAGCGTGATTTTGATTCTCTAGTGGCTTGGTGTGACGAGAATAATTTATTTCTTAATGCGTCTAAGTGTAGTCTAGTCAGCTTTTCCAGGAAAACTTCTGCTTGTAAATTTGATTATAATATTGGGGATGCTTACATAAATCGTTATAACTCAATTAAGGATTTGGGTGTAGTTTTTTACCATAAACTTAATTTCTCACTCCACATAGCTCAAAAGGTGAGTGAAGCTTCGCGGGCGTACGGTTGTATTGTGAGAAACTGTAGAAACTTTAGCCGCCCAGAGTCACTGTTGGCTTTGTATTCTGCATATATTAGATCGAAATTGGAATATGCATCGTTAATTTGGAACCCAATTTACAACTGCTACATTGATTGAATGTTCAGAGAAAGTTTCTAAAATTTTTATCTTTCAAAGTTGACGGTATATATCCTGAACGTGGTATATCTGAAAGTTTGTTATTGTCTAGGTTTCAAATGCAGTCTTTAGAACTGAGAAGGAAGTGTGCATCAATTATGTTCTAACATAAACTACTGCACAATCAAATTGATGCTAATGGGATTGTGGCTCAAATAAACTTTAACGTTCCATCCATTCCAACTCGTACAACTAAAACATTTTATTGTGACAGGGCTCGCACAAATTTGTTTTTGAAGGCACCATATATGTGATGTGTGAAACTTTCAATGCAATATCAAGTTATTGTGATATACATGCTGATGGTTTGAACAGCCTTCTAGGAGTAGCTAGAAATTGCTTGGATAATTTATGATATGTTACTCCCCTGAGTGAAATATATTTTTTTTTCTTTAGATGAAATCACCTGCTTTTTATGTGTTTTCTGTTCTTGTTATTTTGATTTATCTTAGGATTGTCTGTAAATGGTTTCCTTAACTGTTGGGCAATAAACGCTATTTATTATTATATAAGAATGAAACGATAACATTCTCACGAAATTTTTTTGACAAGTGATAAGAAGAAAAAATTAATGTGTTGGGCGACCCTGCAGCTGAATACACTCCTGTATACGTCTAGGCATCGACAAAATCGATATCTCATTCCAAGCAACTCGAACTTCGTGGATTAGCTGTGTCAGGGTCTGTGGCGGATGTTGCAAAGTGGATAGTCTCCTCTCCATCATATCCGACACATGCCTGATTTGACTTTGACTTAAATCCGGTGACCGGGGTCCACAGCAAAACATCAACGCCTGCGCCTGGACAGCAAACTGACGCATAGTAGCAAAACGCACCTATCTTGACGCCCTCGGTGGACCAGTTGGGTTTCTTCGTGTTCTTCTACCTTCTTCTATCCCCACATGACACAAACGCATTACTGTCATTGTAGTACCAACATCTCGATAGGCAATAATCCAATAATTCTACCCTTGTCAAAGTCGCTAATATGGTGATAACATAATTTGGATGTTTTCGAACTCGAGGCATTTTGTTATGCTTAACACTAGTAAATGAAAGGGTAATAACTAAAAGTATCTGTATTACTCAGCTCTCAGAAACTGCTTTCTTCACAAAAACTAAGAGATAGAATTTTAACAAAGGCAAAGAAAAACAAAGATAAAACGTTGACATTATATTCATTACGTTTGCCAAAAAAACAAGTTGAAGAAATTATTTTTTCTGGGTGTAACACCTCTAATGTCACTGAGTATATTTTGGGAGACTTCCAGAAACATATATCATTTAGATTTGTTCGGAATGTGTATGTGCCGTTTAGTTTTTATATTGTCTTCAAGCTCTGCGACTGCCATTCAAATTAAATATCAACCTCACAGGTGCTAGTTTTTATGTCACAGGTTAGACTCCCAATACATAAGTCAGTCCGTGTCATTTTTAGGTCAGACCGTTTTTTCATGAATATGCAGTTTCCATTCATATCACCTTGCCACGTCTACTTTCACAAAATATCACGTAGAGACAGCCAATCAAACTATTCTTAAAACCAGATAAAAGCTCGACTAAGCGCAGATATACAGGTATCTCACCGTACCCTCATGGTTAACGTGTCAAGTAGTCGGGCTATTGGGCACTTACAGAGCGCGAGCAATGAACACAAAACAGCTATGTCTGCGGCTGGTCATGGTTATAGGAGACGGAAAGCAAGCATGACCTTTTCAGACGTGGAATTGTTCTAACGCAAAAACGAAAATACTTCAACTTTCCTATCGCGCCATTCTGCAGATCTACTAAATGCTGGCAGCATGTAGGAAAATTTATGTTTGGTTGTGTTTGTTATTATGGTTATGTTGTTTCAGATCTCAGAAGCATCTTTCCAAGTCGATCAACCTAAGTGACTTCGGTAATCCCTCAAAATCATGCCAGCACGAGGTGGTTGGTAACGTCGCAGTACAAATTGGTATCGTTGATATGTTCAATGCAATCAAAATGAAACCAGATAAATATTATGGATATTCCTGTGGAGAGCTTCTAGCACTGTACGTTGATGGAAAGCTTACCAGAGAGCAAGTGCTCGATTGCGCTGTCTGTGTCAATAAATTTGTTGCAAGGAATGAGGCTCTAAGTAATGGAAGTGGTCATATTGTTAACAGCAACAGTGTCGCCAATGGTAATGGGTACCACGGTAGCTGCGCTGAGGACTTGAAAACTGCTTTGAAAAACAATAAAATGTCAAGTGAGTATAATGCTGGAAGGATTTAGGATTTTAGTAAGTATTTTAGCATCTGCTCGAAAAAGTATTCTGATTCGGTGTTTTAGAATCTCATCAAAAAGTCCTTTTAACGAATTTGCTAGGCCTTAAAATGCGTCAAAATTATACTGGAGCAGTCGCTCAGGCAGAAGTCGAAATGCCAGGGCACAGCGGCTGCTACGAGGAGCTTGAAGAAACTTTGTTAATCCGATTTTTGAACTTTCTAAGGTTAATAGAACTAGGAAAAGCCTCCTCGTGTAGATTGTTCCACAAACTCGATGCCTTATGAACGGCCGTATCGGCCAGTTCTGGATGTACGATATTCTACACGGTTAGGATGGGAGGCCGAAGTCAGGCAGATCTGCCTGGAAGCACCCCAAACATGTGACCGGTAGTCGAGGCTAAGTCTTATCTCGGTTTTGTACAGAGTGAGGTTATGTGGAGATAAGTACTTCTCAGTCCTAATCCAGTAGCCTAGCTTTATCCTAGCAGCTCCTGCTACTGACGAGATGCGTCCGTGCCAGATCAAGTCCTCGGTGATCTGGACTCCGACTAGCTCTTTGGTAAAAGTCGGCCATCCATCGAAACCAGATGAGCGCTTGTTTGTCAAGGTACAGTACTGTGTCTTGGAAGCGTTAAACTGAGCCAGATTGTTGCGTCCTCAAGCAATGATAACCTCCACGTCTCTCATCAGAGAGGAAGTCGCTGCTTATCTTGTTTTCTCCAGCTCACCGGCAGAGATCGGCTTGTCACTCTGAATACCTGTTTAAACAAGTTTATGAAACAAATTCCGAAAATTAGAGTTTGCGCTATGGAGAGGGTTTCTTTTTTGTTGAAAAGTGCAAAATATGCCAAAAAGCAGTATGAAGGTGCGAAAATTTTAATGTTGACAAAGTTCCTACAATGCGCGTTGGTGACTATCTAACAATTTAAAAACAAAGGTTTACAATATCGGTATCCCCTAATATGTCTTGGGTTATCTTAGCGGCTACTTGTATAATATCCAGTAATTTAAACAACATTAAAATTTCCGTATTCCATATTGCTGTTTGTTTTTCCAAGTATTAAATCATTTATTTCTTGGAAACCATCAACTATACAGACAAGTTCACATGAATTGTTCAGATTTGTCAAAAAATCTAATAAAACTTTGTCTGGGGGGAAGGAAACCAAATTTTGGAATTTGTTTAAAAATACTGTTCGAACAATCTTTGAGGCAACTTTGGGACTGGTGAAATAAGATAGCGCAAAGCGCCATCTATCACACCAGAAAAGACCACTGCGGAAAGCCCATAGCTGCTTTTAGTTGTATCCAGTATACAACTTCTTCCCGTTCAAGTGACTGTACACGCGTTAAGGAATACCTCAGTACCGATTGCCGAGTAGCGGTACAACTCCGCCAACGGGCCACTTTAGGTCTATTTAATATCAGTAATACGTAAAAAGAAGGTGGTAGACAAGGACCAGTCGACTGAGGCGGTACCACCTCCTAGCTTTTCCCAGGGTGCCTTATAAATGTCCGCATGTTTCCACACCTAAGCTATGCAGTCGGTTATCTTCCAAAACAAAGAAATTAATGAAGATGGATCCCTCGAGCACTAAGAACTCAGGACGTAAACTCACTCCACTCTCGGAATATCTGGGTGGGTGGTGGGCTCGAGCGAACAGCATCGAAGATAAAATTTGTTTTTCGAACATCTGCGGGATTAAGAGCAACATTGATGTTGTTCATCACTAACTGCAATCCAATCGTCCCGCCATGCTTTTCTTGGTGGAGACAAAAATCTCAGAATCTGCACCGATTAACCATCTCAACTTACCAAACTATGAGGTGCACTCCAATCTGAGAAAGAACGGGGGAGTTGTGACTTTTGTCCGCAGCAGTCTGTCCTGCTCAAGTGATGTTTCTTTGGAATCAGACGGGAAGGACATTCTGTGGCTTCGCCTCGACTCCAAAACATCACCCAAATTTATTTGCTGCCTTTATCGCTCTCCCTCGGACCATAACTGAGATGACCTACTCTAATACCTCGCCGTCCAGATCGACTTCCTGAACATTAATCACCCCGCTTCAGAGGTAGTTCTTCTCGGTGATTTCAATGCCCATTATGAGCTTTGGTTGGGCTCAAACAATACCGATGCAGCAGGTCGTGCAGTCGAACCGTTCGCTCTTACTCAAAGGCTGACCCAGCTGGTGACGAGCCCTACTTTTTCCCCCGCATCTCGTCACACGCCAGTAGTCTGCTGGATCTCTTTCTGACCACGCATCCTGTCCCTTACAGCAGCGCTGTCCTGTCTCCCCTGGGTAACTCAGACCACGGTGTTGTCGAGGTTAGGGTTCGGTCAAAACTTGCTGTGGCAGCAGAAACTCGTACAGGCCGCAAAACTTGGCATTACGGACATGCCGACTGGGAGGGGCTCAGAAACTTCTTCTCTCGCTTTCGTTGGAGAGATGTCTGTTTCACTGACGCGGATGCGTCGGATATCTGTTCTTCGATAACAGAAATTATCCATGTCGGAATGGAGGAATACATCCCTCACACAGTGAAAGTGTCTAAACCAGGGATAAACGGCTGGTTTAACAAATCATGTCACTACTCGCCAGCAGAAGATCAAGGCACACGAAACCTCCTTACAGAACCCCACTGTAGAGAACAGACAAGGCGACGTCGAGTCCAGAAACAAATATAACGAAGCGGTTTGCAATGCCAAAAACCAGCACGATATAAAAGTTAGGCACATGGTAATGTCGCATCGCAATGACAGTCGGACTTTCTGGACACTGGTCAAGCAGATTGAAAAGAACTTCTCACACAGTAGCCTTCCACCACTTACATGTCAGGATGGAACTATTGTATTCGACTCAAAGGCCAAGGCGGAAGTGCTAGCCAAGGTCTTTGCTGCCAACTCCAACATGGACTTCCTCCTCAACGCCCAAGTGACGTCAATTCAAAGGGTTCCCTACACTATATGGGAGGCATAAGACCGTAAGAGAAGTGCTCTTGTCGCTCGACATCAACAAAGCTTCTGGTCCGGACTTGATTCCTGCCATTGTACTGAACAGGTGTGCAGCAGAGCTTGCTCCAGTTCTTCCGCGTCTCTTTCAGATTTCTTATGAATCTGGCACCCAAAAAAAGGATAAAAGACCGACCCTTACAACTACAGGACTATAGCTCTGGTTGCTGTAATAAGTAAGGTGATGGGGAGGTGCATAAATCGCGAGCTTCTGGACTACCTTGAACGTCACAGCTCGATTAGCGACAGGCAGTATATGGTTTCCAGCACCAACGATCCACAGGGGACCTCCTAGCTTACGTCACGCAATTGTGGAGTAAACTCATCCAGTCTTATGGCGAGGCTCATGTCGTTGCTCTTAACATCACGAAAGCGTTCGATCAGCTGTGGCACGTTGCCCTCTTAAGCAAACTTCCATCCTATGGCCTCCCAGAAAAGCTTTGAAGATGGGCGGCTGACTTTATCTCTGGCCGCAAGATATCCGTCGTAATTAACGGGTTCTCCTCTTCATCCCACAACGTCAACGCGGGTGTTCTCCAGGGATTGGTCTTGGCTCCGACACTGTTTCTCTTACATATCAACGACCTCCTTTCCTGCACGAACAACAAAATCCACAGCTTCGCTGATGACAGCACTCTACATGCAGGAATTTAGAGTGGCAAGCCGATCTATGCCGCTGAGCTGGAAAAAAGGAGACTAGCGACGACCTCTTTGACAAGAAACCTGGAGGCTATCACTGCTTGGGGACGCAACTATCTTGTAGAGTTCAATGCTTCCAAAGCACAGTACTGTACTTTGACGAACAAATAGCGTCCTAGCGCTCATCCGATTTCTTGGAGTTCTGCCAAAGAGCTATTCATTGCGGCTGGTCAGAGTCCAGATCACCGAGTACCTGATCTGGCACGAACACATCTCGTCAATATCTGCCGGTGCTGGCAAAAAGATAGGCTATTTGTTTAGAGCTAAGAAGTGCTTTTGTCTGCATGACCTCTCACTCTATACAAGGCCCAGATAAGGCCTAGCCTCAAGTATTGCTCACACGTTTGGAGTGCTGCCTCCCCGACTACATTATCCATGCCGATGCTGTCCAGAGGAGGGCGGTCCGACTGATCGATGACTCTTCTATAACTGAAAGTCTCGGGACTCTTTCGCACCGGTGGGCCGTCGGCGATCTAGCTCTTTTCTACCGCTTCACCAACGAGCTTTGCTCCTCAGAGCTCTGTTCCATGATGCCGCCGCAAGATGTGCCTGCCAGACAGACCCGCGTGACTTTGGCGTTCCATCCTAACCGTGTCAAACTTCGTACACGCAGAACTTGCTGATACGACCTCTGGTTTGTCCCGAGGGTGTCGAGATTGTGGAACAATCTACAAGAGGAAGCTTTTCCCAGTTCTACTAACGTTAGGCAGTTCAAAAATCGTATTAACAAAATTTCTTTAGGATCATCATAGCGGTGTTCCGGCCTTTAGGCATCTGCCTGCGCGGCTGCTTCGATATATAAAAAAACTGTGGGATCCCAGTTCACGTTGAATAGCCCAGTCACCATGTGACTGACGTTCTGGCTGTAAAGTAGATGTTGTCTACTTGTCATTGAACAAATTAAATATGATGCTTTCGTCCGTCTGACTAAAAAGACGGCCAACCATGGATAGCTGTTTCGTGCTTCTTGGTTACTCGTCAGCATGGTCAAGGTTTAGTCCATTGTCTCTGGACAAACGAACGAAAGCATCGAATAAAGGATAGTTGTAGTGTAGATTCGTTAAAGGGAATCTTTTTTTAACAAGATTATGTAAAAAATCAATCAGAATATTTTTGGAATAAATGCGAAGATACTAGTTAACCAGATCAAAATGGAATATATATTTTCCAAAAATTTCATTTCAACCGAATATAAACTTTTCTCTATGACCGAGAAATGGCAAAACGTGCCTCCACAGATTAACTGTAAAGTCCTGCTGTGATATAATACATCCTAGCATGCCGTAATAAGTTCTTGCCATACAGTGTTCCTAGATTGTGACCCAACTTCTGTTAGTCAGGTCGGGCTTATCTCAGATGTGAAGAATATATATATATATAGGTGAAAAATTAAAGCTTCCGCCTTTTGTTGGGTACTTCGACAAAATTTAAGCAAAGAGGACTCTTTATACCTTTTTTAATTCTCTCTAGGTATAAAGAGTCCTCTTTGCTTAAATTTTGTCGAAGTACCCAACAAAAGGCGGAAGCTTTAATTTTTCACCTAACTGGTCTAGACGACAATGACCACGTCGCAAGTTATATATATATAGGGTGACTTTGAAGTTGAGTCATTAATTTTCAGATAATGATTGTAGAAGGAAGATGTATGTAAAAATAAAGAAAAATAAAAAAAAAATTGTTACCTTGTTTTATAAAGTATCCTCCCGACAAGTATTTCAGTGCGGACCTGTATTTGATCGTGAGGTCCCCTGTGAGGTCTTAAGTCACCTGATTCACGAGCCCGTTGTACTACACTAACAAAGGCACGAGGGGTTGGTTGCACTCGATTGGGAAAACGATCCGCATAAACATGTGCCATTTTTTATTTCGTTTGAGCCACGCAACAGACACCACTATTCACACGCGTTACCGACTGACACTGACTGTATGTATACAACTGAATAAAATAATTGTAAAAACATCGTTCCAAATTCTTTCGCTTTTTTGTTTCCGATGCGATGAACCGATAAGGCGGATTATATCCGTTGTTGCCAAACACGAGCACATGATATTATTATTGAGACAGGGCGGTACACAAACTTCCAAAGGGCTATACCTTTGTTACTTTAATTTTACCAGAAAAATGGTAAAGGAAAAAAACATTTCTTTTGATCAGATGTACTCACTGTTAAAATAAATGACTCAACTTCGAATTCACCCTGTATATATACGAGTATGTATGGTGGTGACCGGAATAAAAATCGATAGAATCAATCTAGTTCAGCTTTATAAAATGCAAGTTTGTCTTGATGGAATGTACTTCATTTTCATATTGCACCGAAAACAACTTTTTTTCTATTTAAAGTCTCATTTATTACTCTGACACTAATTTATTACAACACGTGCAATTTGTTTATCGCGAATTTTGAATGAAATATGGTGATCTGTACTGTTGACTTTTTGGTCGAGTCTGCCTCGCTCTGCATGCTGTGCGTATTTATATTCGAATCGACAGATCCAGAAGCGTTTTCACGCCTTCTTGTCAGTACTCAACCCTTTGTAGAATCTGGTAAATGGCGGTCGATATTTCTCGATGCGTGCGGTGTACGAGAGTGTCTCATCGGTACTCAAAAGTATAGTTACGAGGGCGTTACAATATGTAATCTGGGTAGTAGACAAAAACGTACCTATGAAGGGTACTCTGCGACAAATATAAAGCAAAATCGTTCATTGCTGAGCAGATATTTTCTCTGTTTCAGGAGCTAAACTAGTGCAGGATCTCTCCTCAATTATTTCGTCCAAAAACGCTGTAGTCGATAATTTGGTAGCATCCCTGATTGGCTCAGTACCAACACGAATACAAGAAGTACGAACAGATGACAAACTGGTCGTTTTTGGATGGATTCCGTCATCATGCGTACCAGAGGATGTGACGTTGTTTGATTATAATCCTACTACCAGTCAGAATATAGTCATGGATTTATTAAAATTATTGGGAAAGTAAGTTTTCCCTTGAATAAGTCCAAAATTTATTTTCAAAATCTGACTCCAGACGGCTACTCTACTTATCTTCATTTTCAATTGCAGCTTATATGTATCAGGATGTGAGGCTGAATTTGATAAGCTATATCCGACAGTGGAATTTCCGGTGTCCAGGGGCACCAGAATGATATCACCGTATATCAAATGGAAGCATGATAGAAAATATTTCGTGCCGCTTTACTCCAATACTGCTGATAAAGGAATACGTGGTATAAGGGACGTTAAAATTACCACCATCGATTCAGAATGGCAGTATGTAGTTGGACATGTTATTGACGGTAAGCTATCTTTGCTCAGAAATATTCGATTAATTGCGATAAAAAACACCATTTATGTAAGTGAACTGAACCCTTATAGCTGGTCCCGTATATAAGAACCACTAAAGTAGCAGACTATGAATACTTCAATGATTTTTTGATAATAATAATAAAGAAAAACTTTAGAAATTACCGACAGAAAACATATACATAACAAAATAATAATCGTTTTTATTACTATTATCTATAAAAAGCTAGATTCAGCTTGAAGCTACCGTTACACCTAACCTTAGGTAGATATGGAACACTGAAATATTTTAAAATAAAACAGATGAATGAAATAATCAAACCATACCGACTTATCCTACTTATTAACCTGTTATATTGCGCTAATGATTTAAATGTGTCTATCGTACAAATATTGCATAAGCACTACCCTAAATTTTCGTGCCGGTAATAATTCAAGTTCTAAACTAGTTGAAATTAGTGATTGATTGATACATAAAACATCTACGAAAGAAGCTTGTTGAGTGAAAAGGCTTGCCTCGAGGTATTTGATCTCTTATGGTCCAATTAGCATTGCTAGGAAAAATTATAGCTAATGTCTGAGGACAAGAAACAAAACGTCAATTGAAGTTACAATAATGGAATTTTACTATTCGTCATTGCTCGTCAGAGCGATCCGGTGGACCTTTGCTCTTAGTTAAAAGTCTCGTCGGTCTGTTAGTCTGTCAGGTCTGGCTACCCAGATACCAAACATGTGTAAGCGGGAAAGGGAAAGAAGGAAAAAAAGGAAGGAAGAAATAGAGCCAAGAAAAGAAGTGAGTCATTTGGAATAGCTTAAGCATTATTGCTCTGACTACTCGAATTATTTTGTAACTCAAAAAATAATTTTGATCGATTTTGTATACTGAAATAATTTTGCCTGTTCTGAATTTACAATTCAATTTTGATCACAGTGCGAGGCGCGGCCTGGAATCTTTGTGAACTTGCTCGACTGTGTAGTCTACTGAATCACGCAACAGAGGGTTATTGTGCGATTCGGCTTGATTATAACGTTTTTGTCTGATGTTTTACATAATGCCTTAGATATGGGATATCAAGATCTCTGTGAATGGTCTCATTTGACTTGCAGTCTCTGCATATGCGTCTTGGCAAGAAAACACTAAGCCGCGCATGCGGGTGTTATGACCATTTTATACAACCGAATCTTGTTGATCAAACTTAATTTTGATTTTCTGCACTACAAAGGATAAAGCTACCGAAAGGTAATTTGGAGTTTTGTTTTCCTAATATCAGTATGTTTCTGCCAGGTCAACCCCTTGTCAATGATGACTCCAAGATACCTGACAGATTGCACCAATGGTACTATTCGTCATTTGATTGTCTGGGCGGTCCGTAGGACCTTTGCCCATTAGTCGAGTTCCATTCACTGATATCTCTGAGGGGGCACCGCGACGTGTTTTAGTGCAATAGATTGCCTGCGTTTCCGAAGTATTAATTTTGATCAACCACCGATCCGTCCACTCCAATACTTCCTCCACCGCACTCTGCAGCCTGTCGTGAACCAGGTTACCAGAACAAGACTGGGCTAGCAGTGCAGTGTCGTCAGCATAGAGATAGGCTTCATAGTTGCTTGGGCAAGGGACGTCATGTATACAGAGTGAATAAAGGATTGGTGCTAAGACCGAACCCTGAGGAACACCGGCCGTGTTGTTGACAACACATTGTTAATTTTGATCAGGAACTTCCTTCCTTCTAGAAAAGATTTGAACAATCTTAGTAGCCAAAATGGAAAAACCTTTTGGATGAGCTTATACAAGAGGCCCATGTGCCACATCTTGTCAAATGCCTTTGATACATCTAAAAACAAGATACCAGCACTTTTGTTTAGGGTGAACCCTCTGGTTGCATGCTCCACCAGTCTAAATGCCTGTAGCTCCGTACTATGCTCAGACCGACAGCCGAATTGCACGTCAGGAATCACATGGTGATCTGACGAGAAATTCTCAAGGAGACGATAAATCACCTTTTCAGCGAGCTTAGAAGGAGCTGACACCAGGCTAATGGGACGGTAATCCTAGGGGAATATTGAACCTGCCTTCTTTGAGATCATGAAAGTAATGAGTTCTGAGCATTGCATTGATTATTGCCGCCAAATAAGTCAAAGCCTTGAGCAAAAGCAACTTCAGTGCTTTATTGGTGATTTGATCCTCACCAGGTGCTGTACGCACCTTTAGGTCCTAATGTGGCCTTGGAGCTCTGCTGGTAAGCAAAACTGAATCTCAGAGGATTCCGTTGATGTGCTATGCTGAGATTCATCTGAAGAGTCTTCCATACGAGAATCTTCTGAAAAGGAGTCACCGATGTTAGCACTGGTGCTGTTTTATCCATTCCCTCTGAAATATCTCCTGACAGATCTTACAGTTTGTCGTTCCTCGTCAAGGTCATTGTCCAGATCTTAATTGGGAGAGAACTGCCTTTCCATGATATCAGCAAAAACATCCACTTTATCCTCAGTCCTGAAAACTATGCCTCCAGGATCATGAATATGTGGTAGTTGTTCTTGCCTTCCGTTTCTGAGCGATTTTACCACTTTCCAGATAGGTATACTTGATTCAAGCATCCCCGCCAGAAAGTCGCTCCACTGCTCATTGAGGAATTCATGGAGTGCATTTCTTACCTCATGAACGAGATTCGTCCTTCTACGAATGTCATCAGGATGTCAAGACCTTTTTGCTTGCTTAATCGCAGCCCTCTTTTCAGAAATTTGCCGACGGATGTCAGCAGGGAGAAAAGATTTCCACTCCGATTGAGCACCATCCTTTCTTTCTAATCCTTTCTAATCATGTATGACCGGGACGCTGGAAAACTCTTTGAGAAACGATTGTATAGTTTCCAATCAACTCTTTTCCTTGGAGTACTTTCCTCCTCCACGAAATGCCCATTACCTACCTCCAGAACAACAGAGATGTCATACAGAATCCTAGAAGCAATACTGAACCTACAGTTTTTAGATATTGCAAACTCTATAACATCTGGTGCCTGAAGGTGATTGAACGGATGGTGAGCCGGCTCTTCGGTGCTGTGAATAAGATACCCGTTTCGCATTACATGGTTGTAAAGCCGAACCCCACAAGTAGAGTTAAGCCTTGAGTGCCATGATCAGTGTTTGTAGTTGTAGTCCTCTGCCGCAATAAGAGGGCCCGAAGAGTCCAGCTAAGCCATCACCCGTACCATTCAATCTGTCAGCGCATATAACATCATAATTCGAGAAAGCTAAGCTAAGCGATCTCCCGGATTAAGTAATGTTTCCTGCAGCAGAGCTACGTCTATACTTTCATCCAATAGAGTTTGATGAAATTCCTGTTTTTTGGGAATACCCCTTAGGCCCAGGCAATTCCAAAAAAGAATTTTGATAAATGCAGGTTGTCGATCGTACTTAGCCATTCAACGGCTGCGGAAAGATCGCCTGCGATGCCTGAGTGGCGCTAATCAGGGAACTTATTATTTGTTAAAAGGGACCTTGGCGCAGTTGCTAGGTCCACATTCTGCGTGTTCAAAGTGGGTTGAACAGAGGGGCAACCGAAGATGTTAAGACGGCTGCTTCCGCGTATAACTTGCTGCGTATTTGCGCTATGACTTCCAGATTCGCCTGGGGGTGAATCTGCAAGTGGGACTGTTAGCGGGATGCGCCCCTCCACAGTTCGCACACCTTCGATCTTCTTGTCTTGTGAGGGGGCATAAATGTGTCATGTGGTCGGAAACACATTTTAAACATTTGGGAGGTGCTGTGCAGCAAGACTGCACATGACCGTACCTTTGGCAGCGGTGAAACTGCCCAATAAGTCTGTAGTTCTTTCGAACTTCAACTCTGATTGCTAGACCCAGCAGCTCATGTTCATTGAACAGCTGCTGGGCTTTTCAATCTTGGGCAATATCACGACCACCAAAGGCATGAGTGCGTCGCCACTGCATTTGAGTCGGATAATGTGGAGCGGAGTATAGCCCTTCTGTTCTAATTCCCATTTGACTACCGCGTGAATATTTCGTTCTGAAGAAAGAGGGAACGTATGATGGGGCATGCCCTCCTTCCTGAACAGGCGAAGGATCCTGCGGTTAGTCATCCTCAGTTTTCGCCAAAATCCTGGTTTCCACATCAACGACAACTGCGCGTTCTATCTTAATGTCTAAGCTTATAAAGGTGTAGTTTAGATTTCGCCACTTGGTCACATCACGCAAAACAATGGGCGTGTTTCGCCCTGGCGGGGTGCTCTACTGGTCAACTCACCAGCAACGTGAGTTTGTTGAGATAATGCATCGTCAGTCGATGCAATGGCCAAAGATTCAGAAGATGTGGTCGCTGCATCGACTGTCATAGGACAAGAGGCAGAAGAATTTGATACGTTTAATGAAGCAGACGGTTTTGAGGGGATTGTCACCTTGAATTTGGATTTTGCTTTTGGAAGAGCTCGGAAGTCATCCGTCTTGTCGGTTTTGTTCGTTTTGTCACTGCTTCTTTTCCTAGACTTGGCCTGGATGAATCCGTCATTCTGTATTTCATCGTCGGTCGATGTCACGTCAGTCAAATTTTCTAGAGGTCTTTTTAAACTCACAGCCTTGTCAGATTTAGGATTAGAATTTGGATTATTGATTAATTGTGTTACCTGGGTGGCCAGGCAGTTTATTTTACTATTTTGGTCCCTAACTGTCTCAGTCAATTCCTTTATTTGCTGGGCCTGGCTTTCGATGATCAGGGTCAGACGCTGGATGGTTCTGTCCTTTTCGTCTGCTACAGCTGGTGTCATCAATTCCTTTGATTTCATGGTAATTTCTTTTCTCTCCTTCTGGCTGGGTCCATTCATCATCAGGGACGCTGGGGGATCATTACTTTGACCTCCAGAGTCTATCTCCATGTTTTTAAATCGGATTTTCTATTGAAAAACTTGAAAACTTTCACGAGCAAAAATATGAGGTATTGTCTCAATTATCCCTTAATGCGTAATTTATTTTAGAATTCCACCTAAAAAAACTCATGAAAAAATAGAAAATTTTCTTATTTTGCGAAACTCTGCTAATGCCATTTTCTTATTAACCTAAATACGCAACATTGCTAATAGAATCCTTACTGTTTCCCAGATAATCCTTTAATTACATGATCAAACGAACTTACCTGTAAGTGATTTTCGATCTTGATTATGTGAAGGCCTCGTCGAAGTAGACAGAACAGATGTAGTATCCCGTTTCTGGCCAAGCCCTTCCTCCTCTCCGGCCCCTGGCCTACAAACTCTCATTTTCTTCAAAGTCAAGTTGTTGCAACGATTGGGTGAGACATATGGAGAAGGAAGCTACTTACTTCGACGAGGCCTTCACATAATTCAGATCACTTACAGGTAAATTCGTTTGATCATGCAATTATGTTTCGTCTCGTAAATAGAATAGATGTAGATGTTGAAAGCGAGTTGCAACAACATATTACTAACGCTCCGCAATAGTAAAAGATAGGTTGTAACACAACTACACAAATTGTACGCAATGTATGGGTCAGCTGAATTTGCATTTCCCACAAGATATTTGCGATACTTGATCATATAAGCGGCCGCATCAGAAAGCATCAATTTTACGTTTTCTGATTTGACTGGATTTGGTGCATACTATAGTAGGGTTAAACTATCATTAATAAAACGTGCAACGGTCGAGTGATTGGTTTTTTCTAAGGCAGCAGAATTAATTAAATAAGACACTGGAGGGGTAGACTCGTTTAAAATACGAACAAGTATATTGGCAACATAACGACCACATGCATCTGTTGTTTCGTCAACTTGTGTTGCATAACTTTTCCCTAATATTTTCTTAACGTACTTGGTAACATTTCTTCAAATAGTTTTTGCGCAATGTGGATTCATTTGTGATATGGCGGTTACAATATTTTTCTAAAAATTTACGGAACGCCGGTTGTTCTAATTTATTCCATGGTATGTTTGATTGTGCCATGGAGTTGCATAAATCAAAATAAAATTCATTTTTAGAATCCTAATTTTGTTGGAAGCTGACACATAATGCAGTTGAAACAATCGTTTGTTGCACCTTCCCGTTAAATCGTTTCTCCACTTCCTTGTGAATGGCTGTAGCAAGGTGTTGATCGATCTGAAATTTCTGGTTTGAGGATACCTAAAATCAAACGAACTCTTAAAGAAAAACTTTAAAGAAACCTTGAAATAATGAATATTTACAATAATAGCTCCGTAGATAATGAAAGATTAATTAATTATTATATTAATACATACACTCACTTGCTTTGAACAGGCGTTACAGTACACAACTGTTCCATCAGCGGATAAATGTTTAGCATTATTTATCCATTTCTTAAGTAAATCAGCTTTAGAGCTTGATACTTTCGGCATGGCGATATTTTTAAATATTAAACGGCAGCGAAGAATAATACGTGTTTATTTACTACTCAAGTGTTCTAAATAAAGATTGCGACAGGTGCACAGCACGGCGCCAAGTTATTAATCGGGGAATCACCGATATGCTTTGGGGGAATCACCGATATGCTTTGTAGTCTTTATAATTTGTGCACCGTTGTCAGATTTACATAACAATGAGTAATAATAAATGTGTTTAGTCTGAATAAAAAAAAACAGAATGCCATTTTATGTTTTTTAAAGCGTATGTCTTTGTATATGGATTATATGTAGAAAAAACCTAAAATATTATGTTATATGTAAAAACATGTAAATACATATACATCCGGTCTTTAGTTATCACAAACCAAATGGAATTTGCTGTCACAAGCAAAATGTAACGCTAGTCTCACATATATGGACCTCATTTTTATTTGTTATAAATGAAAAATGCTACATTGCTATCACGAACCAGATAGAGTTTGCTATCACAAGCGAAATGTAACGCTATCCTCACATAAGGTACCTAATCTCTATCTGATAATAAGGAAAAAATATGTCTTGGCGGTTTCCTAACCTGCCATGTTCAAACTTACCATCTTGTTCCATAAGTAGCGGAGTTCAGTGTTGAGTCGTTATCCCAAACGTCTCCGCTCGTCCTTGGTGTGGGGCTGACTATCACAAGCCAAGTCAATGTTCTATCCCCAGCAACCTAGTCCATTGCTTCAGCGTCTTTGTTCGTCCTTGATATGGAGTTGGCTATCACAAGCTATGTCCAGGCTGCTATCCCAACATACTCCACTGTCGAAACGATATCCCAAAGGTCGTGTCTGGAACAGTCTGCAACGCCAGTGACGCACCGAACTTCATAAACTTGCACCGAAAAGAGATCGCTTCTCCTCCGCGACGAACAAAACCTTGAAGATGACCTTCCGTCGGCGGCCCGCCGACAATCCACATCTATCGGCCCACCTTCGCTCCTGTTGTCTAATATTCGTGTTCAGCGATTCCTGTATGAGGAGCAGTTCTTTTGTCGTTTCTCATGTTTAGGCGCCTCGACACTGCTGAAAATATAAAAATTGGTGCGCGAACCAGAGTACGGTGTTAAGCGCTTGGCACGAGAACAAGGAATGTAGGCCAGGGGGACTCGTGGGTTTGGCAAGAAATGGGATAACACATCTATTCTATTTACGAGACTAGGCGTGTAAACGTTACGATAGTCATTATTTAAATGGGTGATAGAGGTGGTTAAAAGAAGCAAAAAGTTTCATATAACATGGGGCTCAAAACGGCATTTTTTAGAGAAAAGCGACTTTAAAGTAAAACAAAATTTGACAACGAAGCAACGCCAGACGCAAATTACGACGGAACGCAGTGTAAATAAAGATGGAGTTTGTTATTTTCGGGTCGTAGGTATTTTTTCATTATATGATAATGTACTCGTAAAATGCTAACAATTAAAAAAAAACGGACTTACCACTAACTGTCTCAGCGCTTCACCTGGTGTGTGAAAGCTTATTGAACGTATTAAAAACATCCACTTATAAATAGGGAACACAATTTTGATACATACATTGTTTTTCTTTTTAAAACCCACACTGCACCTTTTTGTATTTAAAGAAGGTGTTCAAAATGTTGTCCTCCACTTTCCATACAAGCTTCATTACGACGAACCCAGTTTCTTCTTACTGTAGGTCCTCGAAGTTGTCCATTTATTATTTCAGCCGCATTAATTTTTTTTTGCGAAGTTGTGCTTTAGTTGTTATTGGACCGTCCCTTTAAGTTCTTCCCAATACCAGAAATCCATCGGATTGAGGTCAGGAGATCTTCCTGGCCATTTTCGAGGATGAGGAGCATTTCGAGCGATCCAGCGATTTGGATAATGTTCATTCAAACACTGAATGACGCCTCTAAAAATGTGTGGTGGTGCCCTGTAATGAAGAAACCACAAATTCTGTCTCCGTTGTAATGGCATGTTGTCTAATGTCTGTTCCAAGAGTTCTGGTAGGTAATTGGCTAGAAAGCTAAGGTATACTTCTCCTTACAACTTTGGGGGTAACTCGAAAGGGCCAATTACCTGATCGTCAAGAATACCTGCCCAAATATTTATTTTAAAACGTTGTTGGAAATGACCTTCACGAATGGAATGAGGATTTTCTTGGGCCCACGTGTGAGTATTATGGAAATTTAATATCCCGTCTCGCGTAAAAGTACATTCGTCCGTCGCTAGAATGTTTTTGTTGTCATGTGTGCTTTAAATATTTAATTTAATGAAACTTACTTACTTACTGACTACAAATTTTGGCTTAACTTAGAAAAACTTAACTTATAACAAATAAATGTTAATCAGCCAATTTAAAAACGTTTTATTTATTTATTTATTTACTCATGTTTGGGGTGCAACAGAATGTGAATTCCAAAGACAGCACCCGCTGCTTACTATAGTGATAAAATAAAAAGATACATAGATTACAAAATCCAGAAGGTATGAAAATCTGTAACACAAACCTACTATATGAGAATAAACAATACTATGATATAGCAACTACTATAAAACGATAAAATTTAAAATTTATTTTTTTTAAGAATTAGCATGTATCAGTTACACTATTCCATGAATCGCACTAGTCACAAAAAAACACAAACAAAGAGCACGTTACTAGACAGCTTTGATAACAAAACATATAAAATACTGTATAAAAGCATATAACAGTATTAATGGTTGACAACAGTATCACAGCAAACAAACAATTAGATAGTAATCCTAATCCTATGTAAGCTGCCTCCTTACCGTTGCTTTAACCTTGTTAAAATTAACCACAAAAATGTCCAAATTTATAGAGGTACCGTTACACACCCTCTGGGCCCTAATTACAGGTGAGTTGACTCCTAAGTTCGTTCTACAGAAGGGAATCCTGAAAAACTTGGAATGGAGGTTGTTTCTTTCTGGCACATTAATATTTATTTTTGAAGGCAAATAGGGATAGTCAAAATTGTTGAATATTTTGTATATAAGACACACGTCGGACATCATTCTTCTACTTTTTAAGGTCATGATATTGAAATTTTGTCTAATATGATCATAGTTTCCGTCACGTACCGGACTTTAAAACTTAATCTCTTCAGGAATCTATTTTGTACACTTTCAATTCGATTTATGTATGTAATATACTGAGGGTTCCATATAACGGAAGCAAATTCAACTTATTATAAATATATGCATAATATAGGGATGTCATGGCTCTTGCACTCTTGAAATCCCTGCAGATTCTACAGATAAATCCCAACATTTTGTTTGATTCGCAAATCAAGTTTTCTATGTGTGGTTGGAAAGTCATTTCTGCATCTAGGAGGACTCCTAGGTCCTTCACTATATCCGTTTCCTTCAAAGGTGTATTTTTGATTTGGTACCGGTATTCTATGAGAGATTTGTTCCGGGAAAGTCTAATAAAACTACATTTATCAGCATTTAGAAACAAATCATTATTGCCACAAAAATTGATAAAAGTATCTATATCACTTTGGATTTCTTTACAGTCATTAATGTCTCTCACTATATGGAATATTTTCAAGTCATCGGCGTATAATATACAATTTGCATATTTAAAGGATTTAAGTTGTTGATAAAAATTATAAATAATAAAGGACCTAGGTGACTTCCTTGTGGGACGCCAGACGTAACCGTAACTGGCAGCGACTTGAAACCGTTGATAGCTACAATTTGCTTACGATTGGTAATGTAAGACCATATCCAATGACATAGTGCATCGTCGACACCAGTCTCAGCAAGCATTTCAACCAGCAATTCATGATTTATTTTATCAAAAGCCTTGCTGAAGTCGGTGTATATGCAATCGACTTGAGTCTTGCTATCTAGAGCTTCACAAATATAATCAGTGTAACACAAAAGATTAGATTCTAGGGAACGGTTTGGAAAAAATCCGTGCTGTTCGTCGATTATTATGTTTTTTACTGATGGAATTATTAGGTTGTAAACAACTTTTTCGAGCAACTTTGCAAAAGTGCACAGACCACTGATAGGTCTATAATTAGTTACCAGTTGTTTATCTCCATTTTTGAATACCGGAAGTATATGTGCAACCTTCCATTTAGTAGGAAAATATTTTAGTTTTAGACTTGCGTTAAATATAATCTGTAAAGGTACACATATACTTTTCGAACATCTTTTAATGAAAAAAAATGGGAGGGATGTTGTCGGGTCCTGAACCATTGTTCTCGTCAATATTACAAATGAGATTTTTGACTGTCTCTAAAGGCAATGAGTATGAAATGCTTTTAGAATAGATTATAAAAATTAGTAAGATTGTGGTGATTGTGGTCGATATAAAGCACTTAAAGTTGTAAAATTTAAAGTCATTTGGACAAAAATCTATCGACTTTTGAACCATCAGTCATATGAACGTTTTGACTTGTATTGATCCTCCCTATTACCCATTTTAAAAATGACTAGCATAACGGTTACACCCTGTATAATGAAACTTCACAGCACGTATATCTATGAGCTTTTAATGTACCTGAAACCCAACTACGAATCATTCAGGGCATTGAACAGCCATGCGCCGTACGTGACGAGTAATTCCTAAGTTCTGCAAATCCCTGCACATATATTATCCATAACAGAAACTAGTCCAAGGTATATGACCATAAAATTTTTGGATATACTGCCGTCAAGCGTAAAAAATCTTCCACATCGCTATTCAAAAAAAAGTATAGAAAACAATTTTAATACAAAAGAGGTACTATTCTGCCAGTGAATATCTCAGTTAACCCAACATCTGATACATTTGAAGCTTTAATAATTATTTTACTTAACGATCGTGTAATCATTTCGTATTCATTATCATTTAATCCAATTGTATTCATTTGTTTCATCTTCCAGGTAGGAACCTGTTTCCAGCCACAGGTTATTTGTATCTCGTATGGCAGACGCTGGCCTTAACGAAAAACATAAACATGTCTGGTATGGATATTGTATTCGAAGACTGTCGATTTCACCAAGCCACACAATTGCCATCTAAAGGATATTTGTCCTTTTTGGTAACTCTTGATATCTCTGGAAAGTTCGAGGTTGGTAGACAGAATAAAAGTATAGAATAAGCGCTGATAAAATATTGAGATAATGTATGATTCTGGATGATAGATGTTGGAATAAATAGTAAAAAAAATAACAAATTCCAGCATTGTGTGCAATTAAATCTGCATAGAAAGAAGACATAATGGGTGATTCGTTTAGAGGTACTTTCTTCATAAGGAAGCAATGATTTACTGTGTAAGGTTGTTATTATTGCACAAAGAAGCATTTATTCTATTTGTTTCTTATAACTATCGGGTAACCTTATGGATAATATCATACATACATAGCTTTAAATTTTTATTTATTTATTTACGAAATAATGATTCTTCATTGATACTGTTCGTCAGCTGCTATGGAAAGAGTGGATGGTATTCTAGTAGAACTCAGTTGGTTTGCATTTAAAGAAATATTTTATCTGCGGTTCATCGTTACTGAGTTATTGGAATAAATCGCGATCTGTTGGCGTTGAGGCTAGTGAATACGGAGGGTGTAGCACTATTTCACAGATCACTTCCTAGTCTGCAATATGAAACCGAGAATTGTGAGTTAGAAAAAATGCTTTATCATGTTGTGGACGGTTACGACGTGGTGTTGGTAGGAATAACTTCCCAGTATATCACTCTATGTGTATCCCAATACACAGGCAGCACCACTTGGCAAAGATGAAGATCTCTATTTCGTTTTGACCCATTCCCTGACGCTTACGTGTGTGGCTAATAGGCATAACCCACTCTCGATGTCCAGTAACGGGATGATCTAACTAGTTGAATATACTGCAAACCTTTAAAAGATATACACGGACATCTGCTAGATAGGCAAGTTGTTTTTTGTTCAACAAAACTAGTCTTTTAGGTCTTTCATAAACCCGCTGTTTCATCGTGCTATGGTTGACTTGGTTGATCTACCTGGGTGCCACTAAAAGGGTCAAAGGTGGCCTAGTTGTCAGGCTTCTCCTCCTCACTACTTGGTTGATCTCTGCAGAATCATTGGAACGTCCGATTTGCTGTTGCCTTGGAGACAGCATCATGAGATACCCTTTGGCATATGCTTCGTGCAGCTTCTGCATCAGAATGCCCAGATTGGAAGCTATAGTAAACACTTAACATCGCTCATTTTCCCTTGTACTTTAAGCAATTACAAGTATAACTGCGTGGTGTCGATCCACTCTTTATATACTTTCACTACACAGGGTGTTTCACAACTTATCCGACAAATTTTAACCACATATGCACTGTTACGAAAGAAGTTGATTTCTCAAAAAAAAAGTTAATAAAAGACCTACATAAGTCGATATAATAAAATAATACAGCTTAGCAGTTCCCAGTACTTATAAAAGCTGTTCAAAATTGTTTCCATTGACTGCAATGCAAGCTTGGGTGCGTCCAATCCAATTTCGGCGCACTAATTCAAATACACCTCCTTCCTGCTGTGCCTGAAGGCTCAAATTGTCGGCAGCCACTGTGACTCGTTCACGTAATTCTTCAATATTCTGAACTAGAGTACGGAATACCTCGTTTCGTAAGTATCCCTATAAAAGGAGTCCAGATGATTTAGATCGGGAGACCGTGTAGGCCATGCAATTGATCTACCCCTTCTAATCCAGCGTATCTGGTATACCTGATTAAAAAAAGCACGAACTTCTGCGCAGAAACCACATCCGTGCTCGGACCGCCAATGGCACATCTTCAAGAAGGACCGGCAAAGCATTCCGAAGAAATTCCAAATACTGTTGACCATCCATCCGATCTGGCAATATGAACGGCCCAATTAGACGTTCATCGACAATAGCTGCCCACACGTTTAAAGAAAAACGATGTTGGAAGTGTGTCTGGACCACTGCGTGAGGACCAAACCTGTGTACTATGAAGATTGGTTATCCCATTGCGAGTAAAAGTAGCTTCATCGGTGGTCAAAATATCAACTGTAAAACGGGCATTTCGAGCATTTTTTTGCAACAACCACTCACAAAATCTTACTCTTAGGGGGTTGTCTGTAGGTACTTGACTCTCTGGACGTGATAAGGGTACAGTTGGTCCTTCTGTAATATGCGCCACGCTGTTACATGTGACACTTCTGGGACCTGTTGGACTAACTGCCTTGTGCTTATTCCCGGATTTTCGTCCATAATATCCAAAATTTCGTCTTCGGCATTTAAAACGCTTTGTGGGCGAACCCAACCCGCATCCACTCCACGTCTGGGGCGCAAATCTTCACTAGCACGTGCTAAATGTTTCGTGATGTGGTTTGTACCTATTCGGAAATCGATGTGAATGCAAACGAGAAGCCGCTCGCGAATTTTGCCCTGCTTGTCCACTAACTCATTAGTGTACACATGCGCCATTTTCATCAATAAATAACAGAAAACATAAACTCGCAAAATAATTTCTTATTTAACTTCACAAAAATCGACCATTTTTCATTCAGACGACCCACGCTACAGATTAAACCTCATTTACACGTTCTTATCAGTATGAAAAACAAAAAAATTCTGGTATTTTGTTTTCGTCAGTTGTTTGGTACAACATTTGCTACAATAAATTATTAATGCGTGTTCTAAAATCACGACAAGAAACGCAAAATACAGATATTTATTTTCCAAATTATTATTGAAACTCAGGTTTATAACTTAATTTCTTCCAGGACTCTTATAACATTTTTCTTTTGAGAAATCAACTTCTTTCGTAACAGTGCATATGTGGTTAAAATTTATCGGATAAGTTGTGAAACACCCTGTGCAGCATTCCTGACTTTACTAAGGTTTTCTAGAAAATAAAAACTACGGCGCTCATTAGGTTTTAGCGTACCTGATAATTTTTCAAATGTTGCCGATCACTGCGAGTAGCGTGAACCGTTTTAGAATTGAACTTATCAGTGGCGCGTCTGGACATGCGAGTGGTATCTAACGAATAATAAGAGTAATGATATGTGATATCTAGTACTCTTATCGATGCAGGCATAGTTCCAAAACAAAAGTCTGACCGTGTCGAACTTCGTACATCCTGAACTGACCGATACGACCGCTCCTTTGCATCTAGGATGTCGAGATTGTGAAACATGAGGATGTTTTTCGCAGTTCTACCAACCTTAGGAAGTTCAAAAATCGGATTAACAAAGCTTCTTTAAAGTCCTCGTAGCAGCCGCTGTGCCCTGGAATTTAGGCTTTTTTCTGCGCGGCTGCTTTTGTTTAAAAAAGTAACACGATATCTGCAGTCAGTTTATCTGTCCGAAATACGTTATTCTGGAAGCAGCGTCGTAACATCATGTTTAAACCAGGTTCTTTGAAGATCATGGGCTTAAATTCCAAGCAGCAACTTGTGTAATCATGACACGATAACGGTCGTCAAACACTAACAGCTGACATTTGAAAGTAATAACCTTCAAAAACTTAAAGACGAATGCATTTTTTTGACGATGCAGGTAACCACAGAACGTTAATGTTGGTTGAGTTTTTATTTTTTATGATTTTGAAAAAAGTACCTCTGATGATAATTTCTAACGTAATTTATCATAGGTCAGCGAGAGCAATGTTTCTATTGTTACGGGTAGAATTACAATATTGGAAACTGAAGATTCTGAACCAGTGTTGCATAATGACTTCCATCTAAACAACTCAATGAAGTTGCAAGACATTTATAAGGAGTTGAAACTCAGAGGATACAACTACACGTAAGTAATGTTTCTGGTGTTTCATAAGTCAAAACGGGTATTTAGATTGATGATTAAATATGAAATTAAAAGCGTATATAGGCATACCTTTTAATGATCTTCATTTATTCAGGGGTGGGTTTCGACAATTGCAAGACTTCGACGTGAACGAATGCAAAGGACATATCAAATGGGATGCCAATTGGGTTACATTCATGGACATAATGTTACAAATGAAGATCTTATCTATCGATTCTCGGCTACTCTATGTGCCGACTTACATTCAGGAAGTCAGGTTGAGTGCCATGCGCCATGAGAAGTGGATCGAAGATCATTATGTAGCCAATGGATTAGAAACTAATCTACCCGCTCACTACAATAGCTTAAGTGATACCATCAGGTAAGTGAAGGAATCAGTCAATCCTTGTATATATATACAGGGTGTTTCAGTTTATTGTTGCATAACTTTAAGATTCGATAGAACTTTTAAAATTAATGCATAAAGTCTATATAAACATGGGTTGAAAAATGCGTGGCTTCCGAAATACAGGGTGTTTAAATTTACTTTCTAAAATATTTTTTTTTTAAATATTTCGAACAATATTTGATGTATAACAGTAAAAATTGGCATACAAGGGTTTTTTGGTACGACAAAACGAACCATGGGCATAGTTTTACTGTAGCCGCTAGAGGGCGCTCTCTACTGTACCTGTAGTGTATTAAAATGACCGAAAATTTTTTCTTAGTGCAATTTTTTGCTTTTTGAATAAAAGAACTGATCCTTCGCACTTTTCAACATAAAAAACCTCTCTTGTGAGTTTTCGTTATAGTTAGCCGTTGTTGAGATATTTCGATTTTTAAGGTTCGATGCATTTTTAATTATTTATGGGAAAATAATATTTTTTTTACATTTTCGATTTGGGCATTACAAGTAATTAAGATGATCGTTTAGATTATGTTTTTAAACACAGCAATAATTCCTAACTCCAAATAAACACAAAAAAACAGAATATTAATTTGTTTATTTTTCCAATATCATTTTTAACAAATTAAATTAATTATTTACAACTAAAAAGCTATTGGATAACATACAAAATCTAAAGCTGTTGCTCGAAATGTAAACCCAATTGTTCAATACACAATTCACATCTACGAATGATCGAACGTGGTATAGCATTATTTAAATAAGGTCTTATTTCATCACATGCATTCCTGATTCTGTCTATCAGCATATCTCTTGTGGTTACGGGAGTCTGGTACACTTTTTCTTTTAGAAATCCCCACACAAAGAAATCTAATGGATTTTCGTCCAGCCAGTTTCTAACTATTCTCGAATAATGAGCTGGACAACCATCAAGCTGGAACCAGGCCAATCTTCTTAAATCTAACATAACATCATCCCACATATTTGCATGTTCAGCCTTTAAAAATTCCAAGAACGTCGCGGCATTTAACCTTGCAGGCAAAAGGTAGGGTCCAAATAGTCGATTACGGTAGATACCAATCTATACGTTCACACCAAATTCATGCTGAAAATTTCTTTTCCGAACTGCATGCGGATTTTCACGCGACCAAATATGTTGAATATGAAAATTTACCACTCCACGTCTAGTGAAGCATGACTCAACGGTCCATAAAAAGTTACTTAAAAACTCCCTATTATTATCAGTTCTATCAAGAATCCACTGACAAAATGTGATTCTTCGTTCTAAGTCCCCTGGCTGTAGTCCTTGCACAGGTTGCAAATGGTAAGGACGTCTATGGTCATTTCTAAGAACACGGTGAACATGGCTTGCTGAAATTCCCAAGGCACCAGAAACTCTCCTAACACTTGTGGTCGGATCTCTATCAAACTCACGCAGAATCATACGGGTAAATCTGCGCTGACGAACACTTATGTTTTGAGCCCTGTGGAGATTTCCAAAACCATTTTCAATTATTTGGCGATGCACTCTTACAAATACTGAGCGAGTTGGATGTCGTCTGTTTGGAAATCTTCGTGCGTATTCTCTGGCTGCTTCTGGTGCGTTTTCATTTAAAAAGCGATACACAAAATGAATATCCGCTAACTCTTGATTGGAGAATAAAAATGACATTTTTATAAAACTTACAAAAAAAAAAACAGGTAAAAGAAACAAAATTTCGTGCATTCACAATTGCAAAAAAACGTTTCAGGTTTCAACAGACAACAAAACTAACTGTCAACTAATTGACGTTTAACCTTATTCTGCTTTCAATTTCAAAAATATTTGCAGGCACAGCCTACTTCTAAAAATTATCGAGATACTGACTTTTTAACGTTATTTTATCATAAATAATTAAAAATGCATCGAACCTTAAGAATCGAAATATCTCAAAAACGGCTAACTATAACGAAAATTCACAAGAAAGCTTTTTTATGTTGAAAAGTGCGAAGAATCAGTTTTTGTATTCAAAAAGCAAAAAATTGCATTAAGAAAAAATTTTCGGTCATTTTAATACACTACAGGTACAGTAGAGAGTGCCCTCTAGCGGCTACAGTAAAACTATGCCCATGGTTCGTTTTGTCGTGCCAAAAAACCCTTGTATACCAATTTTCACTGTTAAACATCAAATATTGTTCGAAATATTTAAAAAGAGCTATTTTAGAAAGTAAATTTAAACACCCTGTATTTCGGAAGCCACGCATTTTTCGACCCATGTTTATATAGACTTTATGCATTAATTTTAAAAGTTCTATCGAATATTAAAGTTATGCAACAATAAACGGAAACACCCTGTATAAGTTATGCTTTATACAAAAATTAAAGACTCATTTCAATATTCATGAGATTTAAGACCTTTTCCATCCCTCATAAACATCAGTATTAGCGGCCAAGTCTATTTTAATACCTGCAAGTGAAGTATGCCGAGATAAGCTTGAACGGAAAAAGATTTATCCAAGCTATGTTGTTCGGAAATCTCTTCTAATGTGTTGCCAGATGTCGAGATCGAATGGATAATATTCGAACAAATCACTGAATTCGAAAAAGGAAGAAAATTATTGTCAAAATGTCAACATGAATATAAAAAAGCATTCTACAGAAACAGCAATCCAAATGGTGGTTGAAGATCGGAAAAGAAGTACAGATGAGAAAGAGTGTACCGTAACTATATTTTCAGACTTCAAACGGGCATGTGAGCCTATACATTGTTAATGAAATTACATCACTCTGGATTTAAGAATCAGTATTAAATAGTTTATAAAACTATTTAGTAAATAGACGTAAAAAACTAAAATTGGGAATATTATGACAGCGTTCAAAATATAATAGTAGGGGTGACATAGGGCAGCAAATTAGGACCACTACTGTTAATTAAAAATGTTATCTTTGATATTTTAGAACCCTGCAAAGTTCAAATATTTGCGGACGATACATTGATGTACTATATACTGAGTTATATTGAGTGACAAAAAAGGTAAACACCTACATATGTTCATTGGAATTCAAGAATTTTTGACATATCGATGAAACAAGTGATAAAATGGTCAGTTTTTCTTTGTTAATTTTTTGTGGTGGCTGCGTGTATTATTTGGTGATAAAGAAGCATTCAGTTTTCGTACATTTACGGTGTCGGTTAAACGTTAAATTTCGTGTAGCTTATTGAGAGGCCGTTCAAACGATGTGGCAAAAAATGGTCCTATTAATTGGTCATCAATTATTTCAGCCCGCACATTAACAGAACGTTGATACCGCGAATTTTTCTGTGCAATTGCATGGGGATTTTCGTCCGCCCAATTATGAAAATTGTGAAAATTTATAATTCCATTTCTTGTAAAACAAGACCCTTCTGTTGACGACACGTTCGCTACAAAATTGTGATTTCTTTGATGTTTACCCAAAAACCAAATACAAAAATTTGATCTTAAGGCGAAAGAGCTTGTTTTTTAAGGGTTGATGTACAATCCATCTGAGACACCGACTTGACGAGCAATATTTCTCGTACTCGGTGTCTAATCCTAGTCAATTAAATTCAAAATTTCTTCTTCGGTTTCCACTCCTACTTCACGATGTCTTCCGCAATTGTTAATATTAGGCACTACGCTACCTGTGTCCGTAAGTCTTTGGGATACTTCTACGAATGTTTGTCTAGCTGGTAGCCTTCGATCACGAAAACGTTCTTCGTAAATGCGCCTAGCCTCTTCAGAATTGCAAGGAGCCTCTCCGTAAATAATAAGCATATCGCGATGCAGTAATACATACTGAATAATAAAATGTGATTTCAATTCGGGTAAACATTACTTGCATTAACGTATGCAAGAAACTACCAACTAATTTTTTTCCCGATGTAGGTATTTATTTTTTTGCCTACCGACACGCTATGATACATGCAGTGCAGGCGAAGTACGGCGTTACCAGTTGTGTGAGGGATTTTGTTTGTCTGTTTTTCTTCGGAAAATTGTATTTAATAAGCAAGAAACTTATTTTGTTAGAGGAAGTTAATTAATAAATAGATATATTGATGCATTTTACGCTATTAGGCATATGCATTTAAATTATTAAGGTGCAAAATTCATGACTAAAAAGAAATAAGTTCAGCAATTTTTTTGCTCCGAAACGGTTGATTTTCGGACATAGGTAATAATGAACTTTTTTGCATAGAATAATGCAAGGCATCACCTCTTAAATTTACGAATATTATTTTCCTATCACCCTGTATATAGCACACAAAAATTTGGTCACTGCTTTAGAAATGTTGAACAGATACATTAAGAAATTATGAATTGGTTAAATGTTAACAAACTGTAAAATGTATGTCAACATTGAAACATTTAGGTGACAATACAATTAGGCTCATGACGAATGATGAAAAAATTTAAGTATTCGAATCATTGAAATATCTGGGTGTATATGTGGATATTAAGCTACAGTTTCAAGAGCATTATGAATACATTATTTCAAAAATGTCAAAAAAGATAAATTACATACCTCTATAGAGTTTCCCGTAATCTCAGCATGTATTCCACAATATTGTGTATAATACCATAATTCTTCCCCATTTTTTATATTGTTCAATGATTCTGTTTATAAAAAATGAAAAAATATTTTAAAAATTACAAATTCTACAAAATAAAGATATGAGTAAAAACAAATATGCTAAGATTAAGTCTATGTTAGAGTAACTACAGTGGTTGTTATGTTAGGAAATTTATGAGTTGTTAAGCTCTCATGTTCATATTCAAATTCATTTATTATCACCAAATTTAGAAAACTTCACAAAATTAAATAGTCATTGTCATAAGTACGAAACTAGAGGAGGTATAGATTTTCATCTGAAAAATTGTATCTAATAGTAGCATAACTAGCAAATCTGTATTTGAAAAGGGAGTATTTCAATTTAATGAATTGAATAATGATATTAAACAGTGTTCGAACTTAGAAATGTTTATGGTGAAATTAAAAAATCACTCAAAATGCATAGGGATGTAATGTTAGTCACTGATCAATGCCTATTGCTGAATGTTGAACATGTAAAAGAATCGAATAAACACAGTTTATTGTTATTATTTTACTAGACAAGGATATAACATTAAAGAAATTTGATTAAAAAAATATGTAAACGAATAGTTATACAAAACTGACATTGTACTATTAATGCTAAATAAATCTGCAACACATAAAAACTCTTTCTTACCAGCTAAGTTTATTTTACGCCTCTGGAATTACATATATGTAATAACTTGCTTAACTTTTTTGGAATTTGTCATGGAATCATGCATCTAGTTACTGTTGCAATATGTATTGTATACTATATAGTAGAATGTTGCATAGCTAGCCTAACAATGGTCACGGGTCAGCCACTCAGAAAAACTGCTTCTCGTCAGATAGATTACCCAACCTCTGTTGCGTAGATGTTCCACCGTTATAACATGCTTCACACAAATTGTTCAGCCACTTCCCCAAAAGGACTTCAGGGCGACTGATTGCTACCAACCAGTTCAGCAAATGAGCTTCACATAGGCATGATACGTTATTGTAAAATACTGACTGACAACATTTCAGAGGGGCTCATGAAATATTCAACTGAATTTCATGATTATGGAAATGAGTCTTAAGTACAACGCATATTAAATAAACGGATTTTAATCAAGTATTAATTTTTATTGTGGAACGTTGGTTAAGTAATTGTGTGGGAGTTATTTGAGAAAAACTATTTAGTCGACGTTGGATTTCATGGCTATTATCATTGTTTTTGTTTCAGTTCTGGTTATATCAAAATAAAGGGCCTGATGGCTAGCACTATTACGAGAAAGAGAGACATGAGAATACCGGTTCTAGAGAAGTACATGTTTGTGCCAAATGAAGCGTCACTTAAAGTGGAAGAATCAATGAGAGTTAACATCCAAATTATTCTAGAAAACACCTTATCCACTAAAGTGAAGTGTGTCGAATTAGTGGACCAATTCGCTGTTGATAAGAATTCACCTTTATCTCCCATAGTGCTCACTGTATTAGAAGATCAGCCCCTCATTCAGCCAAATGTCACCATATTGAGCAATTCTCCCATTGAAGGAGTGTCTGTCACTACTGTGGATAAAACATTGAGAACTGAGACTGACTGTACAATAATCGTAATATCGAGGCTTTCAAAGAGACCAGAGGTATGGTTTATGAACATTTTGAATTTCATGTAGTTTATTGCATTTGGCTAACTTGAATTATCTGTATACATACGAGTACATACATACTACTGTGGTACAATGAAGTATAAGATATATGGATGTATGATAACAGCAACTACTCAATATATTCAAATATCTTTCAGTTTTTGCAAGACATCTACGAATCATTAAAAGAAGACGGTTTCATCATCAGCAGAGAAGAAGTAAATTGCGATGCATCAAAACTTTCCTTGAGGGGACTGAATACCCTCACTGTCCACAGAACAGATACAGAAACATTGGTGTTCTATAGGCAAGTCTTTCAGTCATAATCCATACTGCGAATCTTTTATGTAGTGTTTCTACACCCTCACGAAGACGCCATGGCCACGTATTCAGTATTAAAGTACGAACAACCTATCGAAACATTTGGCAACTCCCTGACATGGCGACTGGTGGCTTCGGCACTCAAAAGTTTGGCTCCCATATATTTCAATAGATTAGCTTGGCTACATTGTCATGGCGTTGCGATGAGGGAATGCTCGAAGAGAAACGTATACATATATTAGTTGACGTTGGTTATTTACAGACGTGAAACTCAACAAGCGCCAATGAATTTTTTGAAAATAGATGATACTGAAACTTTCCCATGGTTGGAACAGTTGCAAGAAATGAATAAAACGAAAAGCAAGGAAGACATAGTGTTATACTCCGAGAAGGATTCCACTAGCGGTATTTTAGGTACTTATATTCAACCACTGGAGGTTATATAGTTTTTATCTGTAGTAATTATAATTCAAATCTATATACAGAGTGTCTGCGAAAGGCTGGGAAGCCTCGAAACTGGAGATACTACAGACCAAAATATGTGAATGGACCTAAACATACCTCAGTCCAAAAGTTGATAGTTTGCGAGATGTTACAATTTTATTTTCTACTTTTCCTTATTGCTTGATAAGCGAGGTTCTCTAGTATGAGAGACAAGAATCCGTTATTTTTTATTGCCAAACTTCTAGAGGGCGCAACTTACCGCACTGTTTCGGTAAATAACTTATTATAACTTTTTTGTGCTACCCTGTATATAACAAATGATCGAAAAATCTTATTTTCTCGTATTTTCACGCCAAAAATGGTTCATTCCTTAGGAGTGTCTAAAGCTAATCGTTTTCGAGATATTTGTTTTTAAAAGTTCCAATGCATTATTTGTACCACGATGATAAAACATTTTTATAACATAATAATCATGTTGCTTTGAATAATATCTGAGTTACGTTGCTATGGTTTCTAATGTCTGTCATAATATTGCTTTGAATGAATAATTTTAAGTGGGCAATAAATTGTTAAACATCATATAGTATACGTCTGATAAACATTCTGGTATGTACTTAATGTACGGATTGGCAAGATGTAATGCTTTAAAAGCACCAAAATTGTACGCTGACAGATTCCCTAATAGACACCTGCCTAACTCAAAGACTTTCCAACGAATCAGCGGTTACGAGAAACTAGTAAGAAATGATTATAGCCTTATTTTGATTAGTAAAAGCCATTTGAATTTTGGGTAGTTTTGCTCAAAATATGGGCCGACATAGTCGAGCTCCCAGAACTGTATATACAGCTGAAGTTGAAGGAATTTTTTCAGATGCTGTGTTTTAAAATCCTACAGTTGGGGTTAGGAATGTAGCTTTTGTTTGTTTAAGATTTATTTAGCATGATTGCTACAATTACATTCTTCTGAAAAACTAAACAATTACATAACATACAGATATTAAAAAAACGAAATTTTCATCTCTAAGAATTTTCATTGTCCATGAAATATTCCTTTAATTTTCTTTCAAATATCTTTAAATTACAAGTAGACTTTATATCTTTATTCAGTTTATTAAATTCAAGTAATCCTTTCTGAAATATTGATTTGCTAGTTATATTAGTATCGCAATCTTGTTGAATATGAAAATACGAGTATATATTTCCTCTTGTATAATAATTGTGGTAATGATTATCCAATTCTATGTAGTGTTCTAAATGTTTTGGCAAAAAAATGATTTTTTATTTTAAATATAAAAATAAGAACCAAATATGATATGAAATTTTTTATATTCAACCACTGCAAATCTTGTAACATAGATTTTATTTTGGTATACTTATTTTTATTCAATATTATTCTCATAGCTTTAATTGCAAGACTTGTAGTAATTTTGAGAACACAGCTTCATTGGCAGTGAACAATATAGTAAATGCGGTAGAATAATTGTATTATAAACTATTTTCTTGGAATAGTCACCAAAACTATGAGAAGCCCTATAAAAGTAATTTGTTTTTTTTGGCAATTTTTGTAATAATGTATTCATAGTGATCCTCGAACTTTAGTTCACTATCAATATACGAGCCCCTCCCACTTCAGTTGGCCCACTTCAAGATTGAATTGAAAGATTACCATTGGGTATCTTCACCTTTATTTTTTATTACGGCTATTCTTTGGGGCACAGTGTTAACCATGTTTTGGCAAAAATTTGGTGTAAAACAATCCCATGTTTCTTGAAGCTTTTGTCTCAGTTCGGTGATTGTACGAGCAGGATGTTGTCGTAGAACCTGTTTCATCTCGTGCTACAAAGTTTCAACAGCTGACAGATCTGGACTGCTAGAAACCCATTTCAAAAGTGGTACATTATTTTCTTCCATCCATTTTATAGCCTTTTTTTAGGCACGCTGCACCATCTTGCTGAAACACAAAATCTTGGCCGGATGTCAAACATTCTTCCAACTGGTAAAAACATTCTTCTAAAATTGCCAAATATTTATTTGTATCCACATTTCCGTCAATAAAATGAAGTTTTCCTACTCCTTTTGATGACGTACTGCCCCAGACCATAATGGATGCTGGAAATTTCACTTTTCTCTTCAGACAGTCAACATGGAATGCTTAACTTTTTTTGCGAATAACTCTACTGCGACTGTCACCAACACAAACTTCGAATCTGGCCTCATCACTCCATTGTATTGCACACCATTGTTGAGGTGTCCATTGTCTATGTACTTTAGCCCATCTAAGCCGATTTTTCTTTTGCAGTGGAGTTAATAGTGGCTTTTCTTTGGCCTATAGACAAGTTGTGCAACTTTAGGGTTTTTACTTCACTTTTTTTTAAGAGAACTTATCTTGCAAGTTCTAAATCCCAGTTTGTGGGCCTCTCTATGAGTTGTGGACCTCGAAATTCTCCTTCCAACAGCGTCACTCCACAGAGCACTCAATTGTAAATAATTGGCACGCCTGTTTTTCACGATTATTCTTCTTAATGCTCTTCGGTCGGCATTTGTAATATTACTTTTTTTTCACATATCGTGACTTAATATTGACTGAACAAGTTAAGTTATATATTCTAACAATTATTCTCACACTATACCGCGATAAGTCTAACAAAGTTGCAATTTCTGAGTTTGGTTTCCCAGAATTAATAAATTTAATTATCAGTAACCGAATTTTCTCACTAATAACCTTTCCTCTACCCATTTTGAAAACCTTAACTACCCAAAACTATTTTAAACGTATTCTGACAGCTGTGATTAATAAAAACAATTGACATGGCTTTTATTTTTCACAGCCACCTATGCGTTATAGACTTATTTTGCATTGAAATGAAAATAGGTTGATATGCTGGAATTGCAACATGTGTTATTTTTATGCTGCAAATTTGATTAGGGAGTGATAAGGTTGGTGTGTTCTACTATATATTATCAAAATATTCATTGTTAATATTTTAAACCTATAACACCCTGCTACATTTTTATATTTGTGTTTGATAAGAAAAAAAAAAGATTTCAATAGTTGCGCCAACTGAAGTGGGAAGAGGCTCGTATATACCTAAATATTTAATTGATATTTTCAATCAATTCTCCATTTATCCTAACTCTGATAGTATTTTCATTTAGGTTTTTCCCTATTAGTATACATTTTGTTTTAGAAGTATTCAAGTTTAGTTTATTTCCATTTAACCAATATACTATTTGTGCCAAGTCACAATTTAGCATTTTTAAAGCAGTGTGTACATTTTCGTCTGATATGTATACTAATGTATCATCTGCAAATATCTGAAGTTTACAATAATCTAAAATATTACAAATGTCATTAATTTGTAAAATAAATAGTAGTGGTCCTAGTTTACTACCTTGTGGTGTACCAATAGAAATATTCTTTATCTTGATAATGTACATCCAATTTTGGTTTTTTATTATTAAATAGTTTTGTAGAATTTTGAATACAGATCCTTTAAGTCCGTAGTGATACAATTTTGTAAGCAATTTATCACTGTCAATAGCCTCAAACGCCCTTTTGAATTAAAAAACACTGTTACTGTATGTGTTCGATTGTCCATACATCTCCTCCAGTCCTCTAAAACCATTTGTGTTGCCGTTTCAGTTGAGTGTTTCTTCCTGAATCCAGCTTCAAATTTGGTTAAAATGTTATTTCCCTCAATAAATTCGATGATCTGTTCGTAAATAATATCTTCGAAAACTTTTTCAACATCTGTCAGAACATTTATTGGCCGCATATTGGTGTACAACTCAGAATTCTTAACTGTAGAAACAGGAGTATTAGCTTGAGACTTTCTAGTTTCCAAATGTACAGTAAATACCATTTTTTAAGAGCAACTGGTCCATCCATACCACCTGCAAAAAGTACATGGTTTAAGAGCGGATGATGACCCCGGAAGGGTAGAGTTTTGTATATGTCTCTTAAGGCGGCTCCGACGCAGTGAGTTTCAGGCCATTTACAAGGGTTTAGCTGCTTCGGAATTGACGCTCCATTTTTCTATATATTTGAATAAAATTTATACAGTAGTTTCAGAAGACAATTGTCCAGGGTGCTATAGAGCCACTTTTCTAAAAAAAAATTTTTTTCAGGAGTTATGGTGGGTGGAAGTGCAGCATAATTGTTGTTCGACTTCTCGATTTTTTTAAAAATAACCCAGAGGAAAAAACGAAAAAGTGGCTCTATAGCACCCTGTGGAGTCTTGTTTTTAGTGCACTGTGAAAATTTCATTGAAAAATATTCAAAAATGAAGCGTCAATTTTGAAGCGCGAAAACCTCTGCAAATAGGCTTTTACACGAATTTTATCCACTATCTCGTGCTGCCAGTCGAAGCAACGCGGCGGTGTGTACGGACTAAGAAAGGACGTATTCAGATAATTTGTTGTCCCAAGTTAAACAGTAGCAGTTTTAACGTCGGTCGTTCGAGATAAACATCGGACCAGTAAGTCATATTTTTAATAGACTTCAATGAAAGAGGGGACATTTTTAATCGATTTTGATCATTTCTTTTTATACAATAGGCCATGCTTCAGAGGTGATACCACAAAAAATCATTTTTGTTCAATCACCCCAATATGGATATCAAATGGAAGCACTTGTACAAAACAGTAATACGAAAACAATTTCAAATCAAGATGGCGGCCTTTACAAAATGGCGGATAACATGCTTGCTAATATCTCAAATAAGAGTCGTCGCCTTGTACAATACAGTACTTCACTAAAAATTTGATTCCAAGATTGCCGCCGTTTCGAAATTGCGAGTTACATATTTTTGTACAAAACCCCCAATTTACATATCAAATGAAAAGACTTGACATGTGTGGTAAAATACAGAACTTTGTGACCAAAAGTTTCCAGGTGGTTCCAGGGTCATTGGAGGCGGTAATCTTTTTAGTTAAAAATAATAATTATAGTAAACGCATTTAACACAAATAAAATGTCACTTGCTGTTTAGCTTTAACCTTATGGAGTATCGTAAAATAAGCTTAACACGATAAGCGTCATGAGATATAATGCGTGTGTCGCACCTCATTTGGCGCTTTGGGCCTCGTGACACACATGATATGTCTCACTGCTGGCAGTTATATTTGGCCGCGTAACGTAAGACGTGTGCCATGCTGATGTGATTTTCTTACGGGAACTAAGAGTCCGTGGCCTGAGGGACCAAATTATACTGAATTGGAAATGAAAACATTAAAAAACACGTTGTTTATAGAGTTTTACAAAAAGAGGATATTCTACAAATCTAAAACAAAAAGCAAATCTTATAAAATAATCAGACATTCTCATTCAAAAATAAACAAAGTAATTTCACAGCAAATCAGTAAGTTATGGTAAATGTCGATATTCTAACGAACACAAATATGGAGGAACTCTTATAAAGTAAACAGATTGATAAAGTCTTATGCAGGAATAAACAAAATACCGGTATAAATAAACAGTAATAGAGATAAATATGGAATTACTACAACTACTATCTGATTCACTACCACTTGGAGAATACGCATCAGATAAGTATACATCCCCACATAACTCAGTACTGTCACTCTCTTCATCCGATAGTATTTCATTACACAATTGTTCAAGCCTTTTTTGCTCCGCTTCGTAATGCGACATCACAAATTTGGTATTCAATAATTTATAAACAGTAAAGCAATTTGGACAAGATGATGTACAATACCAACAACGCTTCAATAATAAATGACACGAAACAGTGCTCAACGCGCGACATGATGCAAGTCTTGACTTGCAAAAAACGCGACGCGACTTATGTGCCACGCGACCCGACTGGTCTGTGGGCCACGCGACATACAACTAGTACCTCAGAAAAAAAAAATCAAAAAAGGGGAAAAATCATAGGATTTGGGAAAAAAGTCAAGTCAAAATATTAAACCGAAACTTAAAACAAGCTAATTTGACAATAATAACAGTTTGGCCCAGTGGACTGGATTTTCAGATTCTACTGTGGCGCTTAACGTGTCAATGTGACATTTCAATATTCGCCATCTAACAGACTAGATAAAGCTAGCCGATGCTACGTGCTATTGAGCCTGACGATTGACTTTTATTTAAATAAACAATATATACATAATTTACAATAAATATTGAACATCTGGTACTAGTACCAAAATAGAAGAGATTAGCATAACATCTCGCACATCGCTGCTAAAGCGAGATCTTCACACCGCATTTGCTGACACGAAGGGGTTAGTAACGGCGTACAATGTATTATGCTAATCTCTTCCATTTTGGTACCCGAGTACAGCAAAAATAGCCAATTCTCAAGAACTCGTTTTCTTGTTCAAACGGTTCTCTTGTGCCTTCAAGATCACATCGGGATCGCGGATTGGCATATTTCTGCTTTTCCTGGGATCGACCAGTTCTGGGAGCAAGCAGTTCATGTAGAAGAATTTCTCTTCCATTTCATTTTTCCAGAAAACTTCATCCTTTTGAATGACGTCTATTTTCAAACCATACGGGGTCCCAACACCAAGCACACAGTACTCTCTTTGTGCAACGTGTAGCTGCCCTTGAATTTGGTAATACCACTTATGTTTTTTATTTATTTCATCGTTTATCCAAAACGTAATTTTTTTGTTCAGAATGCCCTCTTCAGGGGTCATTTCTCTAGCCGACCATGGACATTTAATTTCTAGCAGACCTTTTTCGCCTATCAAACCATCTGGCGAAGCTGCCAGAAATGGATGGGTCCTATCAATAAACAACCCGCAAGATTGTACTTCTGATTGCGAATATGATTTCTCTATTTTTGCCTTTGCCACGCTTTCATGCTTTTTTCCATAGTCACATGCATTGCTAAAGAATTCGGTTGGGTATATTATGGCGTTTACTAGAGCTCTGCAACTTGTTGTATCTCTTCTTCTACAAACCTCACCAAACCGAGACGCAGTCAACCTCATTCTTCGATGAAGACGCCACAAATTGCAATCCTGAGATTTTGTGGCTTGCTCGATCCGGGAAATTTCGGAGTCGGTTTTTGCAAGTTTTTTCAAGAATTCTACCTTGGCAGCCTCTATATCTTTGTTGCTCATATCAGGCTTCTCACAGAATTCCCCATAGGATGCGTTCTCTTTAGTATCAGTATCTCTGATTTGAATTTTCCTTGGTTTCAGCTTCCTTTTCAGATTTTTGTGCGCTCTCCTTTCTTCAACTTTAGCAATCAAAGAGGTTGGACTGAAACTAGGGAGTAGCCGCTTTTGGATCACACAAACAGGTCGCTGTGTATTGTGGCTCACTACGGCTGCAGCACATCTTCCTTGGTAGGATCTCTTCTTGCAATAATTAATCTATTTACCCCCAATGAATTTAGCTATGATTGAGTTAAACTGCTCTACAATACTATTATCGACGTCATGAAGTAAACTTACTGCATTTTTAATCAAAATTGCCAGAAATGATATCAGCCTCTGGCGCAAATCTAAAAAAAAAGGGTATACACACCTGAATTTGAAGATCCATGCCGTCTGTCTCTGTTAGAGAATGCATATGCGAAACCCTGCTGTCATTTTTAAGCTAAAATAACATATAAAATATAGTTGTAATAGTAACTACGTATAGTCTAATTTATTGGCAAAATGAATGCTAAAATTCATAATTGTTTTGGTACCTACCTTTCTATCTGGAAAACGTTTTTTTTCCTGTGCGTATTTAAATGCGGCTTCTTCGAGACACGATGTTTATTTCTCTTATTGTTCATTTTTGATACCTTGATAAGAAAGACACTCAACAATAACAACACAACAATAACAACACAACAATAACAAAACGATAATACAACAATACAATAACGGTAATAAGAGTAATAAGGGCTGAGTATATCTACTATGCGCCAAAATAGGGAAACAGTCGTACGCCAGATCGTATATCCAAATCAAATCCGACTCTGTGTAATATGCAAATTCAACCAGGCACGCGAACAGCACACCTCTGCGTATTACTATCCTTTTCTAACGTAGAGCGCTTGCCTTGTCAGAACGCCGTCCTACTAGCGTTTCCCTAGCACCCCCCCGATACCCCTCAGAAACTCTGCTTGACTGCGAGAGCGCCGTTAAGGAAGTTTAACTACGACAATGGTTTTACTTGGTTAATATTATTTTCGGACGAAGCATTATTTGGAAGGGACCGACCCGTTAACTCGCATAATCTTCACATTTATGCAGACGAAAATCCTCATGCAATAATACAAACCCGCCAGCTAGTACAATTTCGAAGTAATTTATGGGCAGGAATAATTGGACAATATTTAATAGGACCCGTTGAGTTACCACCTAGACTAAATGGCCAAACGTATTTACAATTTCTTGAAGAACAATTACCCACTCTGCTGGAAGATCTTTCATTACAAACACGCATGAATATGTGATTTATGCATTTTAGTATATTAGTTAGAGAGCACCTAAATAGAGTTTATCCAGACCAGTGGATAGGCCGATCAGGACCTGTATCGTGGCCGGCTAGATCACTATATTCTTCTCCTGGGGTGGTTTAAAACGACTCGTTTACACGACCAGTGGAAACTGTAGATGACAAGGAATTTTCCACCATAGCCAGGAAATGAAAAATTACATCCAAATGCTTTGGAGAGTGCAGCAAGGATTAGTTCGTCGAGCTCGAGAGCGTATTAGGCAAGATGGTGCTCATTTTGAACAATCTTTGTAGTTATTTCCAACTTAATTATTATGTTATAAACATGTTTTATCATCATGGTACAAATAATGCGTTGGAACTTTTAAAAACAAATATCTCGAAAGCTATTAGCATTTACTAAGGCTATAAACATTTCTTACCAGTTTCTCGTAACCGCTGATCGACTTGTTGGAAAGTCTTTGAATTAGGCAGGTATCTATTAGGGAATCTGTCAGCGAACAATATTCATGCTTTTAAAGCATTACATCTTGCCAATCCATAAAATAAATGCATATCAGAATATTCATGATGTTTAACAACTTATTGTCAACTAAAAATTGTTTATGAAGTTATGACAAACACTAGAAACTCGAAAACTATTAGCTTGAGACACTTCTAACATTTTCTGTGGTGGAAATACGAGAAAATAAGATTTTTCGGTCAGTTGTTGTATACAGGGCAGCACAAAAAAGTTATGATGAGTTATTTACCGAAATAGTGCTGTAAGTGGCGCCTTCTAGAAGTTTGGCCTAAGGTGTGTTTGGGTCAATTCAAATATTTTGGTCTGTAGTATCTCCAGTTTCGAGATATCCCAACCTTTCGTATAAGGGTATGAAAGATTTTCAAATTTGCGAATACGATTTTAGGTTTCGTTAATTGTTTGAGGAGAGAACCAGAGACTAGAAACGTCCGCTGCGTATTTTATATGGACGAACCCGACACATTCGATGTGAATGACCCTAGTTTACTACAACAGCTCAAGAGGAATATGGCAATCAACGTGAAAAAAGATGGTAAATGGGGCACATACAGGCATATGCTGATAAAACGAGAGTCATACGTTGAAGCAGAACATTGTTTTGCTAACACATCTGTCAAAGGAGATCTGACTAGCTTGAAATGGACGGAAGGACCGTTGACCAGCAGTACTACACCTCCATTGGAAAAAGACTTGGTTTATGTAAGCATCAGTATGATTTGATTTAACTTGGCCTGTTTGGTAGTGTGTATGTTTGTATGAATAGAGAGATGTACGTATGTATGTAACATACATATACTAAGTGACATATAAATCCGAACACCCAGTTTAAATGGTTTTATTTTAATAAAAGTTGGTGAATGTATTTATCTTACTGTAAATAACAAGTGAAAAAATTTTCAGCCTTATCAGTTGGACATTCCGGTTTTTATACTGCTTTTTTTTGATTCACTAACGCTCTAAAAATGAATATTTCAGCCGCAGTAAAGAATTAACGTTGGTAGATTTTGGTTCTTGACATCCTTTACGATCGGTTACGATGCCAAGAGTACGGAGACCTGTACGATTTCGTCAACTTAGTGAGTTTGATAGGGGCCGTATAGTGGGACTTCGGGAAGCTGGACCTTCTTTTCGGGCAATTGCAGTTAGAGTGCAAAGAAGTGTAGACACTGTGGTTAGGTGTTGTCAGGCATGGCTTCGAGAAGGCAGTACGCAAAGAGCAAGGGGCACTGGACGCCGCCGTAGAACAACAGACCGTGAAGATCGCCGCCTAAGATTATTGGCCTTAAGGGACCGTTTCTCCACTACCAGGTCCATTGCAAATGAATGGTTTGCAGAACACGGAACACCTATTGGCATGCGAAGTGTTTACCGACGAATGAGAAGTTTTGGCTTATTTTCATACCGGCCACACTGGGTCCTCCCTTTAGCTCGAGAACACCGACGTAATCGCCTTGAGTGGTGCAGACAACGGTCACTCTGGGATCAGGAATGAAACAGTATTTGTCTTAGTGACGAGTCATGATTTTGTTTAGGCATGCACGATGGTCGTGCCAGGGTTAGAAGGCGACGTGGTGAAAGGAGGAATCCACAGTTTTTTGTTGAAAGACATGTTCATCACACTGTTGGAGTTATGGTTTGGGGTGATATAGCTTATGGTTCCAGGTCACCTTTAATCTTCATCAGAGGTAACATGATCGCGCAGCGTTATATCCACGAAGTTCTAGAACGCCATCTTTTACCCTATCTTGACACCCTGGCAGATCCAACTTTCCAACAAGCTAATGCCCGACCACATGTTGCAAGACTCACAATAGACTTCTTTCAACATAATGATGTCACATTGTTACCATGGCCACCAAGATCTCCCGACTTATCCCCAATTGAGCACGTGTGGGATATGATGGGTAGGAGATTGCTCAATTTGCAACGTCCTCCTCAGACTCTAGAAGCACTTCGAGAGGAGTTGGTGGTTGCCTGGAATGAGATACCACACGAGGACATTGACCACCTGATCAGAAGCATGCCTAGGCGCGTTGGAGAATGCGTAGCACATCGGGGTGTATCCACACATTATTAAAGATCAAAGGACTTTAAAACAGTGCAATCATTTTGAAATTTTTATCATTTACTTATTATGCTTCATTAAGTACTTATACAAAATTTTATTAAAATAAAACCATTTAAACTGGGTGTTCGGATTCATATGTCACTTAATATATGTAAGTTTGTATGTATGTATGTACATTAGTATGTGTAGGACAAATGTTGGAACTGAATTTTGAATCAGTTCGCCTTAACCAGTTGAGCTGTAATTTTGTACACACGTTTGGTTGGTGTTACAATACAAAACTAATTAACTGCCGCCATTCTGAATCCAATATGGTGGATGCTACAAAATTGCGATTCATCGTTTCCACAGTAATCCCTATGTTGGGGGGAAACACATTAAGCAAAGACATTCAAAGCCCATTATGCCTTCAACCAGAAAATGACGATATCGGTATCGAATAAAAGGGCTTGATCAGAGAAAACACGCACTTGAGATGAAGGAACTTCATTATCGTTTAAATATAAGCAATCAAAAAAATGTTTTTATATCTTAAGTTCATCTTATGAACAGCTACATAGAAGCTTGATTTGAACATGTATTTTTTCATTTTATTTTTTTTAATACTTGACCTTTTGAGAATGGTATTTATGGGAAAACGATAGGAAATTTTAGAAAATATCGACACGTAGGTGGTAGACAATCTTGGACTGCTCAGCGTGGAGAATGTGTGCATGTCACATGCATACGTGTTCCCTCTTTGGAGCTCATGTGTCTCCCCTTTTTACCTGTATCACCCTACAGCCCCACGGTAACTCTGTGTATTTAGGCTTCGGACCTTAATGGTGGCAGTTGTATCAATAGAAACATTCATTTTACTGGATCTGTGGTTCTAAGGTGGGTCGACCATGGAACGCCATTGCTACAAATAAGCAGCTATTTTTATTAAGCTCTTTTGAATGGCATTGCTTCGTACAAGGCAAATATAATATATCGTTCGCTTAAGTTCAAATTAACGTTAATACATCAAATTGAAACATTGAATACTCACAATAATATATTCTCATGACAAATAGTCAACGAACACCACCTGAAGACTATATTGAAACAAAGAATGTATTCGCAAATATTTTGATGAGTTTTATATCGATGTAAAGTGAAAGAAGAAGACAATAACCTTTATCTGGAATATAAAAAACCGACCAAACAGACCTTTCTATGATTTCGATTTTCCAAATAAAGCCCTTGTGTCCTGGCAAGGCCAACTGTCAATTTTTTGATCGAATTTATAAGGAATCATTGGCTTGCCTAACAACATTATCGATATTTTGATTAAAAGAGCAAATTCTTATATATCAATTCTGGTTAAACAAATTGAATAAAGTAATTATGTATTGACTTAAAAACTCACGTTTTTTACTGCGAGCTATGATTACAATTTTATTCATTGGCAAAACCGAAGTGAGCGGTTTGATGCCACATCTCAGTTCTTGAGTTCGTTGGGTGTCAGTGTAAGTAGAAGGAATTTGTCATCGCATGGCAATAACTACTTTTTGACACTTCGTCTTTTAAGGAGTATGCCTTCCATAGTCCACCCACCTTAAATGATTCAGGTTAACTTCAATAAGCAAGCTACATTAATTATTCTAGGTATATTACGCATCGTTGAACTTTAGAGATGTTATGTTGGCTTCAGGCAAACTGAACGTGGACATTGTCAAGAGCAGGTTGGAACAAGAATGCGTTCTGGGTATGGAATTTACTGGAATCAACCACAGGTATGAATCTAGAAAGCTTCTTTGTAAGGTTTTGCTGTTGGGCAGAATTCTTCAAAACTCGCACACGTACGAGGGTGAATTAAATATGAACCGGACTTCTGTTTTAGTAATTTTATTGGTAGAGTAAATACAAAATTTTTTACATTTTATTTTTCTCCATAATATACTCTCTTGAGGCATGTTTCCCATCGGATCGAAACTTTTTCAATTCCCCATCAAAGAATCGTGTCAGTAGCCAATTATTGTGCACGAACGTTTCCACACCTTCGTCTTCGTCAAAGTGGTGACCTCCCAGGCCTTCTTTAAGTGGGGCCGAACATGTGGTAGTCACATGACGACAAATTGGGACTGTAAGGCGGGTGTTTAACTATATCCCAATTAATTTTGTGTAATTCTTCTTAGGTCAATGCACCTGTGTGTGGCCGAGAGTTGTCATGGAGCAGAATGGCACTCCGAGCAGTCATGGCTCGCCTTTTTCGCCGATAGGCCAGTTCCACTTCTTAAATCAATTGGCAGTAGTAACCAGCATTAACTGCATGGCCGTCGTGAAGAAAATCAAGTAGCATTACACCTCTGGAATCGCAAAATACCGTTGCAAGAACTTTTCCTGCAGAAATACTGGTCTTGGCTTTTCACGGTACTGCCTCCCCAGGTTTTCGCCATTCCATGGAATTTTTGTTTGCCGAACTATGCTGTTATTCAATGCAACATTTTGGAAGGTTTTATGCCCTTCCGCAACAAAAAATTAAGATAATGCGTTGCACAACAGACGTCTGCAACTCTTGCTCAGACATGATGCTACTAACCGCTCATCGACCTCGCCACGCCAAATCGACTGACTCCGCTTTTCCTGACATTCCCAACAGAGACCAAGACGTCCTCCACTCCATTCGCCTATGGCGCTTAAAACAGAAAAGTCCGATTCATATTTGATTCACCCTCGTATTTGAGATTTCTTCTTCTCCTTATGAATAAAAGTGACACAATCGTTGATTTACATATTTTCTAGCATATTTGTGAGTTGATTAATGAAATTTCAGGGGAGACCGAGTGATGGGCCTCGCGACAGCTGGTGCCATTAGTACAATGGTCTTAGGTGACACATATTTATCCTGGAGAGTTCCCAATCATTTGAGCTTAGAAGATGCTGCTACCATTCCGACAGTTTATGGTACACTTGCCTACGGTTTACTTCATGTATGTTTCTCTGCTACTAATAATATAATCCAAACCAAGCGGATAGTTTGTCTGCGCTGGCCGATAAGGGGAATGCAAAATGTGAATGCTTCATTTTGTTAATGGGAATTAGCTGTGAATAGACCAAATATAGTCGCATACTGCCAACTTTTACTGTGCCCATTCTTTACAGGGTATCTTTTTAGTGGTCACTTTATATGATTTGTTGATTTGGGACAGAACTCAGATTTTGCATACTCGGTCGTCTGCACATAGGTCATTCTTATTTTTCGGTGACAAGAAAAAAATGGAGTGATTTGAAATTAGGGAATTATTAAACGTCCAATAAAGCTGATCACTAATAATTTCTGGTTGTGCTTGACAAAAATAATTCATAATAAAGTTAGTGCCTGTCACTATTACAGGACGCTTAAAACCATGACACAGTCATTTTCTTCTTTTTGTGTGAATAACCTTACCTTTTATGGTAGTTTTTGCAGATAAAAGAAATTATATACGGAAAGTAGTTCCTTTGCCGTTTTCTCGCTCTTATTTTGTACTGTTCGCTGATTGCTGAAGTTTAATTTGTGAAAATCATGGACCCTTTGACCATAGAACTCAAACCAAAAAGACTGATTTTTATTAGAATTCAATCAGTTTTGGTGCACTTTTAAACAAAGTTTATTTCATCCCAACATTTTTAGGATAAAAATTTTGTCATCCATGCACGGAAATGCACCAAATACTAATACACCATCCAATAACTCTAATTTTAAACCAATTTTCAGTTTCTCCTTGTCATTATTAGTGTAAGGTCAGTATTAATAGTGAAGGGCAGTATTTCAATAACTGACATTATGTCGTTATTTTGGCGTTATATAGTTTCTTTGTGACATTGTGTAGGTTTCCCTCAAGATGTTAACTTAGAACTGTTGTTCAGTTGATGTGCACTCGTTCTGTAGCTTTACGTGTTGCCTAAAAGTCATGACGCTATGTATCGCAATGTATAACTTTGAAGGAAAGACAACACAAATAACTCGTCCGGTACAGCTAATAGATTTACTTCACACTGATTTTATATACATGCAGATGAATACATATACTCATCCAGATGCGATCTTGCTACTGTGCTACTCAAACAATTTTATTTGTCACATCTTCTCAGAGATATACTCTACAGACTATCTCGGCATTCTGCAACCTACAAAGCATGTAAAAGCGGAATGAACTATTTGCACACTAGGGACTAACCACTCAACAAGTACGACATTTTACGTAATCTCCCATACTGTCATTCCTATTATTTGGAAAATATATTAAACATTTGAAGTATATCAGTAAACATGAATTCTTACTACCAATATTAAGTCCACGGTGACATGGCATGCTCAATCAAATCTAATAAATTCAAAAATTAACCGGGCTTACAAAAAAACTATACTCACTATCTCCGTAAGCTGTTTGACATAAGATAGTGTTGCTTGACTTGAAACAAAAGCTGCCAATTGAGAAATGAGCCATGATACCGATAGAAAAAAGGTTCACATCTTTTACAGCATCGAAATACCGCATAAATAAGGATTTCTTTAATAACTTTTAGCACAGAAAATAAGTTAATACACAATGACACAAATCTCACAAGCCACAACAAGTCTTTATATACTAAGTGACACATAAATCCGAACACCCAGTTTAAATGGTTTTATTTTAATAAAATTTTGTATAAGTACTTAATGAAGCATAATAAGTAAATGATAAAAATTTCAAAATGATTGCACTGCTTTAAAGCCCTTTGACCTTTAATAATGTGTGGATGCACCCCGATGTGCTACGCATTCTCCAACGCGCCTAGGCATGCTTGTGATCACGTGGTCAATGTCCTCGTGTGGTATCTCATTCCAGGCAACCACCAACTCCTTTCGAAGTGCTTCTAGAGTCTGAGGAGGACGTAGCAAAATGAGCAATCTCTTACCCATCATATCCCACACGTGTTTAACTGGGGATAAGTCGGGAGATCTTGGTGGCCATGGTAACAATGTGACATCATTATGTTGAAAGAAGTCTATTGTGAGTCTTGCAATATGTGGTCGGGCATTATCTTGTTGGAAAGTTGGATCTGCTAGGGTGTCAAGATAGGGTAAAAGATGGGGTTCTAGAACTTCGTGGATATAACGCTGCGCGTTCATGTTACCTCTGATGAAGATTAAAGGTGACCTGGAACCATAAGCTATAGCACCCCAAACCATAACTCCAACAGTGTGATGAACATGTCTTTCAACAAAAAACTGTGGATTCCTCCTTTCACCACGTCGCCTTCTAACCCTGGCACGACCATCGTGCATGCCTAAACAAAATCGAGACTCGTCACTAAAGACATTCCTGATCCCAGAGTGACCGTTGTCTGCACCACTCAAGGCGATTACGTCGGTGTTCTCGAGTTAAAGGTAGGACCCAGTGTGGCCGGTATGAAAACAAGCCAAAACTTCTCATTCGTCGGTAAACACTTCGCATGCCAATAGGTCTTCCGTGTTCTGCAAACCATTCATTTGCAATGGATCTGGTAGTGGAGAAACGGTCCCTTAAGGCCAATAATCTTAGGCGGCGATCTTCACGGTCTGTTGTTCCACGGCGGCGTCCAGTGTCTTACGTACGGCCTTCTCGAAGCCATGCCTGACAACACCTAACCACAGTGTCTACACTTCTTTGCACTCTAACTGCAATTGCCCGAAAAGAAAGTCCAGCTTCCCGAAGTATATATATACGGCCCCTATCAAACTCACTAAGTTGACGAAATCGTACAGGTCTCCGTACTCTAGGCATCGTAACCGATCGTAAAGGATGTCAAGAACCAAAATCCGCCAACTTTGATTCTTTACTGCGGCTGAAATATTCATTTTTAAAGCGTTAGTGAATTAAGAACAAGCAGTATAAAAACCGGAAAGTCCAACTGATAAGGCTGAAAATTTTTTCACTTGTTATTTACAGTAAGATAAATACATTCACCAACTTTTATTAAAATAAATCCATTTAAACTGGGTGTTCGGATTTATATGTCACCTAGTATATTTCATTTAGTTTATACTTTAACTAAGTTATATGTCCATTATATATATTTATATTACATTTTTTATGAATTGAGTGAAATTTTTTCAATTGCTTAAGAAACTTTAGCATTAAATTACAAATTGGGATTCTGCCTGAAACAATTTCTTCGCTGAAGATAAGAATGATCACCTTTAACTTACCCTGTGGTTGTTATGTTGACATGGCATGGTTTTCTCGCCAAATGAAACGACATACTCGTATGTATGAATAATAATGTTTACTGACGTTGGGGCCATTATGCTGGCATTTTGTAAAAAACAGTAATTTGTTTCTTTCATTTGTTCGCTGCTATACGGCGTGTTGCGACAAGATGCTGAATGGTCATGCATCATTTCGAGATTACAATTTTAAGTCAGCACGGCGCAAAAACAAGCAAAGCAGCAGACGGTCTAGAGTAGGTATTCCCACTCCCAATAAACGTCCATCCCCTCTAAACTGACAAACGATCAAGATGTTATCTGTTGTGTTTGATATATCAGACACGACACCCTCGCTCAACGTTCCAGGAACACCAAACGTCCTTCGACAGTATAAAAACTCACCCATTACTGTTGTCACAACATACCGATAAATTGTTATGCATCTTGCATTGTCCATGGATCCAATGTTGCTTCTCTTGCGAGGAACTGATATAAGACACTACAGTTTGGACTTGATATAGCGAAGCAAAACGTACGCGTGATTGAGATCCTTTAACAAACCATAAGAAAAAACCTGGAGCTAAAAAAGTATAGTCTACCGTTCGGTTTGGAGAATATCAGTTAGATCTTTCCTTTAAAGATACTCAATCAAATCGGTCCACAATATACAGAGTGACTAGAAACTCAATATTTTGTTTAATGTTATATATGTTGATTCCTTTACCTTAGTTTTTTAATTGTTACCCTATTTCTGCTGTATTGGCACTTCCCCCTATTTTACCATATTCCCTGTTTCCAAGAGATATTCGCAGAGTGCTGATTTTGGAGTTTCTCTGTTATACTATGTTGCCTTTATGTATTTTAATCTTCCATTTAACAAATCTTGATGTTTCACTAAAGTAGCATTTGCCGTTCTCACAGTCTATTTTATATATTGAACTCTTGGTGTTCACATTTTTTTCATCTGTAGGTTTTGTGTGACATGCGTAAGTTGCTTTGAAAACAGTTCTAATATTAATTTGTCTCATACGCCTCTGAATCCTTAAGATAAACCTCTTACGTACAGTGTACAGAGTGAACTGGTTGTGGTTTCATTTGGCCAGACAATTATGGAGTATTATAAGAATGACGCATCTATTTCTTTTTAAATAGCGTACAAAGATAATGTTAATCTTGATTATTGCTATTGATTTTAGAAAGGAAAAATGAAACGAGGAGATTCAATTTTAATACATTCTGGTACTGGAGGTATTGGTTTGGCAGCCATAAGGATGGCTGTGCATTATGGCGTTACCATCTATGTAACTGTTGGTACCAAGGAGAAGAAGGAATACCTCTTGAAAACATTCCCACAGATCAAAGGTATATTTGGCAAGTCAATTCGAGCCGCTTTGTTTATATTTTGATATATTTACAGCGAGCAACATCGGCAACTCCAGAGATCTATCCTTTGAACAAATGGTAATGACGCAAACAAATGGCAGAGGCGTAGACATAGTTCTCAACTCATTGGCTGAAGAGAAACTATTAGCATCCGCACGATGTCTTGCTACGGGTGGAAGATTCGTTGAAATTGGCAAGTTCGATTTAACAAGGAATAGCGAATTGAGTTTGATGTTGTTACAAAAGGAGGCATCATTCATTGGTAAGAAGGCACTAGCACTTTTCGAAACATTTTTCTATGAAATACTTATCTCAGGTTGGTCTGTTTTTGTTCGTCAGCCAGATAGATTGTGCTCCAATCAGGACACGGTAGGTTTGGACGGGCGAAAGTAGTATCCACTTATGAGGCATTTTTAGTAATTTGAAGTTGAATATTTTATGAATGATTGCAGGTGTAGCGCTAGATATGTTATTATTCAGTTCACCTTCAGAGAAAAAAGTAGTCGGTCGATACATGAATCAACTTCTTGATGAAAGAGTGATCCAACCCTTCGCCAGGACCGTATTCAAGATGACAGAAGCAGAGCAAGCGTTTAGATACATGATGACTGGAAAACATATTGGAAAAGTGATTTTACAAATACGAGAACCTCAAATGAGCATTCAAGAAAAAAATAAGTTCACAGCGTTAAAAAGGTATTTAAGTATGATCCACTTTTATATTTGATAGCCATTAGAAAAATACCCTATTTCTTCCAGATATAACTGCTATGGCGACAAATGTTACGTAATACTCGGAGGCTTAGGAGGATTTGGCCTAGAACTGGCTGATTGGATGGTTGTAAGAGGCTGCAGAAAACTTGTATTAACTTCCAGGAAAGGCGTTACTACAGGATATCAGGCAAATAGGATAAAGTAAGTCTTTGGTTCCTACTTACTTCTTGTTTACCTGGTATTTCATAGCTTCCTAGCTTACGTTTATACATGATGAATCACAAGTCGTGACCAAAAATGAAACATCACCACATTTTAAGAGGTTCTTCTATGTAAAAAGATTGAAGTTTAAAAATGAAAAACAATTCTTTTTATATCTTCAAAACCGTCAACTGAAATGAACTAAAATTTGGGATGCGGATTTAACTTATTATTGTCTATATTTAAAATTTTACTTTACTATTGAAGTGCACCATTGGCGGAGATACAGGGGATTAGTGGCATTATTTTTCCAAATGAAAATAGCACGCCACTGTTTTTTTTTCAAATGTGCAATTTTTTTAATTTTATCTTCAATTTGCTACAAATAATTATTCTTGTGTTTGTTCCTAGAGCTGTTTTGGTAAAATAAAAATAAAGCAAATCATATCATTCATGAAGAGCCGAGATACAATTAGTTTCAAAATACAATATAGTAGGCCTTGATATCAACTTGACTATTCTTGGGAGATAGTTTGTCAAAGCTTTGTGTTATACCGTTGTTATCGTTGCTACTACCATTTTTTTTTTGTTTTTTGTAAAATTCAACTCAGAAGTTTTTTTTTCATTTTTGAGAGTTGTAAAATGGAATTTAGCAATGATGAGTACGCCGATATTATTTTTGCGTACGGGTTCTGTAATGGAAATGCTTTAGCGGCTTCTTGGGAGTATCAATCTTTATATATGTGATTTTCATGAAACCGCCAGCAACTCAATCGTTCATCATTACGCCGATGATACCCAACTTTATAACTGCTTCGATCCTGATGAATATATGCTTGGCCAACATCAAATAAATCAAGACCTGCAGTCTATTTTTGACATATCTAGTGCTCACAATCTAAAACTAAATCCTGGCAAATCATGCTGCATTTTATTTGGGCCCAAAAAGAATCGTGAAATAAATCAATATCGCATTAATATTATGGTGAATAATGAAGACATATCCTTCGTAAACGAATGCAAAAACCTTGGTATCTGGTTTGACTGCAAGCTACGCTTCACTAAACATGTTAACCAACTATGCAATGCGTCCTATAATGTGCTTCGTCAGTTATATCCGAGTCGAAGTGTCCTGTCGACACAGCTCAAGCTTAAACTCTGCGAGTCCCTTATCCTGTCAAAATTATCTTACGGTGACTCTGTTTATGGACCTGCTCTTTTACAACGTGATGCCGAGCGGATTCAGATGATACAAAACTCATGCATCAGATTTTCTTATGGAATCCGTAAATTTGATCATATTAGTAGAGCTTTTGACCAATCGGGATGGTTTAAGATGAACAAATTGAGGAAACTGCATTGCCTATCTCTGGTACATAAGACCCTTATCCTTAAAGCGCCATATTATCTTTATACAAAACTAAGCCTCCTCTGCCAGTACGATCAAAGATCCTCTAGGAATAAACTCATCTTACTTATCCCGCGGCATTCGACAGCATTGTTCACACGCAGTTTCTCGTACTGGGCACCCAAACTATATAACTGCTTATCAAGTGAGTATAAAGAATATAGCCTAAGCAATTTTAAAAAAAGGTTAAAGATGAGTTTAAAGCAGTCGGATGGCTAAAATTTTACTTTATGCATATCCACAGGTAATTGATTGTTTCCTTCCTCTGATAAGTGTTATATTCTAAGTTTTTTTTTCTCTCTCTCTATAGTTTGTGTCAATGTTTTCCAGGTCGGGTTGAAAAACAGCATAAGCTGACACTCCACCTTTTCGTCACTGTTCCTTTTAAACCAATTATTTTGTAAACGTGTGACGAATAAAGGCCATTTATTATTATTATTATTATTATTATTATTATTATCAATTTCTAACAGACGCCAACCTACCCCAAAGGTTTTTACGCGTTTATTTCTAAGACTTCCCGGAGTTAGAGGCCATGGTGTCCGGCATACTGTTCAAGAGGAGCTGGAAGTGATTAATTTGGCGTTGGATGATCCTATGACAAGTACTAGGCACATTGCAGCCCAGTTACCATGTTCGCAAACTTTTGCGTGGAGAATTTTAAATCCCTACCATCGGCAAAATGTGCAATGTCGGAAACTCGGCGACGAAGTGCTGCGTTGAAATTTTTGTGAGTGGTTGCTGCAAATGCATAATTAAAATGCAGATTTCATCGATGGTTTTGTGATCAGATGAATTACTTTAATCCTCATAATGAACATATTTGATCGTTAAAACATTCTCGCTCTGTAAGAATCCACTCGTTTCAACACAGATTTTCAAGAAATGCCTGGTGCGACATTTTTAATGGCCAACGTTTGAATGCAAACTCAGACTTAGCTTCTCTAGAGAATTACATAGAAAATGTGTAAGATGATGTTCCGTTAGCAACGAGAGTACGAATGTGGTATCAGCACAACAGTGCCCCACCGCATTTTAGACAACGATGGATTGGCAGAAACGTACATTGACCTGCGAGGTCTCCTGATTTGAACCCTCTGGATTTCTTTTTGTGGGACGCTTTTAAACAACTAGTGTATACAGAACAAATTAATACTGTTGATCAGTTGCAAGAAAGAATAGATAATGCGTTCCATCAAATTCAAGTCACAACAAATTTTGTGGAAATACGTTTTTCTTTATTAATAAGATGCCGTACTTGTATCCGTCAGAATGGTGTTCTGTAGGGAAAAAGCACAACATTAATTAATCGAAGCAAATTGAATGTGAAATTCGAAAAAAATGAGCGTTTAAAAAAAGGCAGTGGTGCACCATTTTTACATACAGGAAATATATTGAATAATACCAGCTCACAGAGTGCAACAAAAAAACGAAGGCTCTTAAAAAATCGGCCACATTGGTCTTGGTTGGATTTCGGTAACTGATACTATGACACATTCTTGCAATAGTATGAAAACGTATATGAAGCTATGAGAACATACCAGAAATAAGTTTGTATAATTTAAAATAAAATATAATTAATGTGAAGCCGCACTTTTTGTAAATCATACAACTTCATTATGATTCGTCCGCCCCAGGGAAAATTTGCTTCCTCCCACCGTAAAAAGAAATAAGAGGCTCATATTTTGTACTGGCCCTCCAGAAAAAATTCCTGCGAACGCCCATGGTATTTGGTTGACACCAAGATCAAAGGTACCGACAGTCACTATCGCATCAGTATGCATGGCATAGGTGATCAACTACTAGATACAATGCGACAATAGTCATAATTACAGATTTAGTTAGCAACCTTGTAGCTTTTAACTGCAATTTATTTTTTTCAGAACTTGGAAATCCTATGGTGTCGAAGTACATGTTTCGACATCAAACGTAACAACAAGAGAGGGCTGTGTACAACTTATAAAAGAGGCACAGAAATTAGGACCAATCGAAGCAATTTATAACCTTGCCGTGATTCTACAGGATGCGATTTTTGAAAATCAGACAGTTGAACAATTCACTACATCATTTGGACCTAAAGCTAGAGCTACTAGATATTTGGATGAAATTACTAGAAAAATGTGCCCAGATTTGAAGTAAGTACATAACGTGGTTCACAAAAGGCAAATAATACCAAATAATGGGATATCGATAGGATGCGTTGTTCAATTTGGGAAGACATGAAAACAGTTCATGTAATTTAAAAACGTAGTCAAATTATTTTGGGTAATTAAAAAAAGCTAAGGTACCCAAAACTTTGCAAAACATAATGGGGCATTTCACGTGAAGCAAGCAATAAAATACGTGAGATTTTAAAATATTTGGCCTACATATATGTACATACGAAAGAGAAAACAATATTTTACTCGTGTAATGTATTTATATTTGTTGAAAGTTACGGGCTTCTGAGGGGTAGGCATAATTGAAATTGAGACGTCTTCGAAGTTGAATTGGAGAATATCGACTATTATTATTAAGCATTAACAAAGCGTTTAAAATGGTAAATTGTCTATACGAATTGATAAAAAATCAAATTTGCCATTGAAAATAAATTTGCAAAGCCATAAGTAAACAATTCATACCAAAACGAGGTTACTTCGTCCATTTCTATTTTCAACGTTTTCTTTCAAGATATAGTCAAAGTGTGTTCAAAATACACAAAGAGTTTTAAGATATGATGCTCATAAATTAAGACGATCATATTAACTCGCACTGAGTATGATGTTAGGCGTTCATTTAGGCCGAATGGTTTGCGAGACATCAAACATATCAAAAATGGTTTTTTCTCTTTCAGACCTACTAGGTGTTCAAATAAACCCAATCTAGATTAATTTTGAATCCTTACTGTTCACGTTTTGTATCTGTTTTATTTAATTAGCCCTTACGGAGATTCCGTAATCGAAAACGAATTCGGCTGCCATTGCACGACGAAACTGTTCATGTAACAGCGAGCAGTGGTCGCAGTTTTCGTTGTCCACATCACGTGAAATGCTCCAAATGCACCCTAAAACGACGTTTTGGATCCCTTTGACTTTGACAATGGGTCATGGGACAGCCAAAATGTCTTGATTTTCAGATGTTACTTAACTGCATTTTCGTACTTTTCAGAGACTTTGTTGTATTCTCCTCAGTATCGTGTGGCCGAGGTAATGCAGGGCAAACTAACTATGGTATGGCCAATTCAATAATGGAAAGAATATGCGAAAAACGTAGGAAGGATGGATATCCAGCATTAGCTATTGAATGGGGAGCTATAGGAGAGGTAAGTGAAAACGATCATCGACCATCATGTTTTACTTTCCAAATGTGAAATTTTCACTTCAACCGAAAGTAAATCTTCTGGCTCAAGCCGAATCCGAATGTTTCGTTAATCAAAAATGTGGTAATCCCCCATGTTTTTCAGGCCCAACCAAACCATATATATGTTTAAGATTCCTCTGTATTGTTCAACGTTTCGGTCCTTACGGTGACCTTTTTCAAGTACAATTGACACTTTTGAGAATATATTTCGTTTATCTGTGTTCCAGGTGATACACAAATTAATTGTTACCTGGAACAGAGATAAACAAACTGTGTTGTCGAACGTGTCAATTGTACTTAGGATCAAAACGTCGTAGAGTACGAACAAGGAATAACATACAGGGTGATTCACAAGTCATGACCAAAAATAAGACATCATACACAGGACCGCATTTTAAGGGGAGTCTTCTATGTAACATTTTTTCCGAGGGCTTCATTAACAAGATGTGTTGAAGTTTAAAAATATAAAACAACTTTTTTTAATATCTTCAAAACCGTCATCTGGAATGAACTAAAATTTAGTATGTGGATATACCCATGTATTGCCAACATTTAAAAGTCCTTAGTTAGAATTAACGTGCACCAGTGGCGGAGATACAGGGGATTAGTGGCATTATTTGTCCAAATAAAAGTAGAACGCCACTGTTTTTTTTCGAAACGCGCAATTTTTAGAATTTTACCTACAATTTGCTACAAATCATTACTGTTGTGTGTTTTCCTAGAGTGCACTGTTTTCGTAAAGATAAAAATAAAACAAATTATAGTAGATCATTCATGAAGAACCGAGATACAATGATTAGTTTCAAAATACAATAGGAGGCCTTGGTACCCACTTGACCTTTCTTGGTAGATAGTTTGTAAAAGTTATGTGTTATACGGTTGTTATCGTTACTACTACCATTTTTTTTTAAGTCAAGTCAAAAGTTTCCTTTTTATATTTTTGAGTCTTGTGAAATGGAATTTAACAATGATCAGTACGCTGATATTATTTTTGTGTACGGGTTCTGTAATGGAAATGCTTTAGCTGCTTCTCGGGAGTATCATCGTAGATTTCTTAACAGACGCCAACCTACCCTAATTACTAATTCGTTTTTTTCATTATTACGAAAAGATCTCTCGGAAAAAAACACAAGAATAATTATTTGTAGCAAATTGAAGGTAAGATTCCAAAAATGGCGCGTTTCCAGAAAAAAAACAGTACTATGTTATTTTTATTTGGAAAAATAATACCACTAATCCCCTGTATCTCCGCCACTGGTGCACGTTAATTTTAAGTAAATACCTCAATGTGGACATTAATTAGGTAAATCCACATAACAAATTTTAGTACATTCCAGTTGACAGTTTTGAAGATATTAAAAAAATTGTTTTTTATTTTTAAACTTCAACACTCCGTATCTTTTTAATGAAGCTCTCAAGGAAAAATGTTACATAGAAGATCCCCTTAAAATGCGGTCCTATGTATGATGTGTCATTTTTAGTCACGAATTGTTACCTAATCATCCTGTATATATATATATATGTATATAAGTGACATATAAATCCGAACACCCAGTTTAAACGGTTTTATTTTAATAAAAGTTGGTGAATGTATTTATCTTACTGTAAATAACAAGTTAAAAAAATGTTCAGCCTTATCAGTTGGACATTCAGGTTTTTATACTGCTTTTTTTTAATTCACAAACGCTCTAAAAATGAATACTTCAGCCGCAGTAAAGAATCAACGTTGGCGGATTTTGGTTCTTGACATCCTTTACGATCGGTTACGATGCTTAGAGTACGGAGACCTGTACGATTTCGTCAACTTAGTGAGTTTGATAGGGGCCGTATAGTGGGACTTCGGGAAGCTGGACTTTCTTTTCGGGCAATTGCAGTTAGAGTGCAAAGAAGTGTAGACACTGTGGTTATGTGTTGTCAGGCATGGCTTGGAGAAGGCCGTTCGCAAAGAGCAAGGGGCACTGGACGCCGCCGTAGAACAACAGACCGTGAAGATCGCCGCCTAAGATTATTGGCCTTAAGGGACCGTTTCTCCACTACCAGGTCCATTGCAAATGAATGGTTTGTAGAACACGGAAGACCTATTGGCATGCGAAGTGTTTACCGACGAATGATAAGTTTTGGCTTGTTTTCATACCGGCCACACTGGGTCCTCCCTTTAACTCGAGAACACCGACGTAATCGCCTTGAGTGGTGCAGACAACGGTCACTCTGGGATCAGGAATGGAACAGTATTGTCTTTAGTGACGAGTCTCGATTTTGTTTAGGCATGCATGATGGTCGTGCCAGGGGTAGAAGGCGACGTGGTGAAAGGAGGAATCCACAGTTTTTTGTTGAAAGACATGTTCATCACACTGTTGGAGTTATGGTTTGGGGTGCTATAGCTTATGGTTCCAGGTCACCTTTAATCTTCATCAGAGGTAACATGAACGCGCAGCGTTATATCCACGAAGTTCTAGAACCCCATCTTTTACCCTATCTTGACACCCTGGCAGATCCAACTTTCCAACAAGATAATGCCCGACCACATGTTGCAAGAGTCACAATAGACTTCTTTCAACATAATGATGTCACATTGATACCATGGCCACCAAGATCTCTCGAATTATCCCCAATTGAGCACGTGTGGGATATGATGGGTAGGAGATTGCTCAATTTGCAACGTCCTCCTCAGACTCTAGAAGCACTTCGAGAGGAGTTGGTGGTTGCCTGGAATGAGATACCACAGGAGGACATTGACCACCTGATCAGAAGCATGCCTAGGCGCGTTGGAGAATGCGTAGCACATCAGGGTGCATCCACACATTATTAAAGGTCAAAGGGCTTCAAAGCAGTGCAATCATTTTGAAATTTTTATCATTTACTTATTATGCTTCATTAAATACTTATACAAAATTTTATTAAAATAAAACCATTTGAACTGGGTGTTCGGATTTATATGTCACTTAGTATATTTATATGGTTTGATTACGCCATATAAACATGGGGATTATCAGTATTCTGAAACAGTCTAAAATAACAAATATTTGGGGCCTTGATCATACTTATTATAAACTGTAACATCGGTTTAAATCCAATATTTAAAATCGAAACTTGTTGAAATACGACAAAACGTGATAACTGGATGATTATGAATACCAAACTGCCAAATCTGTTTCATTCACATTGAACTAATGTAAAATTGTTGATAATTTATATGCGTTGACTGGAAAATAATAGAATTCGAAGTACTTTGGGAAATATGCCGGCATTTTCGTACGCTTCTGGAAACAGAAAGAATGCAATTCTTATTGACTTGTGATTAATTAAGAAATTTACAATCAAAAAACATTAATCCAAATCGAAATTTAAACACAGCTACGCATTCTCAAATCTATTTATTAAACACCCGATTTAGAGAAATATTTTCAAAATTACATAATTCTATATACAATACGTAGATAGTAGATTAAAATTTGAAGGGCACTATGAATATATTGTTTCATAAATATCCAAAAAGGTAAATTACTTTAATAGTGTTTCCCATGGCCTAAGTTTTTATTCCAAAATAAAAGTGTTGAACACTATCATTCTTCCTCATTTTTTATATTGTTGGACTATTTTGTTCACTGCAAACGAAATTCTACTTTCAAAATTAAAAATATTACACAATAAAGCTAACAGAATCATCTTAAATGAAAATAAATATACTAGAACAAATTTCATCCTGAAAAAGCTATAATGGCTAAATATCAAAAATTTCATAACCTCCTTAGTAGCGCTGGTAGCTGGTGTCATCTGACGTCATCACTCACGCTCCAACAATATAGATCTGCAAAAAGGAGAGTTCTGGTTAGCGTAACTTTTTCATTCATCAAGATATTTAAAAGGAATTTTCAGTGCTGAATTTCACTTTCCTTTGACTACTATTTTAAGTGAGTCTATCAACGCATACGCATTTTTGAAATAGATTGCCTCATTTTTTATGTCTTTCTAGGTAGGACTAGTGGCAGAAATGCAGACAGAGCAGCACGAAATAGAGATAGGAGGTACCTTGCAACAGAGGATATCCAGCTGCATGGACGTCCTAAATATATTCCTACGTCAGGATGAAGCCCCAATTGTTTCTAGTACAGTTGTAGCGGAAAAAAGAGGAGTGGGAGACGCTGCTAGTGCTGTAGATGTAGTATTATTCATTTTAGGTGTGTATATTTTGACCAAATATCATTAGGTAAAGTTTTTTGTGCCCAGTTTCAATCGGTGACGAACAAAAAATAAATCACGTCTCTATTGAGTAATGCTTATTACTAGTTTTGCCAATTTAACATTTTTATGATTTGACCTATTGACCATAGGCTATCTCGTACTTTCTAAGCTGTTTCAAGTTTTTCATTTAGTTCCAAAAAGCTCGCGTGAAGGTGATAACTTATAACTTCGCGTCAAAAACAAAAACCAAGTTTGGCCATGAAGCGAGATGCATTTCATCGTATTGTTTGAATAGCTGTCAGGGATGCGAATATCTCAAAATATTTTTAAATTCGTGAAGGCGGTCTAAAGGAATTCTACAAAAATAAGCACAAGTAGGTATATTAAAAAGCATGGTTCAGGAACTAGAATTTGCGTTTCAGGCGCTTTTTGTTAGTCTTTATTCTGTGTGATATCTGAAAGGGCGTTAAGTGTCACTCATTTTTTAGTGGACTCCATTGTATTGGAGAAAATTAAATACAGTTACTTTGCTGCTCACTTACATTTTGATACTTTACTCTTCCAACTTTTACACTTGATATTTTTTCATACTGAAGCAGACGCGTAGGCGTAAACGTAAATACCGGGCCACCGCTACTACTATAACGAACTTAAAAAATTCATGTTTTGAACAGAACTCGGGAAACCCTCCTCAGGTAGGTTGTCGCATAAGTTCAACACTCTAGGAACTAGGAGCGGTCGTACCGGCCAGTTCTCGATGTGGGAAGTTCGACAGAGTTGGGATGGGAGGCAAAAACCTGGCGGATCCGCTCAACTATGAGGAGCAAAGCCTGTAGACATAATGGTAGAGGACAAAAAGATCGGAGCGAAAAGGTAAAAAAAAGTCCCCTAAATTTTTACACTACTAAAATTCTCCGCATCTTTAAGCGTTACGGGTTTTATCGAGTTTATACGAGTATTCAATGTTCAATTCTTAACAGCACGGTTTCCAGCACCAATGATCTACGGGGCACGTTCCAGCTTACGTCACGAAACTGTGGAGTAAGCTCATGCATCATATGGTGAGGCTCATGTCGTTGCTCTTGATATCACGAAAGCTTCCGGACAGCTGTGGCATGCTCCACTTTCGTACAAACTTCCATCGTGCGGCCTCCTAGAAAATCGTCGCAAGATATCAGAAGTAATTCACGGGTTCTCCTGTTCATTCCACAATGTCAACGCGGCTGTTTCCTTGGCATCAATCTTGACTCCGACATTGTTAATCTAGACGTAATTTCCTGTACCATCGATCCTATCTTCAGCTTTGCTGATGATTGTACTCTACATGCAGGAATTCAGAGTGCCAAAAAGATCTCTGCTGGTGAGCTGGAGGAAAGACCTCCTTTCTGGCGAGATACTTGCAGGTTATCACTGGGGACGCAACAACTGGTACAGTTTGATACTTCCAAAATACAGTACTGTACCTTGACTAACAAGAAGCTCCCTAGCGGTCATCCAGTTTCGATGACCGATTTTTACCAAATAACCGTTCATTTCGGCTGATCGGAGGACTTCATTTGGCATGAACATATCTTGTCAACCGCGACAGCTGGTGGGAAAAAGCAAGGCTATTTATTTATGGCTGAGATGTACTTTTCTCCAGGTAGGCTACTTATTCTGGATAAGCCCCAGCCTTGAGTATAGCTTTCATGATTGAAGTGCTGCCGTCTCGACTGCCTTATCCATGCTCGATACTGTGCAAAATAGGGCTGGCCGACTCTTTTCTAAAGGCCGGTCTCGCGACCCTTTCTCACCAAAGGGCTCTGCTTCTCAGAGCTCTTCTCAACAATGTCGCCGCGCGATGACTCTGCTAGACAGACCCGCTTAACTTCAGCCTCCCGTGTCGAACTCTGTACATCTAGAACTAGGTGATACACGTCTGCTCCTTTTTCCCTAGGCATAGGCTATCAAGATTGTGACACAAACCGCCTAAAAAGGTTTTTCCCACTAACCTTAGGCAGTTTAAAAAGTTGGATTAACCGCGGTGGATGTGGTATTTTTTGATGTTACCGTCTTGTAACTGTAACAGAGTGCCTTGAGTAGATCAGAGACTCACTGCACTAACAGTGGCGTATGAAAAGTTGTGTTACTCGTATTTTGGTAATTGTCTATGAACTATACAGCAAAAAATGTTGGATTTGCAATTTGACATATCTTTTCTCAGTAGTTTGGTATTATAATAAAAAATATCCTTTTCAAGGTGTCACCGATGCAAAATCTGTGAGTCTCCACTCAACTCTACCGGATCTGGGTATGGATTCAATGACAAGTGTGGAAATCAAGCAAACGTTAGAAAGGGAATTTGAGATATTCCTGTCACCGAAAGATATCAGAAGCATGACATTGGCAAGGTAAAAAACATTCTTTAAATGCCCAGAAAATCAGTATATTTTATTATTCGACTCTAGTGCCACTACCTGTTGTTTCCTAAGAAGGAGCAGATAGTGTTTTTGTCTGTCATCTGTTTGGATTCTTGGTCAAGTATACCACGTCAAAACCATCGTCACAATATTCGTAGTAATTATTAATACATACTTTCACTTGTAGCATTGTATTGAGCGAGATTTGTTATACGGGGTGTTTCAGTTTATTGTTGCATAACTTGAAGATTCGATAGAACTTTTAAAATTAATGCATAAAGTCTATATAAACATGGGTCGAAAAATACGTGGCTTCCGAAATACAGGGTGTTTAAATTTACTTTCTAAAATAGTTTTTTTTAAATATTTCGAACAATATTTGATGCATAACAGTGAAAATTGGTATACAAGGGTTTTTTGGTACGACAAAACGAACCATGGGCATAGCTTTACTGTAGCCGCTAGAGGGCGCTCTCAACTGTACCTGTAGTGCATTAAAATGACCGAAAATTTTTTCTTAGTGCAATTTTTTGCTTTATGAATAAAATAGCTGATTCTTCGCACTTTTTTGCATAAAAAAGCTCTCCTGTGAGTTTTCGTTATAGTTAGCCGTTTTTGAGATATTTCGATTTTTAGGGTTCGATGCATTTTTAATTACTTATGGGAAAATATTTTTTTGACATTTTCGATTTGGGCATTACAAGTAATTAAGATTATCGTTTAGATTGTGTTTTTAAACACAGGAATAATTCCTAACTCCAAATAAACACAAAAAAAACAGAATATTAATTTGTTTAATTTTCCAATATTATTTTTAACAAATTAAAGTAATTACTTACAACTAAAATGCTATTGGATAGTTAGGATAAACATACAAAATCTAAAGTAGTTGCTCGAAATGTAAACCCAATTGTTCAATACACAATTCACATCTACGAATGATCGAACGTGGTATAGCATTATTCAAATAAGGCCTTATTTCATCACATGCATTCCTGATTCTATTAGCATATCTCTTGTGGTTACGGGAGTCTGGTACACTTCTTCTTTTAGAAATCCCCACACAAAGAAATCTAATGGATTTAGGTCAGGGGATCGTGGAGGCCTGGCGACTGGTCCTCCACGGCCGATTCACCTTTCTGGATAATTTTCGTCCAGCCAGTTTCTAACTATTCTCGAATAATGAGCTGGACAACCATCAAGCTGGAACCAGGCCAATCTTCTTAAATCTAACATAACATCATCCCACATATTTGCATGTTCAGCCTTTAAAAATTCCAAGAAGGTCGCAGCATTTAACCTTGCAGGCAAAAGGTAGGGTCCAAATGGTCGATTACGGTAGATACCAATCCACACATTCACACTAAATTCATGCTGAAAATTTCTTTCCCGAACTGCATGCGGATTTTCATGCGACCAAATATGTTGATTATCAAAATTTACCACTCCACGTCTAGTGAAGCATGACTCATCGGTCCATAAAACGTTACTTAAAAACTCCCTATTATTATAAGTACTATCAAGAATCTACGGACAAAATGTGATTCTTCGTTCTCCGTGCCCTGGCTGTAGTCCTTGCACAGGTTGCAAATGGTAAGGACGTCTATGGTCATTTCTAAGAACACGGTGAACATGGCTTGCTGAAATTCCCAAGGCACCAGAAACTCTCCTAACACTTGTGGTCGGATGTCTATCAAACTCACGCAGAATCATACGGGTAAATCTGCGGTGACAAACATTTATGTTTTGATCCCTTTGGAGATTTCCAAAACCATTTTCAATTATTTGGCGATGCACTCTTACAAATACTGAGCGAGTTGGATGTCGTCTGTTTGGAAATCTTCGTGCGTATTTTCTGGCTGCTTCTGCTGCGTTTCCATTTACAAAGCCATACACAAAATGAATATCCGCTAATTCTTGATTGGAGAATAAAAATGGCATTTTTATAAAACTTACAAAAAAAACAGGTAAAAGAAACTAAATTTCGTGCATTCACAATTGCAAAAAAATGTTTCAGGTTTCAACAGACAACAAAACTAACTGTCAACTAATTGACGTTTAACCTTATTCTGCTTTCAATTTCAAAAATATTTGCAGGCACAGCCTACTTCTAAAAATTTTCTAGATACTGACTTTTTAATGTTATTTTATCATAAATAATTAAAAATGCATCGAACCTTAAAAAGCGATATATCTCAAAAACGGCTAACTATAACGAAAATTCACAAGAGAGCTTTTTTATGTTGAAAAGAGCGAAGAATCAGTTTTTTTATTCAAAAAGCAAAAAATTGCACTAAGAAAAAATTTTCGATAATTTTAATAAACTACAGGTACTGTAGAGAGGGTCCTCTAGCGGCTACAGTAAAACTATGCCCATGGTTCGTTTTGTCGTACCAAAAAGCCCTTGTATACCAATTTTCACTGTTACACATCAAATATTGTTCGAAACATTTAAAAAAATATATTTTAGAAAGTAAATTTAAACACCCTGTATTTCGGAAGCCACGCATTTTTCGACAAAGGTTTATATAGACTTTATGCATGAATTTTAAAAGTTCTATCGAATCTTAAAGTTATGCAACAATAAACTGAAACACCCTGTATATGGTGTAAACTAACAACATATACGAAGATTCGAAGTTAAGCGACCCACGGTTCAAAATAGTCACTCAGTAGCCTCGAATATATAGCGACAATGCTGTCATGGTCGTGACCTTCATTTAGACTTGGGATAAATTATCATTGTTTTAGCTCAGCACAGCTAATAAATAGAGTGTTAATAGATTTTCCAAAGAATAGGATTGAAACTAAAATCATAACAATTCACTTCATTTTTTCCCTTACGGCTAAGGAGCCACAATAGCTCGGTTAGTAGAGGATCCGAACTAAATTCGTCGTCCACCGGTGTGTCAACAAGATGAAAATGACATTTTATCAAATGAAATAAGTTTTTGAACATACTTTGATTAGAAAACCCTTTAAAAAATGGTCATAGATATATTTAATTAAGATTACATAAAATTATTTTTCAAAATTTCGCCGTTGTGCCAACTAAACAAAACAAACTCCAATGAAAAGTTTATAATGTACACAAAAAGCAGCTCCTCAGTTGCTTACCTTTTTCTGGCCCCTATTACCTGGCAGCTGTGTTTAAACAGGTAAGTCGATAATAGTAATTGCTCTCTTCCGTCGACCAATCGACTTAAAATGAATTACAAATCACGTAGTATAGGGTTGCTTGAGAAAATCTGTTCATAGATAGTGGTTGCAAGACTTAAAGTTGAAAAATCGGAGCGAGCGAAATTGTTAGACAGAGAGGCCTTGCGCGTACTATTCCCCGCTATAGACAAAGCCACAGTATCACAGCTGTGCGCAAGGGCGCCGTAAACTGTGAGAGAGTGCGCAGATTGTATACTCATAGTAAAGACAAGGATAAATGAATTAACTATACAGCAATGTTTAGGAGAAGTTAATATGATTCTTCTATTAATTGTAACAAAAAAGCTTTTAGAATACCTAACATATGTCAAAGTAGTAACGAAAAATGTTTTTAAAGAAAAAGAACAATATTCTTAAAAAACATTTACACACTTAGAAAAAACAAAAAAAAATATTAAACAATCATTACAACAAAATCCTATTGTGAAGATATGTTTTCCTTTTAAATTGTAGGAAATTTCAGGCTGATAAAACATGATATTATTCAAAAGCAAGCACAATTTGGTGCAAATAGATGTTTGTGACATAACCTCAAAATAGAGCACTGACATGGAAAAATAGAAAACTATGATAATCAAGGAGGCCATAAAGGCGCCCTATTGTAGGGACGACTGACGATACAGGCCTTAAACGACAAAAAAATACTTCCATTTACAGTTACCAGATCTTTCGACCAATTTAAATGTTATAAATTTCACAGAAAAATCAACGACGCTTATGTCGGTCATTTTAAATTTTCAACTTAAGATTTAATTACGATTAACTCTCTTAGGCCCGTATCGTCAGTCGTCCCTACAATTGTAGGGCGCGTTTATGGCCTCCTTGATTGTCATCCACCTTTCTTTTCTTCAAAAATTTCTAGATTACACTTGTCCCGTATCAGCGTCAGCGCTCTCCTATTGTGAAGATATGTTTTCTTTTTAAATTGTAGGAAATTTCAGGCTGATAAAACATGATATAACTCAAAAGCAAACACAATTTGATGCAAATAGATGTTTGTGACATAACCTCAAAATAGAGTTCTGACACGGAGAAGCCTAATGGTCATAGTTTTCTACTGGCGCTTAGATTTATATTCACTTGACTCAATATCTAGGGAATAAATAGTAAACAAAAAAATTGTATTTTGAAGGCTGACAGAAATTGAACAGGAGAAATTCGAAGGTCAATCTTCCAACACCGGATCATCCTCAGTTAGCGAACAAGAAGCAGGTTTGGAGCAGGTACTAAGGTTATTTGGAAATTTGGACGAAAACACGCAAAAAGAAATCCGGCTCGAATCCAGATTGAAAGAAGGTCAAAGTGGTCCAAAAGTATTCTTTTTACCTGGAACTGAAGGTTTCATCAAGGTGATGCGTGGCTTAGCCAGCCGTTTGGATGCTCATGTCATAGGTTTCCAGTATACCATGGATATAGAGTTCGAGACAATACAGGACCTTGCCAAAAATTTAGTACCAGTAAGTTGCAATGTAGTATCCACCTTGCTTTCTCTTGCTGTTTTCTCATTACCGAGGAGCGTAACTTTCCCTAGTACTTCTATCTTCAGCTACACTTAGGTACTGTCTTCCCCAAAGCATCCCGATCGCATCTCGACTTCAACTGGATTTTGACATCAGTTGCGTTCCTTTTGTGATGTCACCGAAAACAACTGCTAAGCAACTTGTAGCCCCATTTTGAGATTGTTATTAACTGAATATGCTATTCTTACATTACTATTACGATAACCTTTTTGTAGGACGTCGTAAAGCACTTAAGGAAGGACGACTCATTCAAGATTGTGGCTTATTCATACGGAGCACCAATAGGAGCGGAACTGTGTAACATCCTTGAATCTATGGGCTATACGGGAGTCTTAATATGCTTGGACGCAACGCCGCTCACAGTAAAGAGTTTCATATCAAGATTGATAAAAAGCACTTCAGAACACGAGCTACACATAAAGATGTGTCTATACATATTGAATTTCTTCATGCCAGCTGACATCGTCAGCAAGTTGCAGGTAGGTGAATTTCGGCTATACATACAATACACACCTATTGTCCCACTGTGATCTGTTCTTCACGAGCGTTTTGATTTATTCTTCTCCATATCAGTTTCATTATGTTTATTACGATGGTTTCAATTCTACTAATTATATGGCTATCTCGGGTTTTGCTCAGGGTTCCAGTCCAGGTCCTTTAAGGTTATCTGTTTTCATAAACGATGTATCTTAAGAACTTGTAATCATGACGATTCGAAAATCTTTTTAAATGTCAACAATCACCATGAATGCATATGTCAGTAAATTCTTGACATTTCGAGTGGTGCTTTGTCAATAGTTTGAATGTTCCCAAATATCATGTATTGTCATTCAGTAGAGATAAGAATCCAATCCGTTTTATATACAAAATTAATGGAGTCGCTCTAAACAGAAAATGCCCAGTCAAGTACCTTGTGTAGTTTGACGTAAGACCCAGCTTATACAAAAAAATGAGTGAAGCTGCAAAAATGTATGAAATTGCAGGTGGTTTACCTGTGTTGAAGCTTCAAAAGCATTTTATTTTGCGTTTGTTAGGTCTTGGTTAGACTACCGCTCATTTGTTTGGAAGCCTTATTACATAATATGTTAAAAGCAGATGATTGAGGATGCAAGATGATGATGGAGTTTATTGAAATATTTATACTTACTTGACAGATGAGGTGTCTATCCCAAGAGGAGCATCAGCTTTTATGTAGTAACTTAAACATCGATTGCTTGGATTTGAGAAGAACTAAGAATTCGTTTTCAACTTTTCACAAGTTCTTCAATGGTTTGCTCCGATTTACCATTTCAAATTGATTTTAGTGTTCACCAGCTACGCTAATCTGCTTTTTTATATTGAGGAGGAGAAATTCCAACAAAAAAATTTCAACGTTGAATATAATAACAGTGACATACATGCTGGTGCTTTAAACTTCATTCTATATTCTCTCACTGAGGCTTATTGTTATATGCCATGATTTCTGTATTACATGTATTTGTACTTTTATTAGAAGCTCGAACTCTTTTTTCATTCGGTTATTTACCTTTGGTACGGTAAACATTCGGCATATTTTTTCTTTATTGCTTAAGCTGTCCTGTAATGGGAACTATGTTCTGTTGGACATTGAATTCATTGTTTATGTTAGCCTGGGTCTTACTACATTTCTCTGCCCTTGGGAGTTCCTGTCTAATGTCATTTTAACTAATGATTCTTTAACCCATATCCAGCTCCTCTTCCCTCCACTTATCCCGGTATCTGTTTGTTTCGTTCCTGACATTCTCCACAGGTCTTCATATGATATTGTTCTTGTCCAAAATATCCGTATAGCCCTAAACACACATCTGTTGATGAAAACTTCTGTACTCGCACCGACAAGCCGTCGGCGATCTGGCTCTTTTCTACCACTGTGTTAAAGGGCTTTGTTTCTCAGTCTCAGAGCTCACCGCTATGCCTCTCCTACATTCCAGCCTAACTTCCGTCTCCCATCCTAACCGTGTCGAACTTTATTTTTCCATAACTGGTTCGTGAACAAACTACTTCATGCAATAATACCACAAAAAATATATGTACAGAAACAGAGCAGATATTCCAGTCTGTCAGTCGAGATAACGTAAAAACGATTCAATTCATATTTTTTAACCGTTCCAATGCATTCCACTGATTGCAAATGTTTTCTCCCATCACTAACATTGTGAGACACTAATAATTTCAAATGTCAATTCTTCTTTGGTCTATTCTCCTTCTCTAACGTAGTCTATGTTTTGTGGTCACTTGTCACTTGTTGTTTTAACCTTGTTGTGTTATTTCTGAAAACCCGATTTTCCGTATAAACATTATTCCCACTGTTCCCTCCAAGATCTTTCTTATGCAGAATTACATATCACACTCGTGTACAGTTAAATCTGCACTAAACCCCAAATACGTGGTTGTGTTGAGTGTACCATGTACCATCACCGATGGTGCGACTGATTATACACTAAAATCAAAACAAAAAACTGCAACTGTTTCAAAATGTCGTTGAGGAATTGGGAAGAAGTGTATGATCGTGTTAAAACGCAACACCTAACAAAATTTTTATTGAAAAGGCTTTTTCATGTAAGAGTTTGGAAGTGCAAGTTTGCAAATGTAAGATAAACTATTAACACACAGTAGGTGATGTTCAGTTAATATAATCACATGTGGATTACAAAAGTTGCAATAAACATGGAGAAACCATCAGCTAAACTGAAAAAATGGATTTTACTCAGACATCACGCATTTTTTAAAAGTTTTGGCTCAGTTTTACATAATTTCATAACATTTAATAAACTGAAAACAGTTCAATGGCAAGCTGTCACTTCATATATTTACAGTGTTTTGTTTTGAATTCTTTGATGCTATTTGCTGCCAAAAATTTGACGGAGAAATCTTGAGGCTGATTGGGTATATTTGACGGACTGTTTAGTACTCGTACCCTATTGGTGCAGAATAATGGTTTGTTGAATTGTGAAATACACCCTAAGACCAACTTCATGTTGATGTTAAGCAATCACATTTTTGGTCTGATTGAGTGTGCTGACAATTACCAAGCTTTGTGAAGAACACCTTTGCCTTCAGTAGTCGTCGTTGACTGTCTTATCCTGTTCCTCCGGTACTGTTAACAATTATGCCTAAAATATTTGAATGGATCGACTTTTACTCCATTGTAAAGGATTATTGGGTGGACATATTTATTATATTTCCTTGGTCTTTTCCGAATTGACCTGCAGTTATACTTTGAACTCTTCTTTTAAGGGACTTGATTTGCTTATATCCAGGGGTAGTGTTTCCATATTTCAACCGAACATTTCCAATTTTAATTAGAAACTCCACTGTTGTTTTTGTGGGTATAATCAAGCAACTTTAAGGCGGACAAAAATTTCCGTTTGTCTATTGATAAGCAATTTCGGAACCTGTATAAAAGTTAACTGAATATCGATATAACCTTGGAAGTGTAAGATGTTGCTAGATGGCTCTAATTCCGCCCTTCAAGACTCATAAAAAAATTGTGTCTAGTAGGTTGTGTCAACTCTTTTCACACCTTTGAATTGAAAGCAATTTAAAATCATAAATCGTACACAATTAATATGTTTACTTTTTAATATACAGTATTTCAATCGCAATCTACTTAAAGTCTCAAGAGCCAATTCAAAACGACGCGAATTTCGAAGTTTGCGTGTTTTTACATCTAACGATACTCCATTAGCATTTCAAAGTCTTATCAAATTAAACGTGGAAAACATGCTATTAATTCGTTATTTATTCGATTTTCCAGGACCAGTTCGAAAAATGTCCAACATGGGACGAAAAAGCCGAGCTTCTGGTAGAGCTATCCAAAACATCGGTACCGTTCAACTCGGAGTATTTAAGGCAATACGCTAACATGGTACTGAAGCGACTAAACGCCATCATTAACTACACACCCAGCACCATGAAACTCAAGACCAAAGTGAAAATGATCCACGCAACTCGGGGCATCGGGGTAGGAGAGACCAAGACTGAAGATTGTGGATGGCTTCAGTTCTGTGCGACTCCAGTGGATGTTAGTATTTACGAGGGTAATCATATCGACATTATAGATGATCAGAAGGTAGCTGAAGAGGTCAATTCCTTTGTGACACAGTAATATGATTAGTTTTGTTCAAATAAAATAAACAATGTACTAATTGCACTTGCAGTTTCATTTTTTATCCCAGCCTTAATAATGTAATGTGGGCTTTTCAAGTCCTACGCAAGCTGACCTCCCAAATACACTGGTATGCAGATAAACTACTCCACTAATCAATAGTTTACAATTCCAATGGGTCCCAATACAACATATCTAGGGGTATACCTCGATTCTTACTTTAAACGGGATAAGCAAACGGATTATGTTACAAAAAAGATTAGATACGTCCTGACAAAGTTTAGATATCTTTCAGCAATACTTACTATTGATCAATTATGTATCCTATAATATGGGGTGCCGCTGCAAAAACGCATGTTAATAAAGTAGAATTGGTACAAAAAATGATTCTAAAAATAATTTATAAGAGAAAGGTTACTTGCCCAACAGAATTGCTTTATGCCCAATCCAATGTATTGGAGTCCGCAATTTTTTCTATCACATGGCATTTTCCAATATACAGGGTGACTTTGAAGTTGAGTCATTAATTTTCAGATAATGATTGTAGAAGGAAGATAAACAAAAATATGTGTGTAAAAATAAAAAAAATTAAAAAGAAATGTTACCTTGTTTTATAAAGTATCCTCCCGACAAGCATTACAGTGCGGACCTGTATTTGATCGTGAGGTCTTGAAGCACCGGCATGCCCTCCCCTGTGAGGTCTTAAGTCACCTGATTCACGAGCCCTTTGTACTACATTAACAAAGGCACGAGGGGTTGGTTGCACTCGATTGGGAAACCGATCCGCATAAATCATGTGCCATTTTTTGATTTCGTTTGAGCCACGCAACAGTCACCACTATTCACTCACGCGTTACCGACTGACACTGACTGTATACAACTGAATAAAATAATTGTAAAAGCATCGTTCCAAATTCTTTCGCTTTTTTGTTTCCGATGCGATGAACCGATTATATCCGTTGTTGCCAAACACGAGCACATACAGTAATACCCCGACTTACGCTACCCCGTTTTACGCGAATTCGGAGATACGCGGTTTTTCATTTTGATTGCCGCGCGCAGCGCGCATCGGCTCTCTCGCTCCGCGCGCGCATCGGCTCTCTCGCTCCGCGCGCGCATCGGCTCTCTCGCTCCGCGCGCGCATCGGCTCTCTCGCTCCGCCCACTCAGTGTTCAATTTGCATCAGGTTTAAACGTGTTTCGCGTGCAATTGTTTTACGTGCGCAGTGCGTTTTACTTATAATCTCTAATTATGTCGTCTAAAAGAACAAAAAATGAGTCATTTGAGCCTAACAAGAAAAGAAAAACACTGTCTTTGGAGTGTAAACTGAATATAATTAAAGACTTTGAAGCAAAAATGAAAATTTGTGAATTGGCGAAGAAATTTGACCTTCCGGAATCAACAGTCCGAACGGTTGTAAAAGGTAAAGAAAAAATTATGAACGCTGTGAAAGACTCTCAATCTTTGAATTCAAGTATCATCCGTAAGCGTCACGGTATTATCGCACAGATGGAAACATTGCTACAGTCATGGTGTGATAATCAAGTAAGAGTGAAAAATTGTCCTGTTGATCAAAATACAGTGTGCTTTCAAGCAAAGCAGATTTTTGAAAAACTAAAAGAAGAAGCTGGGGAGGCGGCTGAAAATGAAGTGTTTAAAGCTAGTAACGGCTGGTTCAGCCGATTTAAGAGTCGTTGTAATTGGCATAGCATCGCAGAGAGTGGAGAAGCGGCAAGCGCTGATAAAGAAGCTGCATCTCTCTATCCAGAAAAACTCAAAACAATGATAGATGAAGGTGGCTACACTAGCCAAACTATTTTCAACGTAGATGAAACAGGTCTTTTTTGGAAGAAAATGCCTAAAAGAACTTTTATTGCGCGTGAAGAGAAAACTTTTCCAGGTTTTAAAGCCGCCAAGGATCGATTAACAGTGATGGTTGGTGCGAATGCAGCTGGAGATTGTAAATTAAAACCTCTCTTAGTTTATCGCTCAGAAAATCCAAGGGCCTTAAAAAATAAATCCAAAGCTGGTTTGCCTGTCATTTGGAAGTCTAATGCGAAAGCTTGGGTGACAGCTTCTCTTTTTGAAGACTGGTTTGGCCATCATTTTATTCCTGAAGTCGAACGTTACTGCCGATTAAAAGAAATCCCATTTAAAGTGATGCTACTAATTGACAATGCACCAGGTCATCCTCCCGCAACTCTAATTAATTTCGATCCACGTGTGGAAGTTGTATTTTTGCCACCAAACACTACCAGCTTGCTTCAACCAATGGACCAGGGAGTCATTAAAACATTTAAAGCTTACTACACAAGGCGGTCATTTGCACATCTACATGAAGCTATGAGACAAAACAATGAGCTTTCTGTTAAAGACTTTTGGAAGCAATTCAATGTTTTAGATGCTGTAAGAATTATTGGACAATCTTGGAATGAGGTTTCACAAAAAACTCTCAATGGTGTCTGGAAAAAACTGTGTCCATTTTTTTTCACCTCTGAAACTCAAGGAGAAACCATTTCAGATCCTGAACAAATCGATAGCATAATAGAAGAAGTGGTCGATATCGCCAAGCAATTAAATTTAGAGGTCGATAATGATGACGTTCAAGAATTGCTAGATTCACACAATCAAGAGCTAACAATTGACGAGGTTATAGAAATGCGTAAGTATGAGCAAGACATTGAACAAACTGATTCGCTAGACCCAGTTGAATCGGTAAATCAAATGACAATTGCAAACTTAACAGAAGGACTCAATTCAATTGAAAAGGGGTTACAAATTTTAGAAAAAATTGATTCTAATGAAGAACGCGTGTCTACTACAAAACGAGGGATAAAAAAATTACTGGTATGCTACGAGGAAATTTTACGTGAAAAGAAGAAAAATTTAACTCGTCAGGCAACATTGTTAGAATATATAAAGCCTTCGACATCAAAATAACTTCGGTTTAGCTTACTTTATTCATAACAATGTAATTTTTTTTATTATCCTACACTTTATTAAACATTTTTCTTCTAAATTATTGTTTTCTTTAAACTCTGGTCCCGATTAAACAAACTTTATATGTATTTATATGCAACATTGAACCCCGACTTACGCGAATTCGACTTACACGGCAACCGTTCGGACCCACCTATCGCGTAAGTCCGGGGTATTACTGTAATATTATTATTGAGACAGGGCGGTACTCAAACTTCCAAAGGGCTATAACTTTGTTACTTTAATTTTACCAGAAAAATGGTAAAGGAAAAAACATTTATTTTGATCAGATCTACTCACTGTTTAAATAAATGACTCAACTTCGAAGTCACCCTGTATACATAGAACAGCTCTTTGAAAGCAAAACATAGCTACAATACAATAAATAGATCCATTCTGATTCCTAAACCATACATTGCTAGGAAGCCATATTTTTTTAGGCCCAAAGATGTATTATGAAATACAGGCTACAAATGTTAGAGACTAGAGTTCATTAGGTTAATTTAAAAAACTAAAGGGATGATTCGAGTCCATGAAACTAGTAAATTAAGTCGAAGCACAATCATCTGATTAAATGTATTAGACTGTTTACTTTGATTGAGTATACTAATGTATTAATTGCATATCCAGTTTGATAAAACACATACATTAAAGACTCTCCACATTCACGCGAGAATGCAAGAAAAATGAAAGAACTCAATATGAGCCGGATTTGGACGAACGAACTAGAATTGGCATACCTAGAATATTTTCGAGCAGAACCGATTTTTTGGAAAACAAATATGAAAGGATATAAAAATAAACTAAAAGCCCACGATGCATGAAAACGTATTAGTTTTGACGGAATTACCCACTGAAGAATTGAAAAGCAAAAAAATATCGTTATTAGCAAGCTACAGAGGGTATAAAAATAAAGTCAAGAAATCTGAAAAATCTGGTGCTGGTGTCGACGACATTTAATTCTGCGTCCATCGTCAGCTAGCACGAGAACTGTGTGGACCCAAAAAAATTCTCGCCGAGATGTTCACTGATATTCTTGCTGAGATTATCGGTGAGATTCTCGCGTAAGTGTGGAGCGGCTTTCCGAGTTGTTCCAAAAAGAATTGCACATCAAGCCTATGTTAAGCACAAGTGTTGTACAAATGCCCTTCAATGACCTAACTATGGCTAGATAAACGAAATTTAAAGATTCTGCACTTTCTGTCACGCCAGAAGTGACTCCACTATACAGGAGTGAGTTTGTAAATCCCTTGGAAGTGTAATACCGTACATAGTAATGGAATGTAGATTGACAGATAAAACATTACTCTGGAATACTGTGAAACTTTATTATTAGTACGCCTAACTTATTATATTAGTCCTGTGGTGACAGCCGACTAATTTCTAACCACGCTTTCTGCGACCATTGTAGTTATTATAAGACACCCTAGGAATACGAATTAGCATTTATCATGAAACATATACATATATATATACATATATATATATATATATATATATGTATATATATATAAACAGGGTGGCCCATCCATGTGTGGACGGAATATTACTCATAAAACAATTCAGTTTGGGAAAATCTATTCATGATATGTTATACGTGACATTTAAGGGCACATTTCTAAAATATTGGCCATTATTCAGGGTGTCCCAATTTCGACCTACATATCAAAGTTGAGATTTTTCAAACAGAATGCTTCAAATTTTATTGCATATTTGGATAAACCAATTCAAAACAAGAAAATTGATATAACTTACTAGAGGGTTTTGGTAATTAGCTACTGAGATATAAGGTGTTTTGTCTAGGAAAACCCCTCTTTGGCAAGCCCTCAGCCCGTCATTTTGAAATTTGTAGTGCTGAATTTTGTATCAAAAAAACTTACACACCTCAGCTTTTATCTTATTTGTTACTTTTACGAATTTTAATTTTTGCTCATACGGGGTGGTCAAAAACGCAAATTGTAGTTTTTTTCAAAAATTTCAAATGCATCACCCTGTATATTTGTGCAAGTTTGAATTCAATTTTTAATAATTTTTCTTGATGCTAGACACATAAGGGTTTTTACGGC